CAAATGAAGAATCGCTGAAGCGGCTGAATCGCTATCGCACAACGTGTGACATCTCTTCACTTACACCCCATTCCTGACACATTGACATCACTTGGGTAACCACGCCGAGTGACGATGATTGTCACTAGCGCATAGCACATAGCGTATATTTATTTGTGCTAAATTTGTGCTAAATTTGTGTTTTCTTGCTGTGTTAACATAGCCTGTGTTACACAAGAGGTTAATGACCCCCCACCCACTTCGGGTCGACGACCGCCAGGAGCGCGATTAGTCGGGTTATGTTTAACTCCATGCTGCACAGGTTTGTGCACACGCACGTGCCAAAGTAGTGGGTGCAATTCTGATGCATTCCGCCAGGGGGCGCAGCTGCTTGGAAGTCTTGCTGTTCGTGAGGCTGTGGATGGGGGGAGTTCAGTAGCCTGACGTCCTAGACAGGCAAGGTAGACTGGTAAGGTAGCCTGGTAAGGTAGACAGCCCAGGTTTTTCCGTAAACCCATTACTTGAGTAATGTTTAACCTCTCATATCATACAAAATAATACCAGTAAGTCTAAAGTTCTGTAACCTGTGTGGCCTGTTAGTGTTAATTGTAAATGCATGTTTCAGTTTTTCTTGGTTGAAATCTCTCTTCTTCTGTAGGTGTTTAAGCAGGACAGACAGGGTGATGCTACCATGGAGGTGGTGAAACTCATTACCAGTATGGTAAAGAGCAAGGCATTCAGTGTGCAGCCGAAGGTGCTAGAAACCTTGCTAGCACTTAAAATCAAGGTAAGACAAGCATCACTGTAGTCACTATCTACAGGTGTTTATATGTGTCAATCCATGTTAAGGTGTTCATGTATTGCAAAAAAATGTTCCTTTCATTGCAAATTTTCAAATTTTACATATCTATTTAAAGAAAATTACTTTTAATGATAATGATGTGTATGATGTTATGGAGTTTTCGTTACAAAAATTCCTATATCCTTACATGAATTAAAATATCAAACAACTAGATGTCCACTTGCATGACCCATAACACAGGAGATAAAGTCCACAAACCCAGAGAAAGAAGTGGACAAGAAGATGAAGGAAAAGAAGGAAATGCTGAAGAAGGGATCTCGAGCGCAGCGTAAACGAGCCAAGCGGGAAGAGAAACTGACACGAGAACTATTGGAGGCCGAGGCTACAGAGAACCAGAAGCGGAAGCTTGACCTCAACACTCAAACCATAGAGGTATAATAGTAGTCTTCACAACTTTGTTATCGGTTTGTTAAGCTGAAGATGTTTCCATTTATTTTCAAGGTTGTGGCATTTCAAATGAGACTTTGAACCTTAACTTAGACTTAGTCCTCCTGTGCCTACAGGCACATTGGGCAGCAAGTTTCTGGGAACAGCAGATGTTTAAGCGGATAATGAGTATGACTGAGTGAGAGAAAAAGGACAGATTAACAGATTTCAAGGACAGCAAGTCTACCATTCTTGGAAATGAATTACATAATGTATTTTGGCTACAGCTTTGTATACCCTTTTCAAGTCACAACATCTCTGAATGACAGTTGTCTCTTTGTTCAGATGGTGTTCCTGACATACTTCCGTATCCTGAAGAGGAACCGCCATTCTGTCCTGCTGCCGTCAGTCCTGGAGGGTCTGGCCAAGTTCTCCCACCTCATTAATGTGGAGTTTTTCAATGACCTGATCACTGTGCTGAGAGAACTGGTGGAGTCAGGGAGCCTTAGTTACAGGTAAGGCAATTATGGGGTTTGTATGATGATATGTTAAAGCTTTGCTTGTGTTTGTATTTTTTTTTATTTGATCAAAGTGTTTGCTAACAAACCACAAACCAATTCTCAGTAATTATTTAACAATTTTGGAGATACATGTACTGTACTGACATATTGTCTGTTTTTAATATCAATTCGTGCATCAACTAGATGCAAGAAATTGCTTCATTGATGAACACAATAATGAACCACTTTACCTGACCAACTACTTTGTCACACTAATGAATTAAAGATGATGGACATGTGTTGAAGTGCCACCTTGTATGATAGAGTGGTACTGCAGACATTTAAGCAGTGATTGGTCTACTTGTATCTGCATTTCATCACTTTGTTTGATGTCTACTGAACTGTGTCTTCTCCATCCCTTAGGGAGACACTCCACTGCATGGTGACAGCATTCCAGATCCTGTCTAACCAGGGAGGTGTTCTGAACATTGACCCATTAAGATTCTACACACACCTGTATGCCAACCTGCTGCACCTACATGCAGGTGAGAAAATATGTAAATGTACAACTGGTATATGTATCTATATAGCTGGTATACTTGCACTTCTGTATAACGCACCAACTATCTACCAAATTACATGTTTGCTGATTTAAGATTTCTTTCTTGTAGGTCAGGACACAGATGACACCACCAATGCCCTGGAGTGTATTGACATCATGTTGAACAAGCGCAGGAAGCAGGTGTCCATGCAGCGTGCCTTCGCCTTCCTGAAGCGGCTGTGCACTCTGTCCCTCCAGCTGCTGCCAAACAGCACCCTGGGAACTTTGGCTGCCTCCCGGGACTTCCTGAAGGTCGGTATCTATCGGTCAACTAACCACCTTTCATCATTACCTTGTGGTAGATATGGGTTAGACATGTTTTCTCCTCTTCTCCAAGTGTTGACTTGTTCAAGAATATTACCTTAGTGTTTGATAACAAATTTCCGTCTATAGTACTAGTTTTGAAATTGCTTACATATACTTGAAGATTGCTTGATAACTGAAACTCAAACTTGTGGGCATTGTGGCTGCTTTTTGTTTTCTGATACTCACTAAGGCCCCATTCATGATTGGATATCTGTTGCGAATCAATGCGATTTAAAAAAATAAATCGATTCATTTGGGAACATGAACGCTCCAAACCGGTTCCGTTGCGATTTATTCTGAACCACCTCGCGAGGTGGTCTGAAACGATACAGAACGATTCGCGTTCGTAGAATTGTAATCATGAACGCGCGGATGCGAATCGTTCCGGTTCGACGCTGTACTCCCGGGTACGTGGGGGCCACGGTCGGCCATAGTTCGCGGCGCAGTGGCTTGTACTGCGGAAAATTCTACTTGAATCGTACAATCTTGACATTGACTTCTAATTACTGGTCGACTGAGGAAACGGGACTTCCGATATTGACTTGGGGAAATCAGGAGATTCAGAGGAAACTGGATGGTATGTACGAGAACCTACCCTGGGCGTCAGGGCGAGTGGTAGCCCAACGGGGACGTTGGGGCGGCGGACCGTGGGGGTTTGCGCCAGATGCGTCCGGGGCACAGCCTATGGGGAGGACATGAGTCGGGAACGAGCGACCACTCGCCCGGACAGGCGTAAACTCTCCGCCTTACGAGCCGGGTTCCCAGGAAATATTCAAAGAAATTGTGTTATGCAAGTCAATTCGAGGTGTGAAACCGTTTCCAGTGTGGGTGCAAGTTTTGAATCACGGACGCAAAAATATATTCCGTTTCGATTCGAATCATGGCCAAACCGGAACACATTTCAATCATGAACGAGGCCTAATTGATTCATGTACAAAATTTACATTTTACACATTATGCACAGTTGTAACATTTTCTTTGTCTTCCCATGGCTTTCACTGTAGGTCTTCCCCAAGACAGACATGCTGCTGCAGATTGAGGAGACGCAGGGAGGTGGCATGTACCTACCCGAGCTACAGGAACCCGAGCACTGTAACGCTCACACCACGGCACTGTGGGAACTCCACCATCTCAACAGGCATTACCATCCCCATGTACGCAGATATGCAGCACATATACTACGGAAGGCACCTTCAGAGGGAGCTGGGTCCCTTCCACCCTCACTGGACAGGAAGTCTCCCTCTCAGCTGTGGCAAGAGTTTGATCCTTCTCAGATGAACTTTAACCCCTCAATCGCAGGGCCAGGGAAGGGTGGGAAGAATTTGAAGCCATTCTCCAGGGTGGGAGGTTTGGTGCAGGAGAGCATGAGAAAACTAGAGCAGGATATCTGTGGTGATGCAATGTAGATAACTTATGGAGGGAAAAAAGGATTTCTACTGAGGCATACAGAAACTATATATACAATGCCATGTACAACATAGGTTGGTCTTAGGTTGAAATCATGTAACACAAGTTGTTTTAGAATGGCATCTTGTCCATTTCACCCTGGAGCAAAGAGACTAGCCCTAGTTATGACATAGCTTACATGTAGTATATAGTATACCGTGTAGGGTTTGAATACGAATAGGTCAGATACATGTGCCCGTAAAGGGAGTTTCTTTCTAATTGAGTTGTATTACAGATGTATAGAAAACAATATTCATGTACAGAAAACCATATTTACTTGTCTTCGTCAGTCTAAATATTCAGCATGCTTCAGGGAAAATAAAACAGCAACAGCAAAGTAGAGACACTGAGAAATTGCGTCTGATTGACCTGGCCTCAGAAATGGGCAGACTAAAATAATGTATTCAGCAATTATCTCAAATGCTGGTCAATTGATACAGGGTCATACCTGCCCAGGTGACCACCTCCTCAAGCTGACTAATGTAATAGAAAAACAATATCCTGGATAAAGACTTTGAATACTTGGACTAATTTCACAAGAATTACACATTTTCCAAATTTGGCAATCCCCCATATTAAAAGGCGCCCCACTTGTTAGCTACCGGTATGAAAACTGGATCTTCAGGCAAATAATCAGTCACAAGATTTTACTATAGCTGCCAAAGGAAATTGATTTGTTCACTGACATAATTCTGTCAATTATTGTATGATCAAGGTATGATCAAGCTAGCTGTCCTAATAAGAAGTCAGCTTGAACCTGAAGTCAGATCATATCAGAACATGTGTTGTCTCAGATATACAAATACCAACTTTTGTTTCAGATATAGTAGAGATGTAATTCTTGTTTTTGATAGTTTAAATGTTTACCTGGGTCAAAGTTTATTTAGATGACAGTCTCATTACCTTTGAAATAGTATTGTTTACACAAACATTACCTCTTATGAGAATGGAAGACACTAAAGGTGGACACTGATTAGGTTTCAGAGCTGTAGGTTTCTCCCAATACTTAAAATGAAAAAAAAGTTGTTCATAAGAAAATTCATCAGAGAATAAGCTTTACAGATGTCTATGGTTATATTTTCCAGCTAACATTGGAGCCATATGTATATACAATCATATCTTGTTACTGCATATGCCTACCCTTGATTTGTTAGCTACCCACTAGTATACAACAATATCCAGCAATACTCCCTGACATTCTAGGTGATATATCGATGTTGGTTGTACACAAAGTAAGATATGATTATAAGCAAAGTCAATACAGAATTCAGATAACACCAACAAAACTTTACCACTGCTTAAATATCCCAATATAATTTCTGGCTTATGGCTGTTCCACATAAAAAGTACTGGGCTGGTCAGAAAAAAATGCTCTCTTTTTTCAAGGAGGTTAAATACAAGTATTTAACCTTCTTGCTTTTTTCATGTAGACTTTCTAGACTTTCCAAAGTCGAGCATTAATTTCCATAAAAAACTGAGGAGACCGAGGGAAACTCTTTCAAGAATAAGTACTTTGAATGGGTACTATAAGTACCCAAGAATTGAGTTTTACAAAAGCTGCAAATTACAGGGGAAACAGAAATCAAAACTTCTGTTCTTTCAATAGCTAGCTATCTAGCATCTGCCTGTCTGAATAGGCTACTAGTAATATACCTAAATGCCAATATCTAAAAGAGCATGTGGTCATCTTTTCCTTTTAATCTTCAATGCTCCTTAGCAGATTATTGATTTTTCTGGAACATTGACTTTGCTTCTTTTGAATTTTTTCTAACAACTCAAACTTTTTAATTGGAACAGCAACAGCCTCTTTGAATTACCCTATTTACATATTTTCTTTTACCTGCAACAAGAACATGGGCAATGAAGTAATACATGTCCACATGTTTATGAAATTCTGACAATACAATCAAAGTGTATTTTGCATTAACCAATAGTTTCAACAATTTTGTGAGTGGTTGGTTGGTTGGTGCCACGTAGCTTGTAAGCAGCAATTAGCACTGGGATTGGAGCACAAAAAAACAGTAGTACATCATAATATAATACATCTTTACAAATGTAACATATGTTGAACCACATTCACTTCCTGATTCAAGTTCCAACACATGGAAAAATAACAGTACAAATTGTCAACTGAATCTTACTTTTCTCATGAATACTGACCTAGTCATTTCTGACACGAGATTATCTAGAAGGATTCATGTCAGAAGTGGGGGTGTCAGTACCTGAGGAAGGCCAAATGTTTGGTTAAAAAATCATACTTGTGTATTTTTTCTTGTGTTGGACTGAAATTTTAGATTTTTTAAACTATTTCATTGATCAACACAGATTTCACATAGTTTCTATTCAGCCGTAATGGACAGCAGGCTGTTGACAGCTGCGTCCTTGTTGCCACGGTTGGCCTCCAGTACAGACCGCACCACCTCAGCATCCATGTTGGGGAACATGTCCTGCAGAGCCTTCAGGTCGGCCTCCGTGATGACGGGCTGAGCCGGCTGCTGCTGCTGGGCTGGCATCTGGCCTGCTGGGACTTGGTATGGGACACCTGTTTGGTGGAGAAAGAAAAATGCAGTCAACCTCATGTCGGGTTGCCTTTTTCATTTTCCTTTCATCCAACTTTTGCCTGAAAATGTAACTTATAAAATTGCATGGCCTAATAAAACACCTCCAGATTACCTGCTTGTACTGTAGGGTAGTACACAGGCTGTGGAACCATCATCATTGGCATGACCGGGGGAACCTGCTGCATCATGGATACCGTGGAGTGGGACAGGACCAGGTTGATCATGCCCTCCTTGTCGTCACCTTGCCTCCCGCTCAGCGTGTACCAGTCGTCCACCGTCTCCCCGTTGAACACTGACTCTGGAATGGTGATGTGGCCCCACGCCACTCTGTCGTCCATGGTGAAGGACCGCTCGTCAAATATCTCCAGGTAGAACGAGTTGACGCCTTGTGGGATTGGGGCGTGGACAACCTTATTCCAGCGAGGGTTCTTGGCTCCGTTGTAGGCTGTCGGGGTTTCGAACACAGCGTGTCCGACCCGGATACGACAGTAGGGGTCCATACGTGTTACGCCATAGTTCTTGGCCAGCTTGGCCTGAGCGACCGTGATGCTGAGTCGGCCCGAGCTCTGCCCCATGAAGCCATACTGAGCGTACATCTGAGCTGCCTGCATGTCTGCAGTAGCCTGGGACACACAGGATATAGCAAGCAGGTTAGATAGAGTGTCAACCTCCTTGGTTTTAGCAAAAAATGGTACTGGTACAACAGTATTAACAACTGAGCAGGAAGATCTACCTTTAATCAAGGACAATGTGTTTGGTAATTTAGGAGAACGACATCCTCATACATAAAATGAAAGAGTTATACGGTTGTATTAGATACTTTACATAAAGTTGACAAGTGGTCCCAAATCTTGCTCCTTGTACAATTTACTACAATCATGGAGGTAGCTCCATGCTACAAATTGTAGCATATTTACAAACGACGCCCTCTTCAAGACGTCACGACCGAATGACCCAGAACCATGGATGATACAAACATCCTGATAAATTTAGCTGGTCAACTGCTCAGCCAATGTGATATGTTGTACCTGTAGCTGTTGTGGGGTGGCTTCAATCCGCAGAAAATCGTCGGGCAAGTCGCCCAACATTACCTGTCCCCGCTTCGTCACCTTCGTCGCCATTTTGTTCTGCTTCGCCCCTGCTTTCTTCCTGGATAGCAAGCAAACGCTAAATTCTCATATTAGTAAAATTCTTTCTGGGAGTTCTACCATTACATTTTATGAGTACATAAAATACTAATAATTTGTATAAGAGTTGAAGTGCTAGTCTAAAATGTGTTCTGTGATCTAATGGTTATCAGAATCAAATGTTTGATATCGATTTACTTTGCGTGTATCTGTGACCATGGTAATAAAGTGTCTCTTCCACTTTCAGCGGTGAGGAAATGACCATGAGATCTAGACTTTATTTTATTTTAAAGAAGCCGACTGTAGAATGTGCTATCTGTTGGTGGTGTCAGAAGGTGCTGACATTTTAATAGCTAATTATATCCAAGGACATTACACGAGTGAACTCCTTGCCACGTACGGAATATATATGCATGATTATGTGACTAACCGTTAATCGGATAACTCAACTTGTGCCAAACGAAATTCCTTGCAAAGAAAACAAACAATTAAGAAACTTGAAAAGATGTCGCACTAACTAGCACTCCAACGACCATCAGTCAACAAGAACAACAGATTTAAAATTCGAGTCAGTGCAGTGCACTGTGCAGTGTGCACCTGTTTATAATATCCACTATCGTCATGTGAAGAAAGAGGTTTATTTGACCATCGAAGTTTTGATGAAGCTGTTGACAGCTAGCAACAACGACGATTACAAAAATCATGGGTATTTCTACATAATCTTTTTGTGAATGAAGAAAAGCTAGACGCGTTGAGTTTTTCGATAACAATATAGTGGAGCTTGTTATTATCGGTGGCCTAGTTTGTATTACTATTGCTAACCCGAATGTAAGGATAGGTAAGCGGGGAACACGTCTATGATATCAGCCTGTATACAAAATGTGAAAGCAAGCAAAGTCTTTGTTCCCGCCCCGTCCCGGACAGGGAGGGCGTATGATAAGAAGATCACAATTTCACAACCTCTGCTTGGAGTGCCACCCACAGCGCAAAGGAGGCGTGTTAGAATGTATGGTGTGACTGATAGCAGGTGGCTGGACTAGCTGAGCCTCATTCCATGCATCTGAAGATGCAGCTTGAAGCCCAAGCAGCACAGATTGCCCGCGAGTTACCTTCCTTTTTCGGCACGGTAAGAGCATGTACATTTCAATTTTGTACAACGTTTTGACCCGGGGCCATTATAAAACCTAACATCAATACTCAGTTATTCGAATTCGTCATAACCTACACTGGTAAGGTAGGACCAGGAATTAAGCGCTTATTACCGCGAAGACGCCGTTGTCGTAAGAACGAGTTCATCCAAACTCTTCCTTTAAATTTGTCCACCGTTTCGTCAACGCCGTGACGTCAAGAAAAGATACATTGTTATTGTAAGTCATAACTTCATCACTATCAACTTGATTGCCTTACTTGGACAATGGTATTAAACTAAGGACGGTTTAAGCTAAATGTGATGGTGGTCCACGGCCGTCAAGTACTGACAATGTGCCGAACTAATGCAATACAAAAGGCAACCTTATAAACCGTTTATAGCCCGGTATCGTATATACGTACATAAGTAACAAGTGACACAAGTCAGGTAATATTTTGTGTTTGACATGACTTAACACCAGGATGTCGTTCTCCACGTTGTCTTACGCAAGTGGCTTTACGCTTTGCGGTGATGGAAATCATGCGGCATCCGACCAATGATTTATTTTTACAGAAATTTTAAAAAAATGCGAGTATGTATGTATACATGCACCAATGTTGTTTGTAGTTGGCATGAGTAATTTGACATGATGTGATTACTAATGCTATAATGCATTATAGTATTTTGACCTCGCCAAGCTCTACTGCACAGTACAGCTGTGAAGTAGCATCCAGACATCTGGTCATCCGGGGACACGGTAGCGGCTCGATGTTAACCAGAACACCAAATTTGATCTTTTAATGAACTATTACGCAGGGTGTAAGGCGAAGCATAGGCCCTGTCATCAGCTTCACCCCCTGAAGCTATTTTAGCCGAGTATTACTAGTAATTATCTCTGCCCGCGGCGTGTATTCTGTGGGGTGGCCTCAATGGAGTTTATAATTGCGCGTGCGATTAGTAAAGGTAATGCAGAAAAACTGATGATGTTTTTAGCGCCATGCATATGGCGTGTCTTTATTTACTACATTCACTACCAACACAACTGTTCTTCGGCATACTAGTAGATTAAAGAAATGATTAATGGATTTTCATGATGGTAGACGAAGCAAAAAAGGTAGGCAAATCCCTGGCGGTTTTCTTCCTGCATAGCCGTGATGATGATCAGTCTTACAAGATAAGTTGTTTTCAAAAAGACAACTTCTGTATCAGTGAATCTGTATCTTGATCTGTATTGATATAGCCGGTATAACCGCCCTCCGGCGAAACACGCCAGCTTCGCAGGCACGCGGCGCGGCGGACGCTGGCTACATTGCACCGAACGACTTGTTACACCTAACCCTTGAACATCTAACTCTAAACATTAATTGTTTAAAGCTATGGAGCGAATTTGAGGACTATGGATGATTGGTGGAAGGGAAGGGACCGTGGAGCTCTATGATACTCTCCAAGCAGAGGTTGTGGGGGAATGATCGTTACCTTTTTAAATTATGTATATTGTAAATATGTTATTGATTTAGATGTGTTTTGTGACTTGTATAGTTGTCAACTATGTTTGTAAATGTATTGTCTGTATGTATGAATACCAGGAAGACTAGCGGTGAACCCTAGGGTCCACCGCTAATGGTTATTCTAATAAAGTTTCAAAGTTTCAATTCTATGGCCGTTTGTGTGTGTTTTTTTTTTTTTTTTTTTTTTTGTCGCTATCCCCACCAACCCGTCGGTGGCTGCCGACCTTCTCTGGCTAATGGCTACTGCCTGGCCAATTTCATACTGTTTTTTTTTGCCACCGAGAGGGATCTGCTTGGAGATTACTCTCAGTAGTCTATTTCCGATGTAGCCATGAGGCACGATTCGACTCACGTTTTATCTTAACTTCTCCAGATTATTCCCATGGCAAAATCGTAACTGCCGGCGCCGGTTAAAGCATAGGCCCAAGATTTTGCCACTCGTCGAAAAGTCTGCTAGCTTGAAGATTATAGTCCGATTTCCCAGCTTCCGTCCGTATGATATCGATAGTTTGATGAAAATTTGTTTGACTAATTTGAGGTTGTGCAAATAGGTCACTTTGATAATGGTTCGGTTGAAAAGTTTGTTAATTAGCCAGTTAAGTAAAATGTCTCATTAAGTAATCAGAGCCAATTAGTTAGATAATTAAGTCATTAAGTTCATCAGTTGCACTACTGTACACCCCCTTTCAACATCATGGGACTAAGGAGCCCAAACATTAGTTTAATCTGTATGGTGTTGATATATTTCTATGAACAAAATCGGAAAAAAGTTGGGTAATGAAGATCATTGATTCAATTTTGTCAATACTACGTAACTACCTGCAAAGAAACCTGCAGCTGCTGCCCTTATGTCGACAGGAGAGAAAAACAATTATACTATAGTAAATGAGTCAATCCACCACGTAAGGATGCATGGTCCATCTACATGTAGCTTATTTGCCGCGTGGTTTCTAGCCATAGCATAGTCATAAGACATTAACTTGCACGTAGTTTCATCATTTATTATGTGGGGCGGCGCCGCTGGCCTTGGGATCTGTTATCTAAGAGGGTGTTTGACACTAGCTGGAGATGTTCTGTTTGCCAATGAAGACTACTAATCTCTAACATTGATGATCCATACACCGGTATTTGACCGTTAGGTCAATTCATTGGAAAACGTCAAGAAATTCCGAGAAAATTAAAACCTCAGCCTTCCTTTTTTGTGTGATGTCGGGAAATGACTGGAAGAGGAAGAAAAAAGGGATCGGGAAGAAACGTAACAGTTGTGTCTGTCGGACATAAGATAACGGTACTCCGGTACTCAACGCTCTACCATCTATTCTCAGAAGCTGGTGGTAACCTACGAACTGAACACACGTCAGTACACTTCCGCGGATCTCTGGACCAGGGCGGGGTTAGACTGCTACAAGTAAGCACGGGGGTGGTATTACATTATTCAGTCGATTATACATTATCTTGACCTTGTTCTACTAGTGCTTCACGTCTTTCTTGGTTTTATCGGGCTAGTATATATGTTTGCTTTGTTGTTTTGATTTCTAGAAATCAGCCTATTGGTACAGAGAATTGTAAATAAAGGTATTTTATTCATTCTGAACAAATAATGCGTTGATTTTGTAGCTACATAGTGTCGGCCGAGAAAGAGGGAGAAAACAATCACTGCTAACATATAGGCTATCTGACCTTTGCTATCGATATCTCATTCATCAACAAATCTGTACAGGGTAAAGGGGGAAAAGGGAAAGGAAACCAGGTAAAAATCGTCTGATATTAACGTTTGGACACCCCTGTGCAGGTGGACCATTCTGTAGATGACGTCATCAGGTGCAAGCTTGCGGGACAAAAAATGGCGAATATTGAGAAAGTGAGATTCTGGTCGACGTGCCGAGGGGCAATCAGCGACTGACCGGACCTGATGTGGGTTTGGTCCGTTAGAGCAGGCCTTTTAGACAAAGGGTGTGGTGAAGATGTCACTGCTATGTATTTGCGGTGAGTAGCGGTCCCAGATTTTGTGAAATCTGGTCGTTTGCTGGCAGCATTTTTGACAGATTTTCTTCCTGTTATGATATTTCCTTCATACCCGCTCGTTTCATGGAATATTTCGTCTTTTCTTCCCGGTGGTGGCGGGGCAGTGAGGAAAGCACGCTTGGTGGGAGCTGCAGGTAAGTGTGAACTAATTTCTATCTAAGTAAATTATAACGATATGTTCGTCGATCCGCTGTATGTTGGCGAAGGAGTGGTATTTTGATTTAGTCCGGGGCCCGTTCCGAAACAGGCCGGGCTACGCGAACAGTTGGGGGCGTTACGGCGGTTTCCACGTAGCGGGACCTTGAATAGAGGTGTTGGGTGACAACAGTGGTGCCGTGTTACAGAAACTGGTGTTTCATATTTTAACCAGAAGACGCACGATACGTAAATATCAAAGTCCATGTTTGTACATGTGTAACTGCCTTTTCCCGGTGCTACCCCATATTGGTGTGCGTGTGACAGGCCTTACATGTAACATTAACGGTGGAGCAGTTGCGATCAATACGCAGAAAATAAATCGAGCCTTGGGGATTTTTGCTCCAAAGACACAATCTGCAAATCATGACCCCACAGTACACCTGTTAAATATTTGATATGTATATGCAGGTTCGCTGTTTTATACACATTTGTGCAGTCAAATATAAAGGCAAACATAGGTATAGATGAATATTTGTGATGTCTTTCATTCCTGCCATATTTACACACCAAAAGTAAGCATAAGCCTGTCCACTAGATCTCCCTGTTAGCTACATGGCAACTGAAAAGAGGTACAGTTTGAAATATTGCACATGCTCATATATCAAATAAATCAAGACAAACTTTAGTTTTATCATAGCCAAAGAAATAGAAAACTATTTGCTACAAAATAAAGGGTTTTTAATCTCCCCATCATATTGTTTATCATCATAGTGTTGTTATTTGTGCAAAAGTGTAAACTTGAAAAATCGTGGTCAAGTTCACCTACAGTGGACTGTTAAATTTCCAACATTTGGGTATACAATGTACATGTATGTATTGGATTTCACTATAAGGTATTTCATTTACAAAATTGGTTTGAATGGCTTCATCAAAACAGTAGAAAAACACCTGAGGATATTTGTGCAACCCTTATATCAAATTTCGTGTCATCTAGCTTACCTTAAGAAGCTAAAAATATAAAGTGCGATGCCTAGTGTGGTCATGAAGAAGGAAATGAAACAGCCAGAGAGTCATTTTTTTCTTCTTCTGATTAGGTGCTCTACATGTACATATTCTTATGTCCATAGTGCAGAATATCATATAAGGTAAAGGCTAACACCCATATGTCAACATATGATTATAGATAAAAATAGGGAGCAACAGGAAGTAACAACTCATGTGTAAATATTCCCTTAGCTCCAGATGACTAGTTACATGCACTTGTGTAATTTTCTACCCCCTGCTGTTACACCTTTTCCTGTGTCACAACTAGCACCTGCTCAGTCCCAAAATTGATAGTCCAAAATTGGTAAAATGGAGTTATCTGCAGCAAATGGGAAATCTTTGATGCGTAAATTATGTGTGATCACATTATGGTAGACTTCAGCTCATGCATAATCCAAAACTGTTGGGTGTGGTGACTTAGCACTAGTCCAAAATGTCTCCTCCCACCACAGATTTATATAAAAAAAACTGTTGCGCAATAAAGTTATTATAAAATTGTTTTATGAAAATTATGCAAGGTTGCATTCCAGACATCTTAATCTATTTGACATTTAACTTAACATCAGCTGTTGATATTATTAGATGAATTCATACCAAACTTATCTCAAGCACAGGGTGAGAGAATGTAGGAAAAGTTCAAATGTCAATTTCCAAGCCTCTTTTGATGCTCAGGGTTTGAACAGATCACTGAGTATTCTTTCTGGTGACGCCCACCTGCTAAAAGGAAGTGTTACAACCTGGTCAGCTGTAAATCTTGCAATTGTTCACCTTGACCGGAGGAGTTGGATTGGTTATTGCCTGCCTGGGGACACTTGGTGCACCACAGCAGGGGGTATTTTAGTACCCTCGCCCCCGCAGTGGTATTAGATACTTATACAGGTGTTATACCCACATAAACATTAGGGTGGGGTTGAAAATCGTGACAAACTGGTGTCAGCTGATTTGGTACGTGATATGTCGGTGGTGCAACAAATACCCGGATAACAGGTGTACTGAAAAGTCTGATGGAAAATGTCAGCAGGATTGTAACAATAGAAATGGGAAAAACAAACAAACTGACAAAATTTCTGCATATGATGAATGATAATAGCAGCGCTGAGTTTGAATCAATTCAGCCCTTAGAAGAGTAATTTGATGTCAGGTTCAGGTTCAAATTGCAGGCTGCAGAAGTCGCTTCACCCAAATCATCTCTAGACATCCTTCCAAAATGAACATGTTTTAAAATTTCAGCAACATCTAAGACATCAGAACGTTGTTTATGTCAACACTGATGATCATAATGTCACATTGTGAATTGCATTTAGTAAATTTAACTTATACTACAGAGTATATGCTGGACTTGACCTGCACCATGGTAATTGACGGACAGAGCTGAAACAAACTGGATCATGCAGATATAACTCATACATTCTATATCATATAAAATGGTCTTTTAGGGAAGTTTACAAATACTGTAAATCAAATGTGTTACTTATTCTTAGTTATTGATATGCTCACCTGTTTATTCCTGTTACGCCACTGCAAACATCTGAAGTAGATTATTTATACACGTATTGTAAACTGGCAGTGCTGTAGTCTCAAATGGTTCATGCAATTGTGTAGTGCAGTGTATGGTTGGTAGCAATGTTAATTTTGAAATGATCCTTTTATTGATAGAACCACTGCTGTTTTAGTGTACTAGTTATTTCCTTGTACCACCATCCAACCTGTGCATATAATTGATTTGTTCATTGTGTAACTCCAGAAAAATTCCAAACATATGTGACCCTCAAGCTTCAGAATGCGAAGAGTACCACGATAGCAGTGAAAGGCAATAGTCCCAGCTGGGAGCAGGACTTCATATTGTAAGTACAGGTGGAATATTGATCAGTCCTGTCTTTGTAATGAATATTCGGTGTGTTCTCTGCCTAGACAACCGGAATAGACTGAACACAGAATGTTACAGGAAGTATGTGCAGCCAGCGTTAAAGCAGGCAGGACAAGTGAGATAAGGTTTCATCAAGTATAATATATGACAAGCTTTTTAACAAGCATTAAGCATCATATTGATAAGAAATATATGTGTTTTCATAACTCTAAGATTATCTTCCTGTGGCTTTCACATGCATTTGGCAAAATGTTGTAATTTCAATAAGATTTGAATGATGACTATAAAGTATGCCTCTTTATTTTTATGATAGCTCAGTCTCAAGAGACTGTTTAATTAATGAAATTATTGAAGACAATAGAAGATAATTATAATGCACTGGAAAATATCTTGTTGTATTTTGCAGTGAAAAAGAGAGACTATATACAACTTTTACTTGCATTTTTCACAATGACAATATGAAGCAATGTCATGACCTGTATGATAGCTACATGTACAAAATATTACATTAGAGTGTATCTTGTTAGAAGATGAATAGATATACAGTAAAGTTGTGTTTGTCTGACTGACATGTTATTTGCTTGCTATGTTGCAGTGAAACAGAGAGACTGGACATGTGTTTGGTGGTAGAGTTGTGGAATAAGGGGATGCTATGGGACTCCCTACTGGGAACTGTGGTAACTCCACTTCAGACCATCCCCCAGTCTTCTGAGGTACCACGTATTTTCATTCATAATCATAAGGCAGCCTCGCACCCCTTAAGGTTGTTTAATAAATGTTGTACTTAGATGCCTCTAACTTAAGTGCATATTTTTTTACACCATGTAGTTTAAACAACCTTTTTTTTACAACTGAAGCATCATCAATGTTATACTTATAGAGATGTAAATCTAGATTTTTGATATTTTCTTAATTTCAAGCTCAATTTTCCCGCAGGAGAATTGTAATGATTCATGAAATCACAAGTTAATAAACTGTATTTGGTCTTGCTACCAAGGAGAAAGTACAGGAGGTGAGAGACATTTTAAGAACTTTTTGCAGGATTAATTGTTATGACGAGCCCCAACCATTGCTATATACAATTAGTGTAATACGTTTGTTTTGTCCTTTTCTGTCGGTATCCACGTCAGTGTAGAAGATTTGTTTGTGCTTTTTTCTATGATATATCTATATTTAAGGTTGACGTCTTGATCACGAGTTTTCTTAAGGTGATGTGTCTATAGATATTGCAACACTATATGGCCATGATTCTTTGGTTGCATGATGAAGTGGGACCAAAAAAAATGTATCTTTAAACCTAGACGCATACTAGAGTAATTGAGAATTCAGTAACATATTTAGTATTCATTGTGATCAATACGTACTGCATTGGTTGTGTCACGTAGGCAACCATGACTCATTCAGATCTCTGCCTCGCCCGGAAATTGAATCCTTTTCCTCCGAGAAAAAAAGTTAACGAGATTCTTTTATAGCACAATGAGCAGACCATGCACACACCAGTCTGAGACAGTCCATGACAATTAGTTCTATTGCCCGATCCTGTATAACTCTTCTACCAGTCAGAATTTAATAGCTCTTCAGGTCTCCACGCAGGCCAACCCTCATACCAGTGTCCATTTATCAATAAGCATGTGGGAGGATGTGTGATGACTGCATCATGATTTCCTTTTCCAGTATCATTTCCTTGTGAAGGAGATTTACATTAGCTGAGCCTTTTTTTCAGTAACCAGTAAATTTTTTATTTCTACCCACATATACATTAGATTATGTCAACTTTCTGGGGGGCCTTTGATTTTGATCTTACCTCATTTGTAATCCAGCCGCTTTACATGAATTGTTATTGATGGATGGTTTCATTTTGGAATTTATCATTATGCATCGTGTAATTCATAATACGCTACTTGCGTGTAGACCCCCTTTTAGGCCTTTGTCCAGCAGTCCAGTTGGTCTTGGAGAGCTTTTAACAAGAACAAAATCCATGAGCTGTTTAGCTCCAGCATTGTAACACACGCCTACTGCATAATGCGATAACAGTCAGGTTTTCAAATGCCAGCAACTTATACTAAGCCTGTAACAAATGTTAACACTTAGCGTTCTACTTAACCAGTAGGGGTTCTTGTCTGTAAGTTAGTGTAACCGTTACAACATGTACATGTACTTTGAAATTCGCTGAGCAAATATGTAACATGTCCTGAGCCATGGAAAGCCCTAAATTGCGTTCACCATTCTTCCTCAAAGGATATGAAATGTGAAATGTTTGAGGATTGGCAATTTGGGGATTTTCCTCCCCCTAAGAAATGCGGCGCAATTCAGGCAATATCTGGCAAATCTTTGAAATACAAATTGCACATTATGAATAATGTTCCCTATTCATACCCATGCATATCAGGCTACCTTAGATACATGTTGCTGTCACAGAGATTGCATGAAGTGGTCAATCCTAAATCACAGGAAGCTCTGCTTGCCTGGAAATGGAAACCTTTTCCCCTGGGATTTGATTTAATGAGATTCTATTGAATAACATGAACAGATAGATAAATAAGACCTGGCAGGAGTCAGTTATAGATTTGTCTATTATGATCACTTACACTAGATCAGCCTGTATATAGCTTGGCTACTGTACATGATTTCTTAGAAATAATATCTCTCCTGGCCTTGCTGCGGGCCAACATTATCCCTACGTGGTTGAATTAAGTAAGGCAAACATGAATTACTCAACCCACTGCCTCCAGCAAAATGGAAATGGAAACCATGGATTATAAGTCAACAGGACGAGAATTATCAAATGGTCTTTCTTGCCTTGTAATATGTCTCCCATAATAGTCCCATTGTATCAAGTGCACGTTTTGCTGTATGATGCACATTTTTATATGTTATGCCATAAGCTCCCAATCTACATAATTTAGTGGGCACCAAAGAAGCTAGCTGTAGGCACATGATGTAGCAGCCATATTTATAATGTACATTATTCATAAACTTACTAAGGCACGTAATGGTATACTAGTATTCTTGTGTAGCCGTTTTGTGTTTTCTTGCCAGTGGCCTTTTTTGGTAAATACCAAATGAATTATAGTGATGTCATAAATAAATTTTCATAATCATGTAATTATGCCAGGACAGTGGCATATTGGCATGGCCTGGTGTCTCCTGAGACCCACACCGTTTTACTCACTGACAGGTTCTTTGAAAGTCTTACATAATCAAGTGTCACACCTTCATGTTTGAACTTTGGACTGTGATGTGTGCTCAGGTGCCAGGACTCCACACCACCAGACCTGGGCTCATTCTTGATAGAGGCCCATTAAAGGGTTTTGTGCCCTGGTTTGGCTTCAGTCCGTTCAGACCATAAATCTTGTGGGTTTATGTTGTGAAGGTTTATGAAAGGGGAAACTGCAGTACATCAGATTGTAAAGGTACAAAAATGAAAGGGAAAATTGTTTAGTACAAGCTCCTTCAAGAGAAATCTGTTTTGTTTTATTTTGCCACTTGGAAGTTGGCGTTAAAAACAATTTATGCAATACCACTGTGGACCATACATTGGGAATTCCATGTATTACAAACCTGATTTTATTCATGACATCCATGTATGTGCATTGGTTTTGGTTTGAACCCTCCTCATGTCTCGCCTTTTGACAGATAGGCTGTGGTTGGCAGCAATGTTAGTGCCCCAAATATTATTTCTCATAAATCAAGACATCACTATCAGATTGATTAACATGTCTGAACCCCATGTAATCTAGAAGCTTTAATGTACATGTGTGTGTTAATCGTAAACAAAATTCATGAGAAATAAATCTTTCTGTCATTAAACAACTTTTTTAAACACTTTGCATTAGACTTAGGAGCTTCAGGAAATGTCTTCCCAAAATGTGTGTGGGCTAGATGAAATAATTTGTAGAGCCTATTTAGAGCAATCAAATGACAAAAAAACTAAGGATAGCTGAATCAGATGTTCTTTCAGTTGAATAAGCCAATAACTGACTGAATTTTTTCATTATTGACAAAATTTGTGGCAAGAAATATAGAATTTGCACTGTAATAGACTACATGATGGTAAAATTATTATCTTTTTGTTGATTATGCTTATAATCAACTTAATTGAATGAATCTGTTTGATAGCTTTTAAAAAATAGTTTTTTTTGGCACCTGGAATAACTGAAATGCAGTGAGTGACCAAATGAACGCTGATAGAATTTGTAGCAGCCCAGGAGAGGTCACAGATTTTAATTGAGGTCAGGAGAATCTGGCTGCCTCCAACACAAAAGGTGTGATTGGGGTCAATTTTGGGAGTAGGAGCTGTCATACCCATATCTAGGTTGTTTATTGGCCGGGTCTTTTGTGCATTGGGGAAAATAAGTACCCTATGATATCAGAACCATTTACTGGTGGCCTTGGCACCAATGGGGTATTAGATACTGGAAAATCCTATGGCTTGTAAAAGGGGGTCATCTATTCCTGACTCATGCATTATGAAACTCACCTTTCTCATAATTGATTGGGTGAGTTCTTGCAAAGTAATAACGTTGCTTACATATTGATGTATCATGAGGAAGAGGTCATATTATGCATCTGTCAAGGAAGGGAGAGTGCTATATGTCATACAAGTCATAGTTGCTTCTTGGGTTAATGAATCAGATTTTTAGCTGTAAAAGAGCCACAAATTGTGTATCAGAGACTGTATCTATAAAATAATATGAATTGTACAGTCAGCTGTATTGATAGACACATTGTGATTTTAGAGGAAGTCTGACATCTCAAGAATGATGAATGGTAGCCACTTGAAATTCACACCATGCTTGTACATGATACATTTGGACAGATATGATGGCATTCTAATCCCTCATGATTATGATCTAATTTCTGTTACACCTACTCTTATACGCATGTTTGGCAGGACAAACATGTAAGGCATACTGATTACCTCCTTTGGTCAGATGTGATCACACTCTAGGCATCCTAATTTTGCTCAGGCTCTGTTACCATCTACTGGATAAGCAATATTCTAGATGATGACCATCTTACATGCACATATAGCATAAAATTATAGTCATTATCTTGCACATTGCAACACAACTGCAAAATATCTCAATTCTTTGGTATACTGTATTTGTAATATGATTTGGCCTGTGCCGATATTTAAGTTAGTTGTTTTATTGCAGGAGGGGCCAGGAGATTGGTACAGTTTGGATGCAGACGTTCTGATGAAGAATGATGTCATCAGTGGGACCAAAACACCAACTAACCACCAAATCATGTTGGATATGCGCTTTGAAGTACCATACAGTAAGACTGGCTTTTAGTATTTCTTCTGTGGGGATGATTAAGTTTTATTTCAAAAGAGTAAAACATGATACAATAATTCAAGGAATGTTGCACCTTATTGAAGAGTGAAGGGAGAAATGGGCCATAAGACTTAGTACTCCTGATTCAATGAAAGTTGGCAAGAAATAATCTTGCAGTGTCCAGTAATGGCAGTATCTTTGACTCTTGCACTGCTTATGTTTGCAGATATCCCAGATGAGGAGGCCTTCCTCCTGCAACAGAAGCTTGAGGCTTTCAATACTCTAACAGATCAGGAGGTAAGAACAGGACCGAGACTGGCTATTGTCACTTAAGATCAAACAATTTTATCTTCATTGGATTAAATCAAATGTAAAACCTTAATCAGTTCAATGGTGATACTTGATAAAAGTTTTTATATGGTTATATCCAGTTTGTTATCGGAGATTAAACAGCACAAACCAACGTAAGTCTAAAATAAAGCCTCAAAGTGTACTGTTGTATGCAAATTTTTCAGGTTCCGAATGTTGATGAGGAACTTCGGCAGAGAGGGAGACCACCAGGACAGCAATGTGAGTTTGGGTAACCTCATGTGCAGTACAGCTTACATGTGGACTATATGCATCAAACTTTTGTGAAAGCTACAGTTACTGCAGAACATGAATCACATCAATACCGGGTAGTTAAAATACAATGTAGCTAAAACAGTTTGTCTTTTCTCAGCACGGTTGACAGTTACATTGGACAGCACAATCTTCACATTTGTATTCCAGTCATTTTTGTTGATGATTGATTGTTTTGTATTCCAGCTATGTCTGATGATGTGGATAGTGACTACACATCAGATGGAAATGTCCCCTATGACACCCAACAGAACAACATCTCCGTCCATCAGTATAGAAATATGTACCAAGCACATAGTCCAGATGGTTTTACAGACCAAAGTCCAGAGGTGTTTCTTCAGGAAGAACGACAACAGAACGTGCAGCTTCCAAATGAAGACTTCCAGCCTATGGACGATCTGTACCATGATGCTTTTGATGTGTGAGTTGATTGGTCTAAGATGCTATTTATAAAAAAAAGTGTTTGTGAACAATTGTGGCACATGTTGTCTTCAGTGCACTTGCAACACACATGTACATGTAGGTTTGCCTCTACAAAAATGTACACCAAGTATGCCTTATGATGGGTTATGTTTTTGTACAATGGTACAGATAATAATGTTATTTGGAAGACTCATGCAGCTTTCCATCACATTTACTTTACTTTAGTTTCTATCTTAAGGCACAAATAATGTTTTTACAACTATTTTTTTGACTACAGTGAACTGAAGATATCTTTAAAAGACATTGTCCTCATTTGTTTATTTTGCATGATTATGTTATCGGTATTTACATTCAGTAGCATTTTAATGAGTGTTGAGCTATTACTAAAGGGTAAGAAGTAATGTGTTGGCAATGTTGTGGTTCAGGACCAATTGTACCGTGATGTGAGCATCCGTCCTGTGATAGAGTGGCTGCTCTCTGTTTAGCTTTGTACGAAGGCAAGGCAAGGCAAGGTGTGACTTATTGTCTGCTATCAAGAATAGAGCAGTTGCATAAGGAGGGCAGTCACATACGAACGTATGATTGGGAGTTTGTTTCCTCTGTTCTGTCCCTCCTTCAGCTACAATTCCTTGGACGGAGAGCCCAATAACTACAATTCAGTCAGTACTGGAGTACCCAGGAGTGACATAGACACAGAATCTGAAGCTAGCTCTTTCCATACCGCTGTCAGTCGCTTGCCGCGGGAGGGACAGGAGTCTGGTCACGCCCCACGTGCAACCCAGACCAACAAGACCATGGGCAGCAGCAGGCAGTCTCTTGTGGGAAGCAGGCAATCATTGCTTCTGGATAGGTAAGTACTAGAGGTGGGACAGGCATACTGGACCTGTCTGGTACTTCACTTCAAACCCATACAAAAACTGAACTGGAGCAGGATCTGATCCTCTGGCCCTTACCATGTCAGGTCAGTTCCCATCACAAGTCAGTGCAGTTTGTGGTGACAGCATGCAAAGCTCACCCATTCTTTCTTTTTTTTAGGTATTTGGCTGGCTGTGTCCATAAAACAATTAGATATTCAGAATTAAAGTAAATGTGATGGAAAATAGCAGTTAACATTATAATTTATAGTAATACAAAAGGTACAGGTATAAATAAGCACACTTTATGTACTAAATCTTCAGGCCAGAATGTATCTCTCTCAGCCCAGTGAATGGCACAGGCAGCCGCATGTCTTCAGCAACTGTCAGCAGACAGAGCACTGCAGAAAGCGAGCAGCCTCCGAGTACGGTGTCTCCTCGGGAAAGTGACAAGGATGGGGCACTGACAGAGGAGGAGAGCAGCGAGAGCCCCACGCCGGCCAGACTTCGCTGGCAGAACGCCATCGCAAAAGTTCGAATGCAGATCAGGCAAGAGGTGGGTCATCATCTTTGTTTGCCACATCTATCTCTAGAACATTTGAACATGAATACCCTGCTTATTATATGCATTTAGCTGTCCTGAGAACATATTTCTTTGACAGCATTAAAGAATGTATTTCAGTAAGTCTGACTCTGTTTGGAAAGTTATGATTTAGTGTAGCATTTGATAATTTCCACTTTGCAGAAAGAAGCTGAAATTCGTGAGTCAGGGGGGAGAACCTCCCACTGGTCTGGACTGTTACCAATGGGGTAAGAATTTATTTTTTGCCTAGTAAGTTAATCATGCACTTAAACAGGTGAATATGAAGTCTCAATATGTATACATTGTAATTTGAAAAGTGAATTCTATAATTGTAGCATACACTTTAGGAACTGTAATAGTTATACTCTAAACATACATATTTTAGGAATTGTTATCTGGTTTCCGTCGCATTAAATTAATCTATTTCTTCTATTATTTCGTAATGCAGAAATGCAGAGCATTTCTACAGCAATATAGATGCAATGCCAGAAATAATGAAGAGGAAAAAGTCCATTCCTTTAGTCAGTGAATTGGTAAGTTTCATACCAGTTTCTTTCTTGTTTTTTAAGATGCTAATAGGGTAATACAGTGGTAGGTCAAAGATTTGAAAAACTAAAACTTGATAAGGTAGGGTGAAAAGATAAGTCACTCTCTATAAGACATCTTTAAGTTGTTAGGTGTATTTCCTTTGCCTCATCCATTCAAATTGTAAGCAGTGGGAAGTGAAAACCCATTATTCCATAATTAGTCAAGATCAGAACTCCATACATACGTAAGGTATTAATACAAACCCATTCTATAATAACTTAAGTCTTTCTCTTCCTGGTCTAATGTCAGTTGAAGGAACCCTCTGGTGAGCGGAAGTGTTTTGTGCTGGTACCTACATCCTTTGGCTTATTGGGGAAGGCACACATTTTGCATTGCTTTCTTTGGGTGATGCACATTATTAGATGGGTGTTGTTAAATTATATCGTCATGTAACGTGTGTTTCTTGAGGACCAACAGATTTCTTTTTTTTTTCAACAGTGAAAATCACAAAAGTAATTGTGGTGCTTTTGGTTGAAGGAGCATGTTTAATGATTATATAGAGAGAAACACTTTGTTACCTCTGCTTTAGGTAGCAGGAATTCATTTAGCAGTTGAATTCCTATAGACAAAGCCTAGACTGCCTACAAGCATCTTCGTCTGCACCTCAATCTCCCAATGTTTCACTGTCTATTATCAAGCATGCCTAACGTGAAACATTAGTCCATAGAAAGGTCTTGTCACTTTTCATTGTAGAAAAGTACAGTACTTTGTCCTTCCTGTATCTATGAACCTCTGTTTATATCTGTCTGTCTGTCTGTCTGTCTGTATAATGTGGTGTTAACCAGTTCTTGGTGTTTCTCAGTAGAAACATGATAGAGACAAGTAGTTCTACATTGAAATTCATTTGCATATGCTTATTCAGTTATTCATTTATGACAAATGTCATCGTAGGTTTTGTGTAGCTTTTATCTTGTTGTACGTGTTTTGTCTGAACTTTGGGTTGTTACTGATTTTCTTTTCGCACCCAATCTTGCTGCATACTCCTCTGCTTCCATGGAATTTGCTAGGCAATGGTAAGTGCATATCAACTTGAAGGGAGTGAAAATATGTCTGTTGTGCCTGTACTGGTGTGATTGCATGTTGAATAGTTGCCAAGAAAAGATAATGATTAAGTATGTACTGCTTTACTATATAACTGTGCCAAATGGTAAATCTAAATTGCTAAATGGTTTTAGACAGGCAGAAACAGTTGGTATTAAAAGAATGCAGATAGTAGATTGTTCTGTGTTTATGTCATTTTCCTTGCATGCTGTTGAGGAAGCTCATGCCATATTCTGCTGCACTTGCTTACTGTGCATCATTGATACAGCTCTGGCCTTGTTTGTACATGTTACTTGTTACGTTTTAAAGGAGAAAGTCTTGATGACACTTACACTGCTCATACTGGGTGTTTATAAGAATTTTTTTCATGCATTTTCTAGTCCTTGGCGGCAATGAAGCGACAACAAGGTATCCACAATGCCATGGCAACCAGATCATCCCTCAATGATGAGGAACTGGTGAGTTTGGTTTAATCACATCATAATATCTCCTTTGAAGAAGTTAGATATGTCATCTTTCTGTGTAATGGTACATCTCATACAGGTGTTTGGAATAGGTTTGCTAGTGTAAATTAATTCAAGCTCATATAGCACTGTGAAAATCAAGTACATGCACTTGTAGTACCTCTGAGTTGAAGTTTGTGGTTGTACTTACTTAAGTATCACAATGCAATACAAAGGTGATTTTTTTATTAAAAAATTTGGATAATCTTTATATAACTAGCCATTGATGCTAATTCTAATGTATAATGTGCTGATCTAAGTCTTTCCTTTTTTCCTGTTAGAAACAACACGTCTATAAGAAGACTTTGCAGGCCTTGATCTACCCCATCTCCAGCACCACTCCTCACAACTTTGAGATGTGGACGGCGACAACTCCGACCTACTGTTACGAGTGTGAGGGGCTCCTGTGGGGGATCGCCAGGCAAGGGGTCCGCTGTACCGAGTGTGGGGTCAAGTGCCACGAGAAGTGCAAGGACCTTCTGAATGCAGACTGCTTACAACGTGAGATCTGATTTTGATTGTTCATCCCAAAGGAGTGAATATTGTTTTTCTCGCATCTGTCTGTCCCTCAATGTTTCCATGATTCCCTGTAAGCAATGTGTAAACTTTCAGGTTACCTTTTTTCCAGGTGCGGCAGAAAAAGCGAGCTCAAAGCACGGAGCAGAAGACAAGACACAAAACATCATCTCAGCCATGAGGGACAGGATGAAAATTAGGGAGAGAAACAAACCTGAGATTTTTGAGCTGATCAAGTAAGAAAACCAGCCAGCTTTACATATCAATTACATAACAAGAACAGGTTTGAAAGTACTGCTTTTAGCGTGTACAGTCCAGGCAAGAATACAAGAGCCCCTACAAATCCATAGATGGATAGCTTATAATGTTTCATACAATTATCACAAAGTGATAAATTATGGTAATGAAATGTACTTTTTGTTTCAGGGAAGTTTTTAGTGTAGACAAGACCTCCCATGCAGGACACATGAAGGCAGTGAAGCAGAGTGTTCTGGATGGGACATCCAAGTGGTCAGCTAAACTAGCGATATCAGGTAGGGAGCATAGTGTTCCAGCATAGAATGTTGTGACTGTGAAAGATTATTTTGACTAGATGGGTGTGCAGTAGGTCTGTATGGCCAAAATGTTTTGAATGTACTTAAATAGCTTTTAGAATAGACAGAACAAAATTGATCAAAATGGGAAGATTCAGACCATAAAAAAAATGCAATGATGTCTACCTTCTGTTTCCAGCCTACAAGATATGCCAATTTGAGAGATGTCCTTCTGAGAGTCTGGAAAAGGGACTTTTAGAAGGAACTTTTTAGAAAATAGTTTCAAAGTAAACATAAGGCAAAGAGGAGATCAAACAATTTAATCTTTCTCTCCAGTGGTGAGTGCCCAGGGCCTCTGTCCAAAAGACAAAACTGGGACCAGTGATCCATATGTGACAGTGCAAGTTGGCAGAGTCAAGAAGAGAACGAGAACAGTAATACAGGACCTGAACCCTGTCTGGGACGAGAAGTTTTACTTGTAAGTGCTAGATAAACTTAAGTTATGATTGTTAGAAAACATAATACAAGGTGTTTATACCTTGTGCAATGTGCATTTATGGTTGTGATTTATTCTGATTTTCCTCAAATCCTAGCAGGTGCTACGAAGAGTAGAAACTGTGAACGAAACAGTGTCACGGAAAGTTGTGATTGTGTGTTACAAGTAATTAATTATACTGCATCGAAGTCACCTTTAGGTGTAGTTGGTAGAGTAGCCAATGTTAAAGATTGTCTGGCAGTGAGCTGTTAAAATCCATCTATTGTGATACCAATTTTCTCTTTCTCCTGCAGTGAGTGCCATAATTCATCTGATAGAATCAAAGTCCGAGTATGGTAAGTATCTCTGCTTTCCTTAGTCCCATTAGCTGACTTGCATTGTTTTGTTTCATCAGATTCATCAAAATGTATGATTCAGTGTTGACTTTTTCTAAAACAAAGACTTTGCAAATACTGTTTGTTCCAGGACATAGTTACTAGATGATATATGCTAGATGATCCCACTGTTGTTCTCAATCTGTTACAGGGACGAAGACGATGACTTCAAGTCCAAGTTGAAGCAGAAGCTTAGTAGAGAATCAGATGACTTTCTTGGCCAAACTATCATAGAAGTCCGAACTCTCAGTGGAGAGATGGACGTTTGGTACAACTTAGGTAAGGAAGAAGACTTAAGATGATATACATGCTCTTACATGAATTTTCCAGAGTTAAGTAAACAGTAAAAAAAGTTTCCCTAGATGAAGCACAGATTCAAATATAAGGATTGTAATGTTGGAAAATTGCACTGTCTAATGAAGTGCCATTCTGTTATAATTCTATACTATTCCAACATTATGCTCTTACCCCCGGTACTAAAATAGCAACTTTTTTTCCTTTGTAGACAAGAGAACAGATCGATCTTCAGTATCAGGAGCAATCAGGTTACGTATTAGTGTGGAAATCAAGGGAGAGGAGAAAGTGGCATCTTACTATGCACAGTACACATGCCTACATGAGGTAAGCATGCCTGCATTAGGAATCATTGTACCTTTTTATTGACCTTCTGTATATATTTTTTTGTATCTAGTCATTGTCTTTTTTTTATCTGTGTCCAGCTGTTTGACTGTGTATTACTGTAGGCCAATTCATTCTTATTAGAGATGGAAATATGACAGCCTCAACTACAACTACAATGTACAACTCCAAATTCATTTACATTCCTATCCATGTTTCTTTGGGACATGTATTAATAATCTGGTTGATCTCTCCAACAGAACCTCTTCCACTATCTCTGTGAAAAGAATGGTGGGATGTACAAGATACCTGATGCAAAAGGAGTAAGTGTTACTTTATTCACCAATCTTCAGAGTCTTGTTCAGTGTCTTCTTTTTATGTTGAAATGTTTAGCAGTTAACAAAGCAGGGTTCTGGGCCAAACATTTGCTAAGCAAGCTTTCATACTTGATCTGAGTTAACTTTCTTTGTGTAAACATCTACCTTGCATAGCACAGATGATTGACAGTATTAATTGTTGTTCCTTTTTGCTGCTGTATTTTATTCATTAAGATTAAAGACAAAACCTCTAATTTGTCTTAACTGCAGGATGATGCTTGGAAGATTTACTTTGATGAACCTGCCCAGGAGATAGTGGACGAGTTCGCCATGAGATACGGCATTGAGTCCATTTACCAGGCAATGACGTACGTTATCCCTAAGTTAGTCTGCAAACCACCTGATGACCATGTTGTATACTAGCATTTTGATGTGCCAGTACTGGCTGATGAGTATGTATATTGCATTGTACATGATAGGGACAAACATCTCATGCAGATTGGTGCTTTGACTCCACTGTGCAGTAATGTTCAATGGAGGCATGTATTGAGACCTTGCACACTCTCCACATGCACATCCACATACAAACATTTGCTACATAGCAGGATATTAGGCAAACTCCAGTGCCTGCTGTTACTATATGTACACATTAAGTTAGTTAACAACCTATAATACTAGACAATTTCATAAGTTTGCTCACTAGATGTCAGGACTAGTTATGATGACTCATTTGAATTCTGTCACTGTTCCCTCTGCAGCCATTTCTCTTGCCTGTGCTCCAAGTACATGTGCCCCGGTGTGCCAGCACTCATGAGCACCCTACTTGCCAACATAAATGCTTTCTATGCACACACATCTGCCTCAACCAATGTGTCAGCTAGTGACAGGTTTGCTGCCTCCAATTTTGGGGTAAGTACTGTTTCTTCTGCTGCTGCCAGATATTTCTTTGCTGCTGCAGCTACTTTGTGAACAAAAGTATTTATTCATGGAGGTTCTGTTTTATATTGACTCCCCAACAAAATGTTATATTGAATTTTTGTAGATCTGTAAATATCTATCTCTCATTGGATTGCCTGACATGCACCCAAGGCTGCCTACTCAAATGTTCTATTTGTATCCATCATGGAGAAGTTTACCTTCAGTTGATAATGACCATGTTTTGACTGAAATTTCCAATTTTTTCCATTTCCAGAAAGAGAGATTTGTAAAGCTTTTGGACCAGTTGCACAACTCGCTCAGAATAGACCTTTCCATGTACCGGGTAAGTACTGCCATTGCTTATCAGTATACATGTACTACAAGGCACTCTCACATGATACCTTCCCATGATAATAGAAAAGTTGTTCACATCATGGATGGAAAGAGTATCATCCTTTTGAATTAAAAATATTGTTTTCAATGAACATTATATGGGTTGCTGTGTGTTCAGGGTATATCTTCTATATGAACAGAGTTTGATATTGAGCAATATGTTTATCGAGGTCTCTACTGAAGTCTTATTTGCTACGACATGAGCTATCATGGATTTTGTGTCTTTTCAGAATAATTTCCCAGCCTCCAACCCAGAAAAGTTAGGAGATTTGAAGTCAACAGTAGACCTTCTCACAAGTATTACTTTCTTCAGAATGAAGGTTAGTGGCTGACATCACTTAAAGCTTCAGTCATATGATTTGAACTTTTGACTAGAGACAGGTCATGCCTATAGCTAGTATTTGGGTATTTTGCAGTAAGACTTGAAGCTGTATCTCTAAGCTGCCATTCCATTGTCAGGTCCAAGAGCTGCAAAGCCCCCCACGGGCAGGGACAGTAGTGAAAGAGTGTGTGAAAGCCTGCCTGAAGTCAACATATCAGTACATCTTTGACAACTGCTACGAACTCCATGAGAGAGAGTTTGCTCCAGACAAGGACAAGGACAAAGTCCCTCTGGAGGAGAGAGGTCCATCTCTGAAGAGCCTGGACTTCTGGACAAAACTCATCAACCTTGTTGTGTCTGTAATAGATGAAGACAAAGCTAGTTACACACCGGTGCTCAATCAGTAAGTAGCTCTGTCTGTCTGCTTGGGAACATCTATAAATTGTGTCTTTTGTGTTACTTTTAGCCATTAAATGGTTAGTATTTGACGATGTACATTAGTGCCAGGACTTAGTTGATGGGATAGTAATGACTAGACAATCCCAAGGACAAAATTTACAATAACCAACTCCAAATGTTCTATAGATTCCCATCAGAGCTGAATGTTGGTGAGCTGAGTGCAGCAACTATGTGGGAGCTGTTCTCGCAGGACATTAAATTTGCTCTGGAGGGTAAGCTTTTGATTACTAAGTCTTGAAATGTGGTATCTGTATGTCTATGTTAACTGTTAGATCTCAATATCACTTACTAATAGGTGACACAATCTTACATGCTGTCCTAGGGTTGGCAATGTGCTATTCATAATGATTGAGGAAAAACCTCAACGAATCTTGCAGCTAAGGAGAAAGTACTACAATTAGTATTTTTTTATACAAATGTCAGTCATTGTCTATTATATACCTCATATTTACAAAGGTACAACTACTACATATAAATACAAACTTAACGTATTCTTTTACTTGCAGAGCACGATCAGCACAGGTTGTGTCCAGTAACAGACTATATGAACCTGCACTTCAGAGTCAAGTGGCTTTACAATGAGTATGTAGCCAAGGTGCCTCCTTACAAGGGAACAGTTCCAGAATATCCCAGGTACAGAAGAGCAGTCATGTTTCCTCTATATGTGCTCCAATTGCTTCCTCGGGTTGTCTTGCCTAAATGTGTTTATGCCTTAATGATACATGTACTGGACATGTATCAGACACACCAAAATTTTAATCTCTCCAAATCTTTTTAATGAGAACAGAAAGATGTCTGCAGACGTACATGTAGGTAGTAATCTTAAGGTAAAGACAATCAAATAATTCTTTTTCAGTGTGCCTGATAGTTCCTGTTGTTGTTTCAGGTGGTTTGAACCATTTGTGCTGCTCTGGCTGACAGAGAATGACAAGGTGTCCCTGGAGTTCTTACATGGTGCACTGGACAGGGACAGAAAGGATGGGGTGAGTTAGGCTACACTGCAGCAGTAAAAGATCATAGACCAGACCACAGCAAAATTCTACAGTTATCATCATTGAAATCTATCAAGCTTTAGACAGATCTAATGATTTTACCAGGTTTGGTTGTCATAAGGTTGAGATGATTAATCAATCTACATGTACCATCTCTACCGTTCTAGTTCCAACAAAGCTCGGAGCATGCGTTATTCTCCTGCTCTGTGGTGGATGTGTTCACTCAACTGAACCAGAGTTTTGACATCATCAAAAAGCTAGAATGTCCAGACCCAGAAGTGACCAAGCATTACATGAAGAGGTTTGCTGCTGTGAGTACAGTTGTTTTCTTTTTTAACTTCATGTTTGAAGTGTGCTATGGCCAATGATTCCAGATTAAATTGTAGCTATTAGCTTGTAGTTATGTACAAATAAAAGATACATGTAGTACATGTAGTGTACAAGATTACATTATCTGTCATTGTACATGTATAGCACTATGACTACACCCTGTAATACTATGGGACATTGACTGATGAATTGTCTATCTTTTCCAGACTGTCAACACTGTATTGCTGGAGTACGCTAACATTGTGCAGAAGGAGTTTGACCAGTACTGTGCAGAAGAGAAAAAGGTGACCAGCAATCTATTCATGTAGAAGAAGAAAAAAAAAACATTTCATTAATTGTATGCCATGCTGCATAAGTAATGAAACACATAGAGCAGCTCAGTTCTAGAAGTAACTTTGAGAATCTTACATGTTACAAGAACTGTTGTGGGCCTGTCCCGGGTGCTGAAACACTGTCACAAGAACTGTTGTGGGCCTGTCCCGGGTGCTGAAACACGGTCACAAGAACTGTTGTAGTACTGAAACAATGTAGCAAGAACTGTTGTGGATCTGCCCTTGTACTGAAACACTGTTACAAGAACTGTTTTGGATCTGTCCCTGGTGCTGAAACAATGTCACAAAAACGTGTGTGTCTGTCCCTGGTGCTGAAACACTGTCACAAGAACTGTTGTGGGTCTGTTATAACTGTTATAAGACACAATGGACATCAGGCTTTTCCCGAATCGTCACTGTAACATTTGATTTTTGGTTGTTTCTGCAGGCATGTGTCCTGATGAACAACATTCAGCAGCTCAGAGTTCAGCTGGAGAAGGTCTTTGAGTCCATGGGTGGTGATAAGGTATGGAACAGACCTCTGGGATAAGGTTGTGTCTTGTCAGTCAAAAGTATCAAGTTCTTTTTATAATTGTACATTTTGTATTAGCTAGACTATATAGTGATATGTATTAGCTAGACTATCAAGTGATAGGTAACATGGCTGTGCTGTCTTGTAGGTAGCAGAAGTTGGATTTCTCCATGACTCCATTTTGTACTTGTTCTGTATGAAAAGTCTGTGTGTTGATTATTCCCAGCTGGACCCGGAGGCAGGTGATATTCTAAAAGAACTCCAGGTGAAGCTCAACAACGTGCTGGATGAACTCAGCCAGGTGTTTGCCAACAGGTGAGCTTCTGAAAATTGGCGTGTCTGAATCTAGCTTAACTTACTGAAAACTTTTTCCTTTTAATTTGACAAGAAAAATGTTACAGATGCTTGTATTTTTTTAATGATTAGGTACAATAAGCAATTCAGACCAACTTAGCCTTATTTCTGTGTATTTTTCTAGTCTTGAGCCCCAGATAAAGGAGGCTGTTGTGAGTATGGGTAATCAACTCAGCAAGATCAAAGGAGCAGGAAATGTTTCTCTCAACCAACCAAGCGCCAGAAATAACGTCGCCCAAGAAGCTGATGTCGTCATCAAACCTCTCATGGACCTGTTGGATAAAAAGTTAGTACACTTTGATTTGTCAGTTCTCTGATATTTTCTTCAAAAAATGATTTGCAGATGCATGTGAGTGATGTAGATTCAAAGTTTGTAGAAAAAGTCCACCTCAAGAAGTCTTTGAAGAAAGCTTTGCTGTAATTTAAAAAAGGTCATTTGATACATTTTCCAGATCCTCAAATTTTCAGGTCACGAGTGATACAGGTCATCACATTGGTGTAACTTAAGATAGACAACTTATTGGGCTGTACACTGTATGTATTGTAAATACATTTAATCCTTAAGCACATCTTCTGTGTTCTGTACAGTTTGACACTCTTTGCCAAGGTCTGTGAGAAGACAGTCCTGAAGAGAATCCTAAAAGAGCTATGGAGGATTGTCATGAACACCATGGAGAAGACTGTCGTTCTGCCACCTCTCACAGACATTAGTGTAAGTATCCAGGTTATCTCTATTTTTTGACACACACTAAAAAGTGCACCTTGCTGTACCATCAAAACCTCTCCTTCATACTGTGTGTTTTTTGTCTACCAACAATATGTAGATTGTTGTGATTAGTTTTTGCACTGGTCACACTGTCCAGATACATTTCTGTGCTTGGATCTCGTATTTGCGCCTCTGAGTCTGCTAGCACTCAATGACAGAAATTAGTCTAAAGAGACCAATATTATATTAATTGTAGATACTGGGCAGGCACTGATATATGTTGAAGATTGTTTGAATAATTGTTTCTTTTATTAGTAATTAAAGGCACTTTTAAAGCAAAAAAATACTACAGGTGCATTTACATGTATGAAACAGCCAGGATTTATGGGCAACTTTTGCATGCTAGTTTATCTTTTACACATATCCCTACAGCAATCAGAATGAGCTATTTCCAACTATGCCATCCCTAATGGATGTGTCTTTGTTACATGCTTCTGTAGAAAATTGGGCAATACCTACACCAGGTTGAAGAGGTAATGTTACTGTACAAAAGTGGTTGTTTTGTCTTCATGTTTGTGTACATTATTTCAGTTTTGTGATGTGATGCTGATGATATTGATATAGTATGAAAAGATCTGTATAAAAGCATTGACAGAAGAAAAATCAAGTAGTGCACAGAAAACTGTTACACTGTAGTTTTTATATTGAATTTCTAAGGGGTCTGGAGATTTTTTTAAATTGTTACCCTTGCAAGATGGTCGCTAACTACTCTGTGTGTAGAGTTATACAGAGCACCTTGTAGTTAATGAACACTGTTGCTATGGATGTATTCTTTCTACTTTGATTATGAAGGGGATCATATTTTTTGTTGATATAATAAGCTAAGACGTATGTTCTACTTTAGATATAAGATGGACCAAGTTGGATGTTTTTTTGCCGTTAGATGTTTTGTTGGAGAAAGTACATGTATGTCATCGGAATAAGGGCTTTGAAAGTAAAGAAAGGCTTCCTGTGACCATCTAGAACACAATATGGCAGAGCCACCATGCTCTGTGGATGTTACATGTTTGTGTTGTTTATGTATGTTTCCTTGTAGTGTATGAAAACCTGAAGATAATCCAGGATATAAACATTACTCTCTCTCCTTTATTCTATGTCTGCGGACAGGGTTCACAGTTAATTCTGTCTGCGGCCAAGGAACTTGCTCATTTCTCGCAGTTCAAGCAGGTAGAGCTCCTGGCATGGTGTCTGCATGACATGTACAATGACTGCATGCATGCATTCCAGCTGTATTAACTTGGTGTTGTGGGTTGTTAAGTATCTCATGCATGATGAGTAGGTTAAGATTCAAAGATAGAGTAGTCTAATACGCCATTTTTTATCCCTTTGGGTTGACACCAAAATGTCTTCAAGTTGTTAGAACTATTGTTAGAGGAAACTTCACAGAAAGCTATGTGATAGTACCTGTAATCATCAACAACTCTACCCTCATATTTATTTTTTATGTCTGGTTCTTTCCTTAAATGTAATGGTGGCAGTGTACAAATGTATAGCACATTAGCCGTAGGGCATACATTTGAAAGACTGGACCTGGAGAAGTGGTTAAGTTTTATCCAAACCGTAGGATAGACATTACTCCTAGAAGTTTCAGGCTGGGAAAATCTTGCTATTTTCTATTTTTATCACTGCCAAGATGATGAACAATGTCAAGTGTCAGTATCGTGCATATGCATGTGATCTTAGTATTCTACATGGTATTCTTCAGAAAATCAGAAAGAAGCTTGATCTTGAAACTTTAAGTCAAGAGCAGCTTACCTTTGCCAAGTTTCACATATTAAGAGTGAGTACACATATTCCAATGCTGGTGTCTGTGGCCACTGTTGGATGGGCACTAACACAAGTAACAACAACTCTTCTCTGAAACAAGGTTCAAGCTGAGGTCTTACATTTTAGGACTAACTGATGATACCAATCAGTGTCTTTACAAAATTGTACCAGTGCTGTGTATTATACATAATATATCTTTCCGGTGGCCTGTCATTAACATTTAACCTGTAATACAGCATCTCTTCATGAATCATGCTGTAGTGGTAAATCTGCATGTATACTGAAAGCATGAAGAAACAGTGTTAAAGAATTTTGAGATAGAGTTTTGCAGGTATTAGCTTTCTAGTACAGTATAACATTCTGTTCTCTTCAACAGGACATGAACCAGGAAGATGCCAAGAACCTTAGCCCCAGGCAGTGTGCTGTTCTGGACAGTGCTCTGGACACAATTAAGGTACAGACCAAACCATTCATTGATATCTTACTAAGTTATAAGTTAGGTAATGAATTTTAAAGGAGTTTGCCTCTTTATTTTTTTTCTTAACAGCAGAATATTAGGAAATCTAAGTTTGCATGTTCAATTATTAAGGAATAATGGGCCCCAAATTTGGGATAGTTTGCTTTTCAGCAAGCTCTGTTGGTAACTTACATGTATGGCATGTTTTTCCTACTTTAATATTCCAATTTGTTCATCTCGAACAATGAAATCACATGTACTAAAGACGGATATGTGCATGGGTGTATTTTCAAACTGGCAAATTGTCCTAGTAGTCCCTGCAGTATGTAATCCTGTGTAAAAGTAAAAAGTATTCTCTTAAGTAAAAAATTTCCTTTTTCTTCCAGCAATATTTTCATGCCAGTGGGAATGGCCTTAAGAAGACTTTCCTGGAGAGATCCCCAGACCTGCAGTCTCTGAAATATGCACTCTCCCTATACACCCAAACCACAGACACTCTCATCAAGACGTTTGTGCAGACTCAGACTCAGCAAGGTACAGCATTCCCTGCCCTATCCTCCTCTGCAAGGCCTGCTGCTTGTATTATGCAATGGCTTTGGCCTAACAGCCTCCAACTATAGCCAATCAGACACTATTCTGCTTCTTCTTCTTATTAGTTCTTGACCATATGAGGCAATGTGCTTGGCTAGTAACTTTGATATATGTAATCCTAATGGCAATGCTGTGCTGTGCTGTAAGACATACATTGTAAGACACACACTGTATATTCCTGAGAATGCCAACATTTTCTCCACAGACCAGCCAAGTGTAGACGATCCCCAGGGTGAAGTGTCGATCCAGGTGGACCTGTTCACCCACCCAGGAACAGGAGAACACAAAGTCACTGTCAAAGGTAGGAGCTGTCCAGGGTTATTAAGATATCTAGATCTGTAACTCTGTTATGGCACGTCTAAGATTTTATTTCACCAAAATGTAAACTGGTTCATTTTGACCTCTATGTCTTTGACAGTGTAACGTTCAATTACTGTGATTAGTGCTGAACTAATTTGACTAACTCTTCCCCCAGTTGTTGCGGCCAATGACCTGAAGTGGCAGACAACAGGCATGTTTCGACCCTTTGTGGAGGTGAACTTGATTGGCCCGCACCTGAGTGACGAAAGGCGGAAGCACTCTACTAGATCAAAGAGCAATAACTGGTCTCCAAAATATAACGAGACCTTTCATTTGTAAGTAGTCAATTGCTTTTCCTTAGTGTTTTTTTGTAAAATTTATGGGAAGCCAAGATTTCACAGTACTGAAGAATTGCTTAAGGATGTTTATTGGAAAGAAAGCTAAATTGAAACATCATCCACGCTAGTCAGAAAAGGTTTTACACTGAATACTTTTTTTTTTACCTTATCATAACCATTGTTAAATCAGCGCAGACATTTGCTCAGAAATTCACTCAAAAGTATGTATAACATCCTCATTACCACACACCAACATCATCACTCATGTCACTTATGCCTAACATGTATCATCACTTATGGTGGTACATGTGTTGTATGCATGTCTTAAATTGACAAATTTTTTTATCTGTAGCATCCTTGGTAATGAGGATGAGCCTGATGCCTTTGAACTCCACATCTGTGTGAAGGACTACTGCTTTGCCCGTGAGGATCGTCTGATTGGCGTCGCTGTCATGCAGTTGCGCGATATCGTTGAAGCTGGCAGCTGTGCGTGCTGGTGCGCCCTGGGAAGGAACGTGCACCTTGACGAAACAGGCTGGACAATATTACGCATCCTATCACAGAGGTCCAATGACGAAGTCGCAAAAGAGTTTGTCAAGCTCAAATCAGAGACCAGATCAGATATGGAGCTGGGTTGAGCTTATGTGCCCAAGGTGGACATGTCCAACGTCAACATGCCTAAAGTGGACATGTCCAATGTCAACATGTCAGCCATCAATATGCCAAGTGTCAACGTCCCTGATGTTAACATGCCAAATGTGAGTGTTCAGAGCATTGGTATGCCAAACGTCAGCCTACCGAATGTCTCTGTACCAAACGTCACTAAAGCTAAAGCCCAAACATAAGTCCAACCCAGCATCCATACCTCAAACATCCATTGCAGAAATCCCTATCTACCCTATCTTAGGTTTCTTTGACAAAGGGCAAACAAAAGAATGGAATTGCAAGTTGTTCCTGTATATATACTTGACTGAAGCAAGACCAGAAACTGCATTAATTCCAGATGTTTTAAAAGGAAATATCTTACAACACTGATTTACAATATGACAAGCAAACTCAGTAACTGGGTTATGATTGTAACTGTAATTACAAGGTACAATACTATTACCAAAGTACATTTTTACAATGTATGATACCATAAGCCAGGATCAGATTGGAATACTGGTACTGCTAATTTATTTAACCCTGACCTTATTTGAATAAGGTATTCATTCCAGATTCCAATCATTGCTGATAATGTAACTTGCTATTCATGTATTTGGTCTACCCTTACCAGAGCAATGCTTTGTGCATGCAGTCAGATTTTGTACCTTGTATGATATGCATAACCCCCCTTCAGTTTCCTCATACACACATGTAAGAGAGGGATGGTGGACATGACATTGCAGTATTAGAAGATCCATGCCTGTACATGTAATGGAGACCTGAGATACAGGTAAATGCTCTCAATTACATGTTACATGGGGCTGCTAGGCACTTATGCTACTTTGTATATCCATTGAACATTTCCGAATATTTGATTGATATACTAGTACATGTACATGTGTAGCCATTCTAGGGGCATCTAAGGCTTCTGCAATGTGGGTTACACCTGACTTCTGACCTATTGGTGGTAACTAGTGTCAGGCAGTGGGCAGTGCTCTATATCCTGTACATGTACTAAGTCGTCATGGACACTACCGGGAAGTTTGAGCTGACCAAAGCAGCATGGTATGTGAAAACATATTGTGTTCAACTGTTTCTTACTAAATTTCTTCCTCAACAATCTATGCAGCTGAGTGGAAGAGGCAGTGTTCATTGTTTAATAATTGTCTCATAATTACCTACCATTTGAATGGGGTATTCAGATGATGTATATGTGGAAAAAATCTGTAGATGATTATTTGCTTTGTTGATACGTCTTTGTTGGTAGTTTTTGAGGTCCAAGACCATGTGAGATTACTTTTCTACTAGACACAGTGGACTGACTAACTGCTTTGTACTCAGCAGTAATCAACAGTTATCAACATTGTAAAAATTAAGGTAAACAGCTGATTGTTTTACCCAAATCATCACAAGTGCAACTTTCTCATTGCCATGCTTTAATTGTTGCTATGTAGGCAGGACCAACTCCTGTTGGCCCTGCACCTGTACATTGTGTAGATGAAGGTATGGACACAGAAGTATTTGTGGAAAAAGGGCTTGTCGATAGAAAAGAATTTGAATGTCCATGCCTTGTGAATTGATGATTTTGCTATTGACAGAAATAGTGAGGTCTAATCTCAATACAATATCAAATAATTTCTGTTTTGGCAATTCTGTCCTACATGTAGCTGATGCAGCCACATACCCTGTGTGTCCTTGGTTTGTTAGAGCATAGGGATGTACCCAAGTCTGGACAGACATTACCAGTTCATTTTTGGTGTAAAACTGTAACACAACCAGCCATTGTTTACAGGATGAACTGCCCTTCCTTTCCTTTAATTATACTCGCCCTTTTTTTTCTCCCTGTATCATAAGATAAGGTAGAGCAGTGTACATATTGCAGAATATAGGGAATCTAGATTTTGTAAATTGCAACTTTCTTCTTTTTCACCCTGAAGTATTTTGTTATTGTATTCAAGATTCTCCTCTTTGTATTGTTAGTAGAATCCATGCTTAATCTTGTTTTACATTTGGTATAAGATGACAAAAAAAACAACATATTAGTGAAGAGTTGCAAGGTAGAGCTATCATAGTGACTGTATAGACTTATACATACCTGATGCCTGTAACTTAAGAACATGGAAAGCGAGAGATTGCCTATATCGTGTTTCCAGTTCTTGTGATAGAAAGGCACTGGTACAATAAGGAGAGAAAACTGTGAAAGCTGGTCTTCATAGTTGTTAGCCTGACCACTGCCAAACTAGAGTATTGTTACCACTGGGAAATGTACCATGGAGCGTCAGGGGCTGTAGGGTTATCTACACAGGAGAAATCAGACGGACATGAAGGAGAATTTGAAACAAGTGTAGTTAACTTTTCTATGCAGTGTGGCTGTTACTATGGCATGTTCAAGCTTCTCTTCAAAACCATCGTGATTTTAGGAACCGACTTCTTCTGATGTGGACACAAAGGCTGTATAGAATTGGAATCCAAGGAACTTTTATTACTAGCACTAGTAACTATGAATGTTTGTACCATCAAGAAACAATGGCTTGCTAAAACAAAATGTGATGCCAGTACAGACTCCAGTAAAATGCATGGCGTAGACTTTAGCACTCATTTTAGCATGGCTTGTTGTCTTGCAATCAATGACCCTGTTTTTGTATGCCACAGAGATATCCTATGAAGAAAAAAAGATTATCATTGTATGTCAATTGAGACTAAATGGAGTTATGTCATGTTGTAGATGGTATAGTAGTATTCTATATGGCTCTAGCTAATCTGTGTATGTGAATTGTGTATTTAGACAGTGCTGAGATAGTATACATGTCAGTGTATTGTGGATAGTGTGTGAACCATGTGTATATGTATGCTTTTGAATTCTATGAACATTGAAATTTTGCTTTAATACTTCAATGATCCAATATTTCCAGCAAAGGAATATGTAAATAGCTAAATTCATTTAATATTCAAATAATCGTCATATCTGTAGTAGCCTATAAAAATTCTGTGCAATTTTATGATTCTTTGAGGGGACCTACTTGTGACAAAGGACCATATTGATGTGTTTCTTCTTTTATTACTTTGTTGTATCATTTTAGTAAAAAGACAGAAGAGGGCGTCTACAATCCTTGTATTATTACCACAGTCTGAATATTGAATTGATCGATTAAAAGTAAAACAAATTTTAAATATCCAATACTCCAAGTCCTGTTCTTTATTGCACCCCCACTTTAAAAGCCTGTATAGATAAAAAAATAAATACAAAAACGCCTGAGGGTATTTCTCCAAAACAATGGCCAAAAAATTAAGAAATTGAATCCATTTAATGGCAAGAGAATAAGAACAACAACAACAAGAAGAAACCTGAGGACAACAGTACCTTTCACCCATACTATGATATGGGTGAAATATGATTATTAATTGCAAATTGGACTCCTCCGAGCCACGCTTGGCGACATAGCGGTGGGAAACCGCACCTTACACCCAGGTGTTTCAACAGCAGACACGGCAAACACAATGTCATGAGTAAACAAAACGTTACATATTGTAGTAGCCATTAGGGCCGAAATTTTGATTACTTCGCTCATTTAGAATTTTCATGGGAAACCTCGGGGAGTCACAGAGGGGTGAGAAAATTAGATCCAACAGACATTAGGTTTTCCTCAAGTATTCAAACAGCATGTCGGAACCTAGCGGACCAGATATTATACTTCCTGACGACTATAACCTTAATTTCACAGAGCAAGGTAATTCTATCGCTTTTCCGTTATGACCGAATAATATATCCTTATCACAGCTTTGTACAAATACTTGTAGGAAAACGTCGCCCGTTGCGCGGCTTAAAGTTGTAGGAAATCAAATCAATTGTTGTTAATTGTAGTGTGAATTTTTGTGGCGGAGTTCCCACAAGGAGGGCACTTTCTCACAGTTTGTTAACTTGTGGCTGGGAGGGGAGACTGTACTAACATATGGTAAGTCCTACAGGAATTGTTGGCACAGTCTGGATGGTTCCCTCCAGAAATCCGAGGGGAATTGTGTAACTCCGGCACTTTAGTGGGTTCAGGCCAAGACAAAGTCAGGTTTGCATAGGAAATTTCTTAGTCCTTTCATTCGTATTTATTAACCTTTAAGTGCGCCTGCGTCCGCCTGTTGCGCAGGTTTAGAAGGACGGATAAAGCCCCCTCGGATTTAGGAATGTCAAAGAGGTGAAAGTGTGAAAATATTGCAAAAGCTATCATAGTTATTAATTATGAGCCTTCGGCTTATTTTTACATCAATGAAGTCATCAGATACGGACGGCGCCATGTGTATCCATGGTGTGATTGTTTTATCAGAGAACATCATCTATTCTATAAACGTTTAGTTCCACTTGTTTACGTAATTCTAACCAAATTTAGAATCCAGAAGAAGAAGGACTTACAGTCCGATACACCATATGTTCCTTCTCCCCGGCTGGATCCTGCTCGGACCCTTCTTCAACATTTTACGCACATTTCTGCACTGATCTCAAATGTCATAGAATTATTTAACGCGGATAAAAATTAACATTTTTTCTTGGCTGCCTTCCAGAATTTTTATCTGAAAATGTACATTTTTGGATACTGGATGCCACATCCTTTGTCCTATTTGCACATATTCATAGGTTTTGGTACAAAATTGTCTTCAGAAAATTTGACAGTGTTCCAAAAAGAGGGCAAGAACCTAATTTGTCCCGNATATTCCTGAGAATGCCAACAATTTCTCCACAGACCAGCCAAGTGTAGACGATCCCCAGGGTGAAGTGTCGATCCAGGTGGACCTGTTCACCCACCCAGGAACAGGAGAACACAAAGTCACTGTCAAAGGTAGGAGCTGTCCAGGGTTATTAAGATATCTAGATCTGTAACTCTGTTATGGCACGTCTAAGATTTTATTTCACCAAAATGTAAACTGGTTCATTTTTACCTCTATGTCTTTGACAGTGTAACGTTCAATTACTGTGATTAGTGCTGAACTAATTTGACTAACTCTTCCCCCAGTCGTTGCGGCCAATGACCTGAAGTGGCAGACAACAGGCATGTTTCGACCCTTTGTGGAGGTGAACTTGATTGGCCCGCACCTGAGTGACAAAAGGCGGAAGCACTCTACTAAATCAAAGAGCAATAACTGGTCTCCAAAATATAACGAGACCCTTCATTTGTAAGTAGTCAATTGCTTTTCCTTAGTGTTTTTTTGTAAAATTTATGGGAAGCTAAGATTTCACAGTACTGAAGAATTGCTTAAGGATGTTTATTGGAAAGAAAGCTAAATTGAAACATCATCCACGCTAGTCAGAAAAGGTTTTACACTGAATACTTTTTTTTTTACCTTTATCATAACCATTGTTAAATCAGCGCAGACATTTGCTCAGAAATTCACTCAAAAGTATGTATAACATCCTCATTACCACACACCAACTCATCACTCATGTCACTTATGCCTAACATGTATCATCACTTATGGTGGTACATGTGTTGTATGCATGTCTTAAATTGACAAATTTTTTTATCTGTAGCATCCTTGGTAATGAGGATGAGCCTGATGCCTTTGAACTCCACATCTGTGTGAAGGACTACTGCTTTGCCCGTGAGGATCGTCTGATTGGCGTCGCTGTCATGCAGTTGCGCGATATTGTTGAAGCTGGCAGCTGTGCGTGCTGGTGCGCCCTGGGAAGGAACGTGCACCTTGACGAAACAGGCTGGACAATATTACGCATCCTATCACAGAGGTCCAATGACGAAGTCGCAAAAGAGTTTGTCAAGCTCAAATCAGAGACCAGATCAGATATGGAGCTGGGTTGAGCTTATGTGCCCAAGGTGGACATGTCCAACGTCAACATGCCTAAAGTGGACATGTCCAATGTCAACATGTCAGCCATCAATATGCCAAGTGTCAACGTCCCTGATGTTAACATGCCAAATGTGAGTGTTCAGAGCATTGGTATGCCAAACGTCAGCCTACCGAATGTCTCTGTACCAAACGTCACTAAAGCTAAAGCCCAAACATAAGTCCAACCCAGCATCCATACCTCAAACATCCATTGCAGAAATCCCTATCTACCCTATCTTAGGTTTCTTTGACAAAGGGCAAACAAAAGAATGGAATTGCAGGTTGTTCCTGTATATATACTTGACTGAAGCAAGACCAGAAACTGCATTAATTCCAGATGTTTTAAAGGAAATATCTTACAACACTGATTTACAATATGACAAGCAAACTCAGTAACTGGGTTATGATTGTAACTGTAATTACAAGGTACAATACTATTACCAAAGTACATTTTTACAATGTATGATACCATAAGCCAGGATCAGATTGGAATACTGGTACTGCTAATTTATTTAACCCTGACCTTATTTGAATAAGGTATTCATTCCAGATTCCAATCATTGCTGATAATGTAACTTGCTATTCATGTATTTGGTCTACCCTTACCAGAGCAATGCTTTGTGCATGCAGTCAGATTTTGTACCTTGTATGATATGCATAACCCCCCTTCAGTTTCCTCATACACACATGTAAGAGAGGGATGGTGGACATGACATTGCAGTATTAGAAGATCCATGCCTGTACATGTAATGGAGACCTGAGATACAGGTAAATGCTCTCAATTACATGTTACATGGGGCTGCTAGGCACTTATGCTACTTTGTATATCCATTGAACATTTCCGAATATTTGATTGATATACTAGTACATGTACATGTGTAGCCATTCTAGGGGCATCTAAGGCTTCTGCAATGTGGGTTACACCTGACTTCTGACCTATTGGTGGTAACTAGTGTCAGGCAGTGGGCAGTGCTCTATATCCTGTACATGTACAAAGTCGTCATGGACACTACCGGGAAGTTTGAGCTGACCAAAGCAGCATGGTATGTGAAAACATATTGTGTTCAACTGTTTCATACTAAACTTCTTCCTCAACAATCTATGCAGCTGAGTGGAAGAGGCAGTGTTCATTGTTTAATAATTGTCTCATAATTACCTACCATTTGAATGGGGTATTCAGATGATGTATATGTGGAAAAAAATCTGTAGATGATTATTTGCTTTGTTGATACGTCTTTGTTGGTAGTTTTTGAGGTCCAAGACCATGTGAGATTACTTTCCTACTAGACACAGTGGACTGACTAACTGCTTTGTACTCAGCAGTAATCAACAGTTATCAACATTGTAAAAATTAAGGTAAACAGACTGATTGTTTTACCCAAATCATCACAAGTGCAACTTTCTCATTGCCATGCTTTAATTGTTGCTATGTAGGCAGGACCAACTCCTGTTGGCCCTGCACCTGTACATTGTGTAGATGAAGGTATGGACACAGAAGTATTTGTGGAAAAAGGGCTTGTCGATAGAAAAGAATTTGAATGTCCATGCCTTGTGAATTGATGATTTTGCTATTGACAGAAATAGTGAGGTCTAATCTCAATACAATATCAAATAATTTCTGTTTTGGCAATTCTGTCCTACATGTAGCTGATGCAGCCACATACCCTGTGTGTCCTTGGTTTGTTAGAGCATAGGGATGTACCCAAGTCTGGACAGACATTACCAGTTCATTTTTGGTGTAAAACTGTAACACAACCAGCCATTGTTTACAGGATGAACTGCCCTTCCTTTCCTTTAATTATACTCGCCCTTTTTTTCTCCCTGTATCATAAGATAAGGTAGAGCAGTGTACATATTGCAGAATATAGGGAATCTAGATTTTGTAAATTGCAACTTTCTTCTTTTCACCCTGAAGTATTTTGTTATTGTATTCAAGATTCTCCTCTTTGTATTGTTAGTAGAATCCATGCTTAATCTTGTTTTACATTTGGTATAAGATGACAAAAAAAACAACATATTAGTGAAGAGTTGCAAGGTAGAGCTATCATAGTGACTGTATAGACTTATACATACCTGATGCCTGTAACTTAAGAACATGGAAAGCGAGAGATTGCCTATATCGTGTTTCCAGTTCTTGTGATAAGAAAGGCAACTGGTACAATAAGGAGAGAAAACTGTGAAAGCTGGTCTTCATAGTTGTTAGCCTGACCACTGCCAAACTAGAGTATTGTTACCACTGGGAAATGTACCATGGAGCGTCAGGGCTGTAGGGTTATCTACACAGGAGAAATCAGACGGACATGAAGGAGAATTTGAAACAAGTGTAGTTAACTTTTCTATGCAGTGTGGCTGTTACTATGGCATGTTCAAGCTTCTCTTCAAAACCATCGTGATTTTAGGAACCGGCTTCTTCTGATGTGGACACAAAGGCTGTATAGAATTGGAATCCAAGGAACTTTTATTACTAGCACTAGTAACTATGAATGTTTGTACCATCAAGAAACAATGGCTTGCTAAAACAAAATGTGATGCCAGTACAGACTCCAGTAAAATGCATGGCGTAGACTTTAGCACTCATTTTAGCATGGCTTGTTGTCTTGCAACCAATGACCCTGTTTTTGTATGCCACAGAGATATCCTATGAAGAAAAAAAGATTATCATTGTATGTCAATTGAGACTAAATGGAGTTATGTCATGTTGTAGATGGTATAGTAGTATTCTATATGGCTCTAGCTAATTTTGTGTATGTGAATTGTGTATTTAGACAGTGCTGAGATAGTATACATGTCAGTGTATTGTGGATAGTGTGTGAACCATGTGTATATGTATGCTTTTGAATTCTATGAACATTGAAATTTTGCTTTAATACTTCAATGATCCAAGATTTCCAGCAAAGGAATATGTAAATAGCTAAATTCATTTAATATTCAAATAATCGTCATATCTGTAGTAGCCTATAAAAATTCTGTGCAATTTTATGATTCTTTGAGGGGACCTACTTGTGACAAAGGACCATATTGATGTGTTTCTTCTTTTATTACTTTGTTGTATCATTTTAGTAAAAAGACAGAAGAGGGCGTCTACAATCCTTGTATTATTACCACAGTCTGAATATTGAATTGATCGATTAAAAGTAAAACAAATTTTAAATATCCAATACTCCAAGTCCTGTTCTTTATTGCACCCCCACTTTAAAAGCCTGTATAGATAAAAAAAATAAATACAAAAACGCCTGAGGGTATTTCTCCAAAACAATGGCCAAAAAATTAAGAAATTGAATCCATTTAATGGCAAGAGAATAAGAACAACAACAACAAGAAGAAACCTGAGGACAACAGTACCTTTCACCCATACTATGATATGGGTGAAATATGATTATTAATTGCAAATTGGACTCCTCCGAGCCACGCTTGGCGACATAGCGGTGGGAAACCGCACCTTACACCCAGGTGTTTCAACAGCAGACACGGCAAACACAATGTCATGAGTAAACAAAACGTTACATATTGTAGTAGCCATTAGGGCCGAAATTTTGATTACTTCGCTCATTTAGAATTTTCATGGGAAACCTCGGGGAGTCACAGAGGGGTGAGAAAATTAGATTCAACAGATATTAGGTTTTCCTCAAGTATTCAAACAGCATGTCGGAACCTAGCGGACCAGATATTATACTTCCTGACGACTATAACCTTAATTTCACAGAGCAAGGTAATTCTATCGCTTTTCCGTTATGACCGAATAATATATCCTTATCACAGCTTTGTACAAATACTTGTAGGAAAACGTCGCCCGTTGCGGGGCTTAAAGTTGTAGGAAATCAAATCAATTGTTGTTAATTGTAGTGTGAATTTTTGTGGCGGAGTTCCCACAAGGAGGGCACTTTCTCACAGTTTGTTAACTTGTGGCTGGGAGGGGAGACTGTACTAACATATGGTAAGTCCTACAGGAATTGTTGGCACAGTCTGGATGGTTCCCTCCAGAAATCCGAGGGGAATTGTGTAACTCCGGCACTTTAGTGGGTTCAGGCCAAGACAAAGTCAGGTTTGCATAGGAAATTTCTTAGTCCTTTCATTGTATTTATTAACCTTTAAGTGCGCTTGCGTCCGCCTGTTGCGCAGGTTTAGAAGGACGGATAAAGCCCCCTCGGATTTAGGAATGTCAAAGAGGTGAAAGTGTCAAAATATTGCGAAAGCTACCATAGTTATTAATTATGAGCCTTCGGCTTTATTTTACATCAATGAAGTCATCAGATACGGACGGCGCATGTGTATCCATGGTGTGATTGTTTTATCAGAGAACATCATCTATTCTATAAACGTTTAGTTCCACTTGTTTACGTAATTTCTAACCAAATTTAGAATCCAGAAGAAGAAGGACTTACAGTCCGATACACCATATGTTCCTTCTCCCCGGCTGGATCCTGCTCGGACCCTTCTTCAACATTTTACGCACATTTCTGCACTGATCTCAAATGTCATAGAATTATTTAACGCGGATAAAAATTAACATTTTTTCTTGGCTGCCTTCCAGAATTTTTATCTGAAAATGTACATTTTTGGATACTGGATGCCACATCCTTTGTCCTATTTGCACATATTCATAGGTTTTGGTACAAAATTGTCTTCAGAAAATTTGACAGTGTTCCAAAAAGAGGGCAAGAACCTAATTTGTCCGTCTTTCCTTTTAATGAAATATCATTACAGCAGCAGTACTACTACCTGTCGTCTTTCCGATCCAAAGCGGACTCGGACTACAGCACAGTTGAAAGCGAATGCTACAATCAATTGCCTTGTACACGTAGATATTTCAGCATATTAATCATCTTTTAAGTCTCGAAGATATCGATCACCATACATCTCACATCTTTCTTTAATCACATGCTACAGATCTTCTATTGTTAGAGAAAGGAGCACAAGAGCATGTTGCCATGGCAACGGCCGCTGCAGCCATGGCGTCATCCATCCACCAGCCGTTGAGCCGCGTGCCGGTCGGCCCCCCTCCCCTCCTGTCTATTGGCCATGCGCTGATGAACAAACCTGCTCCTCCTTACCCGGCCATGGATTTGTCGGTAAGGTTAGTACAAATCCTAGATATTTTTCTGTGAAAAAAGAAAAGGACAATGGAAAGAGACCGTCGCCTAGGTCCGGGTTATCATAAGTATTATGGTTTTATCTTCAGAACAATTGTGATAAACAAAACGAAGTAAGAAGAAGTAGTCTCCTGGCTGCTACCTTCAATTATCCGGACAATCGAAGTCATATGACGTTCACGAAACACTCGCTAGAGGACGCCATTTTATAAACAAGTAACGTTACAAAGTCCCCTCCTTCTCCTCCATGGAATTAATTCCCTATTTGATTCCATGCCTTCTCTTTCCCCACATCATTGTGCTAAAGAGAAACCGTATTGAGCTGATATTCCCCATGTATTCGAACATCGGGGTGACTTTAGGTTTTAAATAATAAGATACTCAATATAAAACAACCAGTACTGTTTGAAGTCTTGTGGAGAAAAATTAGACCGATATGTATTCATTTAATGACTTGCAACTCGTGCCTCTGCTGTAATAGCCTCCTTCGCGAAACCGTCTCTCCGCGGCAAAACTCCCTCGGCGGCAAAATCGTCCCTCCGCGGTATAACTCGCGTTGCTCACCGAAAAAAAATAACGCCGCTGTCCAACAGGTCTGCTGTACAGCAAGTGAAGGTATTTCAGCACCTTGGAGATGGAGCGGAGGCGATTATTCGAATTCATTCACTGAACAGCTCGAAAAGGCCATAACGGTATGAGTGATTCAATTTCACCGGGAGAGAAAAAAAAACGTAGACTATTAACTAAGCTTTGTGTTGCAACGCATGGGTTGAACAGGCCTGGGATTGTCGGCTGGCTTTTAAGGTTGTAGAGTGCTGCCATCTGGCGACTACTTAGGGAACGTCACCTATAGTAGTTTATGATAGGCGGCAAAAGGCAAGCCATGCAACGGCAAACTTTGATTTTAGCACGCGCAGAAGTAGAATCCAACATGCTTTTCTCCACTCCACATCAAATAAATCAGGTTTAGTATTAAGTAAAGTAAAGTATGAAATAAACAAATGAGACAGTTATGTGAATGTAAAGATTAATATGTGGATCGCAATCCGCACAAAGTATCTCAACTGTCTAGAATTAGTAACTCTCGACAACAGATTGATTTAAAAGCTGGCGACTTGTAAGTTTCGTGGAAGCTGAACGGAATGGTTGAAAGTCAGTTTGGCAATCCAAATTCAGGGCAAAGGGGAGCCTGGTGCTTAATTTATACTACTAGTGTAACAGTGGTACTGGGTTACGTATCAAGTGAGTGTAGGTTCAAATGGGGCACTCTAACATGTGACGTTACTTTGGTGATCTGGTGTTGAAAAGTTCGCCAGGTTGCAAGGAGCACATACCTTTGCGTTCTTTGTCACCTCTGGAATGCTTTGTTTACTTCATGATTCATGGTGCCAGGTCAATGGGAAACTTGACACAACAGGATTTGTCCCCAACGAGTAATTGGTGCACTGTGGAAACATAATTCAATTTCTAGTTCCTGGATCCGCTACATGAGCACATAAACATGTTTGGTCTACACCATTCCATGGCCATGTGATTATCACCAGATAATTTACAGTGAACTGAAAGTACTGAAGTGGGTATCCGAAAAACGTGTGGTAGAATATTGTGTTCTACAAACCTGTGGATCACTTCCCTGAGATATTAGGGCTAATTAACTTCCAATCAAATCTTAGAATAAATGTTTTTAAGAGACAACATGAAGTAACATCACAGAAAAATGACAGTTGATGATGTAATATCAATCATGTGAGAGGTTACTGTGACAATTGTCTTTGGTTTTGATTTCCTCTCAATTTGTATTATCTCAATTTGTAGCAAGTGAGGCTAGTGCAGGACAAGACCACATTTACTGCTAAGATCATCAGGAAACAGACTATGTCTAAAAGTTTGCACAAAGCACTGACTTTTGTATGATGAAAAATGTGGGCTTCTTTATTTGATCGTATAGAAATGTCTTAACGTTTTGCTGCAAAAGGTGATTTCCTTTCCAATGCCTTCAAAGCATTATCTTCTGAAGACCTAAAGGGTTATAGTTGTTCTGACTGAGAAAAGCTTGAAGGGAAGTCAGAAAGGTTGCATGTAGGAGACTTGTGGAAAAATCTCAGACTTAAAATGTAGTTCTTTTATATTTGTTTATTGATCAATATTCTTTAAGTTGTCAAGAGATTTATGGAAGAAAACAATAAACAGTATATTTTCAGTACAGATTCTTACACAAACCAATATATATATACTACAAGTCAGACTTAAATGTTAGTTGGAAATAGTAGTGAGTATGGGTAGGTGATCCATGATGGCCATATTCATGCTATATATATAAACCCTTAATTATCCTACTTTTGCATAGCATCATGTATAAGATTGAAACTTAAGCTGCAAACAGTGTCAATAAAATTGTTACAAATGGTAGGAGCATTACAAATAAAATAGTGCTTGTTTTGTTTCATAAAGATGTTGATTTAGGGGGCTAGTTTATATAGAATGGCAGACTTTTTAAAATAGATTTTCAGCAATTTTTTTGGCTCATTAGTCATTAAATATCAACAGTCACAGCTGCTGTAGATTTGTCCAAAATCAGGCTTCTGTTTATGTGACTACATTTTCCCAACTTCTTTGGGATCACCAAAGTATGTTACCCACAGAATTGCTTGGTGTGGCCTCACTATTTACATTAGGCATGTTCACCTAGGTCCCTGGGTTGGGTTACATTTATTCAGCTTCTGTGGAACACTGAATGCTAAGTGCTCTACAAAACAGAATATTTGGAACCCTGATCTCAAAAACCTTGAAACTGTTATTGGTTTCCTTTACTGCTTTTAAGGTCTAGTGTGCATTATAGGCAGATTGAGTGTGCGTATTGTCCAGTGTGTTTAATCTGCCGACACATGATTCTGTGTTGTTGGGACTAATCCTCCTCCTCCCTGATACAATCTCCGCCCGTCCACAGTAACAACAACCAGCTATGGAAACCACCAAACCACTCACAAATATTGTGACTCCCTGGATTTCCTCTGTATTCACCGGTTGGAAGTCCAAGGCTGGTTGCTTGTTAACATGAACCATTAGCGAAAATTGGCAGACAATCAAATGTATCATGATTGTGCCTGGGAAAAAAGGGCCCCGGTTTTCCCACGGATTCAGGTGTAACACAGTTTAGACTGTTGTCGGCCACAGATAATCTGGTTAGTTAACAACAAAAGGCCTGGTAGATTTGATTAAGGCCATCTCATCCTCATCTGTTACAACTAAGATGGTTGCTTATTGTAACCTTATCCTTTGTTTTCAAATGGCACCTCTCCCCAACTATTGTTGGATCTGTACTAAAGTTGTAACATGTCTAAATTGAAGGCTAACTTCATTAAAGCTACTTAGACCAAAATTAAATATCCCTTCCATTGAGCGTCTACTTTTCTTTTAGTTTTAAGGGATCCAAAAGTAGTTAGCTTGTCGGTAAGAAATAACAAGTCGCGTAAAGTGCTTGTTGTATTGCTGTTCTTTGCTGTACTTTTGCAAAGGATTAGCCCAGGTACTTACCTGCCCACACATTTTAGACACAATTTATCTTGTTACCGATTTTCAAGCAGTCATGCTGAGTAGCCTACCATGGAAGCATGTTTCAAAACAGCCAGGCAATTAAGGAAGAGGACACCAGTGACATGTTGGCCAGCGACATGTGTGCCTTGCCGAGTTTTGAGGACCTGGCAATGTCTTGGCGGATTGGACAGAGCATGTACTCCGACCATCAGTATGAGGCACCGCAGTCCCACTCTCCTCCACCTCCCTACATGCCTCACCTTGTAAGCCCACAGGACGGACAGGTGCCACCTCCGGACGACGTTTTACAAGACCTCACCATCAGGGGGATCCCTGCCCACCAGGCCATGCCAGGGATGAGGATGCCACCTCCAGACTACCTGCCTCCGTTCCTGATGGACACATTGACTCAGCTTCAGACGTACTCCATGCCAGAGTACATGCCTCCTGCACGGCCCATGTCTCCAGCATCCGTGTCACCTCAGCACTTTGCCGGGCTGCATGCCCCCGTACCCATGCCCCCACCTTTACCGGCCCCACCACATAACACTCCTGCTCAGCGTACTTGCACGTAAGTACTGTACGGTCTATGGGAATTCTCTCTGCTATTTTGACACGTTGAGATGTGAACCTTGATAGGGATGCTTTGATCAGCAACCCAGTATGGGAATATGTGGTAAAAATTTCTTGAGAGTGCAGAATCTTGACAGGGTTTAGTTGTGCACTTGCCTCAGAAACTGCAGTCTCTGGTACAGTGTAGGATTAATAACGCTTAGAAATGTGTACGTTCCTAAACAGAACTCTATAAGTTTCAAAATGTTTTTTAAAGTCAAAGCTCCCAGTTTTTTTGTGTTAAATCAGAAAAAGATTGTGACTCTGATTTCTTTGATATTATATTGACTATATTTAAGTATCTTCATGTGAGCTTGATGTACACATAGTCTAGAAAATAATAGTAACCACATTCAATTTGGTGGATTTTGAATGAGTTATGATCCTTACGCTGACATTCTTCATGACAATATGTTTGCCACATTTTGGAGTGCCGTCTGTGATTTTCCCTTACCACTATATCCAGGATGCCGTTACATTATCCAATTCCTGTGCACACCTGCATACGTAAATCAATTAACTCAGATATAAACAACAAACCTTTTAGACAAATGATTCTTGTTCTGAAGTTGATCATTCATCGAGGCTCTACAAGGCAGGTACTTGTGTGGCGAGTGCTTACAAATGTACAGGTCAATATAAACAGTTGATAATGTTTTCACTTACAATTTGAATGCCATGTATTACAACATTATCATTGTACTAGAAACAGTAAGAGCTCAACAGTTATAGATGAATACAGGGTTTATGTCAGATAAACTTGGTGACTGCAATCCTTGTAATGCATCCTATATGTAGCAATTATGGTAAAGTTCGTGCTTACTTTGTTGAGCTGTCAAAGGCCATTGATCGCAATTATATTGATCACTAATGACACAGAATATACTCCAAACATGCTATAAAATAAGGGGTACTGAGCTGTAACACAGTCACTGTGTTATTTCATCTTACAGGCAAAATGACAGGAGACTCACAAAGTAAGTGCCTTGTCTCCTGCTTTGTGGATAATTTGTGAATGAATTGATGATTATACTAGGTATTAACAGTTTAGACCAGAAATTTTGAATTCCTTTGTTTTCGCATGCCATGTTGAATGAATTACCGGTAAGGAGAACTTGTGTTTTTTCTTACCTGATGGTTCAATAGGGTTCAAATTGTGTTATCGTGCAGTAAGTATAAGACAGGGCTTGATGATGTTGATGATGATAATGTCCATGCAGGGAAGCCATGCGGCAGTACCTGAGGGACCGGCCTGACACAACTGTGGTCATCATGACAGCTAAGGTTGCACAGAAGTCATATGGCAATGAGAAAAGGTACCAACACTGGAATGTCATATATATACTATATAATATATGACATTCCAGTGTATTATAAATACTGTACATCATGTCCCAACCACTGAAAGATTAGCATTTCAATAAAGCTACACTGGATTTGATACATTTCCTTTTAGATGTAAGATGTGATTGTTATGAACTTTCATACCTAGATGTTTTGCAGGTTCAGTTCCATGATTGATCCTTGAATGAACTTCCCCCGGCCTGCAGGTTTTTCTGCCCCCCTCCCCTGCTGTACCTGATGGGTGACGGGTGGAAGCACCGCCTGCAGCCGGTGGGCGTGGCTGGGGAGGCTGAGAATGAGGCTCAGCCGTACGCCTTCATCGGCATCGGCAGCGCTGAGCAGGAGATGCAGCAGATGAACCTGGAGGGCAAGGTGGGTCCTACTGGTTCGGTTTCAGTAGAGGTGAGAATTTGGCCTCAAAATGTTACTGTAGCAACTGTAGCATCATACATGCCAATCAGTACAAAATTCTTTACCCTATTCAAAAGTTAAAAAAGAAAATCTATCATTCTGTATTAATACCTGTGTATACAGATGTCAACCGGAGATGTTCATATTTTCTTCACCTGTAGAACTGGGCTGTAGCAAAAACTCTCTTCATCTCTGACACGGACAAACGGAAGGCCTTTGAGCTGAAGGTGAAACTGTTCTACGGAACAGGCGATGATGTCGGGATGTTCTGCAGTAAGAAAATCAAGGTCATCTCCAAACCCTCCAAGAAGAAGCAGTCTCTTAAAAATGCTGAATGTGAGAAGTTTATTATAATAATCTTTTAACTTGAGCTTGTGCATGTCTATATCATAGGGCTCAGTACCGATTGAAATTATTTTTTGGCATTCAAATTCAATTATGATATTTGAACAGCTGTGTGTGACTTATGAATTGAGGTTTTAGAAAGTCTTTTTTCAAGGCTAACAGTAGGTACTTGAGACATGTACAAGCCACTGACTTATTAACCTTTGTGTTCTTCCCTGCCCCAGTGTGTATCCCATCAGGCTCCAGGGTGGCACTGTTCAACCGGCTCCGCTCGCAGACCGTCAGTACTCGCTACCTCCACGTGGAGTCTGGGAACTTCCACGCCAGCTCACAGGAGTGGGGAGCCTTCACCATACATCTCTGTAGGTCACACTAGAGTCATCTGCTACTGTTCAGTGTCATTTTTATGTGGACTTAAATGTTTGATTACCAGTAATATGCAGAGGCACTAGGCCCCCATCAGAAGCATGCAGACCTAAGTCAAACCACTGAAATGTGCTCTTGGAGTATCAAAAAATCTGGGAAAGGCATGCTCTCTTAATCAGAAATATAACAAAAACTGTGGGATCATTTACCTAATCCTATGTACAAAACAACAACAAATCCTACACATCAATGTCTGTGACAACAAGAAGACTTCACTTACACTGTACAGCTTCTGGCATTGCAAATTTCCATGCGAGATGAGATAGGCAGTTACACTTTAAACTTATACCTTATTGCTCAAGTGATTCCTTTGTCTAGCTGCTAGAATCTGTTTCTTGTATGTCATGTCAGTGGAGGAGTCCCAGTCAGAGAGTGAACACTTCACCGTGCGTGATGGCTACATCCACTACGGCTCCTGTGTCAAGCTGGTGTGCTGTGTCACAGGCATGGCACTACCAAGACTGGTATGTCACCATCTCTTGTTCTATTACCAAACCAGCAATAATTGGAAAAAAATTACAGCAAAAAAATCTGCTGATAAAATGCACTAGTAAGAATGTTTTCATAAAATCTGATACACAGCAGCTTTGAGGTGTATCATTAGAAATAGATGAATCAGTATGTATATACTGACAGGAGTATTTAGACATTTTCTGGTTATGACCAGTAGAAGATTAGCCTTTTAGTGGTGAGATCCATGTACATGAGTTTATACTTTCTCAGGTGATCCGTAAGGTGGACAAACAGATGGCCCAGCTGGCGGCTGATGACCCAGTGTCCCAGCTGCACAAGTGCTGCTTCCATCTGAAGGACTCCGACAGGATGTACCTGTGTGTTTCTCAGGAGAGGATCATCCAATTTCAGGTGACTGTCTTGATTAAGATGTAAAAAATGTAAAATTAAAGTATCTCAGCTATTAAAGCATTCTCCTCATTGTTGTAAGCAGGGCAGGCACTATGCAAATATTTCATGTATTGAGTAGACCCCTAGTTCTGCCCTCCAAGCACAGTGAACACAATGTCTTGTCCAGAGAACTCAACCCTTTCCATGAGCCTGAAACTCAGGAAGATGGAGGGAGGGCTCATTGAACCAACAGCTTCAGTTGAATAAGATTATAATTGTACCCTTCAATCTTCCAGGCAGCAGAATGTCCCAAAGATTCCACCAAGGAGATCCTGAACGACGGCGCAGCCTGGACCATCATCAGTACAGACCAGGCTGAGTATTCCTTCTTTGAAGGGATGGGACCAGTCAAGGGGCCGGTCACACCTGTGCCTATAGTGGACAGTCTACAGGTGAGCAACTGTCACAACATGAACAAGTTTGTGCATTCAACTTGAGGTGGAGAGGTCAAACTGCAGGATAGCCATTATTCTGTCTTTCTGTAATTTTTGCTGCTGTTCTGAAAATCATCTACATGTACATGTAGATTGCACTCTATCAAGAGCAATTAAGAGTCTAAAGTCTCCTTAATTAGTCAAATTCTTAATCCCTGCACCATTCCCTCTCCTGCACCAGTTAAATGGAGGAGGGGATGTTGCCATGCTGGAACTGAACGGAGAAAACTTCACCTACAACCTGAAGGTGTGGTTTGGGGACGTGGAGGCAGAGACCATGTTCAGGTGAGTGACTGAGAAGCACTGCAATATCACCATTACACAATACCTTGTTTGGACAAATTATCCATAAATATGTGTCTCAATGGAGAAAGAGAGAGTACTATGAACAATGAATTGAAAGAAACAATTTGTCATTGGTGAACAATTGAATCAGATGTATTATGAATCATGAAGTTTGTCTTGCAGTTACTGCTTCATAATTGCTGTGGTTGACTTGTGTGTTGTCCCAGGTGTGGGGAGAGCATGCTGTGTGTGGTTCCTGACATCTCAGCGTTCCGTGGTGGATGGCGCTGGTTCCGACAGCCGACACAGGTGCCGCTGACACTGGTCAGGCATGACGGTGTCATCTATGCAACAGGTTAGTTAGGGACAGATGCTGGAGTTTCTCTGAGATCCAGGTGACCAGGCAAGATTGCAAAAAAGGGCCTGGATAGATAGTCTATTTCACTTTGAGGGATTAGAAAAATTAGTAAATCCTGACTTTTTCTTTCTTGATATTGCTGAATATAAGGTGTTTACTAACAGGTTGTCTTATTTGGAATCCCTTCACAGGTTTAACATTCACCTACACCCCAGAGTTAGGACCCCACCCACCCACAATAGAAGAAGCCATCATGTCTAATCCAATCAGACCCATCCCTGAAGACACACCCGCCACATTTCCAACCAATCATTATCCAGACCTGGAACAGCTGTGATGCTATGTTAGGGACACCATTGTGAGACTCATCATGACGTAGGGTTTCTTTCCTGTTGACATATAGCACACTTTCAACTTTAGTATGTATACACGACAGAAGCAAAGATTGATATTTACTGTGTGAAAATATATTTATACAAAAAGAGTCTAGTTGTCATTTAAACACACGGGATATACAACTACACTCATAGCTTGTAGGAAATGAAATCAATTATTTCTTTGATGTTTTCTTGACCTGATGCATCTGATGACCATGACAGTTATTATTGCATGATTATCTTATTTCACTTGCACATTACATATTGTGTGACAATATGCAATTCCTAGATGTGTATATGTATAATACATACAATCATTAAGGTTATATGATACGATACATATACACATAAATTGTAATTATTGAATTTAGACTCAATTTGGACTCATCTCCCTTGAATACTAGATGTTTTGATTAATTTTTTTGAGGTGTCTAACATTTGTTTAACATCATGAAGAAAGCAAACTTGAGGAATTTAGTACCAGCAATATACCTTAAAGTTCTATATTTCTGCATGTTAAAGGACCAACAGGTAAGAAGAATGCTGAATATTTGTATATTTGGATTATTGGTCTAAGATAAACAAAATTAATCATTAATTAAAAGAGATGTGTATTGGTGAGACCATACCTCTTCATAGAAACTTACAAATATTCAATCTTAGTTCATTTTGAAAGGATCAAAAGTGAAAAAAGAAGCAGATGTGTACATAGAAGAAGCCATCATGTCTAATCCAATCATACCTATCAATTCAGAAGTAACATTCTTTCTACCGTAGGTTGGATATTTGTGTGGACCATGGATCTTCCTTGGGTATATTTCTGGATCTTTCATGTGATGTCTTCTCGACATTTAGGAGCCAATAAAGATGTATTTTTAAAAGTTTCCAACTTGACTGCTACGCATCTCATTCATGTTTCACTTTCTTTGACAATATGATTTTCGTAATTGATATGTACACTTGAATATTATCTTGAATATCATCAATAGATAAAGAATCCCAAATTGCTGGCAGAAGGCACAACAAAATCTGTGGTAGTTTCACTTTGTTTAAGGCCAAAATATTAGCCAAATGTAGCTTAAATCACGATTGAGTACATTAACTGTTTCATTTGTGTTGTATACTTTGTGTTAAGGAAAATGACAGTGACAACAAGATTGGTTTTACATTTATTCAAATCAGTGAAGTCATCAGCAATGTTCATGGCACATTTTGATGGAATTGTATAGCTGCATGGACATCATATTGTAGCATTATTTGTTTAACTTAGCGTTTAAGTTGTAGGCTAGAATTTCACCTGACATTCTCACATTTAGTATCTTATGGTGACATTTCTATTTGGCATTTATTACTATAATATTGATTTACATCGTACATGTACTTGGCACCACAATGCCTTGTGCCTTGTGGTTCTCTGTATCTTGACTTTATTCTTAACTGAAAATTCAAACTTGCAAATTAAGGTGGTTTCCTTTGCTAATAAAATGTCCCTCATACTTGCATAAATCTACATGATTCTTAATCACATATGAAAGAAAGTTGATTCCATCTCTGGACTACTTTCTTACAAAACAGTTCAAATTTCCCTTGTTGAGGTACATTATACACAGCCAATAGGCAAATTCTCAACTACTCATTACAATCATAACTATATCTTATTAATTAATATTATTATTATTCACATATAGAAGACAATTTTATACATTAAGTAGCTATCAAATCATCATCATTAGAATATCCTGTAGACATATTTTGGAAAACCTAATGTTACACCATTTAAGTCTTCAATAGAATGCAGTTAAGGCGCTTGATATCCTATTTACCATTCTAAGTCAGCTGACAGTGCTGGTCCTTTTCAGTGGGAAATTTCTATCACAGTTAATCTGTAACATGTATTCATGAAAAGTAATCAAAGGCACACTGTACCTGCAATGATTAGACACGTGGACTTTTCATTTTGAAAAGTGAACCCTTTACCTCTTCTCTCTGCAGGGCAGCTTCTATGTTTGAACATTGCTTCTAAACTCATCAAACAGATAGCTGGGAATGTGAGCTTCCACGGCCTGGAGAGGAGAGAGAAAGAAAACATGTAGTAGGAGCAATGAGACATGTTCCTGTACAGAAATCCATTGAAAGTATACATTAAAAGAACCAGCTTGCAAACATGACCTCCAAATACATGTACAAAATAACATTTACCAAGCATGTACAGTATATGTATAGAACATGTACACACCATGCATATGAATTTTTTCCAAAACTTTCATACAGAATTCGTCTTTCTAACTGTAGGCCCCTGATATCATACCTTTCTTGGTAGCTCGCTGTAGTACATGTACATCTCCAGGTAGGCTAAAACATTCACCACTTCTTCTGAGAGGCCAGTTGACTTGGAGCTGCAAAATTATAAAAAAGTGGAAATGTCTTCTCTTCTTTGTGTCATGTTTCTGAATAGACATTGAATACTGATCACAGTTCGATCAACTATTATGCAGAAAGGGCATCGCCCCTGAGGTGTTGCCAAAACCTAGGATAAACCAAGTCAAACCTACTTGCTGGCGGTGCTGTCTACCATAGACCTGACGTACTGTCCCAGCAGGGCCAGGAAGTGGTCGGTGTTCTCCTTGTGAAACTGCTTCAGGAGGGTGATGGTGCCGACTACAAACGGCACTCCATCCAGGCCATCTGTCGGCTTCTTACACACAAGATCACCTGTGGAAACAAATGGGGAACAAGAAGTTTCACAGGTGGATACAGTAATTTTCTGTTGGTTATACAATCTCATCAAACAATTATTAATAGGCATATCCTGTATATTCATCAATATAATCTGAAACGGCAGAACACTGCAGGACAAAGGGCCAACAAAGTAGCCTGTCTCACTTCATAATAATGTCATTTTCCCTACAAAGATGCCATTCTTTTTGCTTTGGTACGACTGTGACAATATACTACAAATGTCTTACCAACAGCCTTGACATACTGAAGCCTTGGTAACTGTGAGATTACAAAGAGGAAGTTCAGCAGCGACAGGTACGGCAACCGCTGGGTAGTCACATAGATCTGTCAGAAAAAAAAATATGACAGCTAAGTTCAAGTTCTAAGAATACATGTAACCTGTACATGTACAATGGTTTTTTTTTTTTTGTTTGCAGTAGGTAGGTGTCAGATACATAGAATATGTATATGAGCAGATATTGTGATGGTGCAGTTTTACCTTGTTGAGTGGGTTGTTGATGCCTGCACATTCTAGGTAGGATGTCAACTCAAACATGAGTGGGTTGTCCTCCTTAGGGTAGGGTAGGGATGGGTCCTGGTAGTGGGCCTCTATATTGGACAGTAGAGACCTGAGAGGGGTTCACAATATTTGACCTATAAGTCCTTTCACTTCAAAATTAAAATTATGATCCAAAGTTTAACATAGGTTAAAGTCTCTGGTCAAACTTTAACATCCTTTGTCACAATCAATTCTTTGATTGTCATAATCTTGAAAATTAGCTTACGGACTTTTGTATGGATGAAATCCAGCCAATTACAACATAGCAGCCTGGCCTTCACCAGATTTTATTTTTTTAATTTTCATATGTTTCAGTCATCTGCACCTCAGCCAAGTCAGGTTTAGATGAAACATGACTCCAAGCTTAAGGTTCCGGGTCGGAGTTTAATTCTGACCAGAGTCTAAGTAAGTGCGCAGTAAATCGCCGGAAACGTGACTTTGTATGGTATGTTTTGGCCGCGATATCCCTGAAATCGTAATATCTGTGTACATATCTTTGTATTTTCTGAAAAGCCTGTTAGTTGTAGCCTTTATATGTGGCGTAATGTTGGTGGTCCAGCGAAGACTTCCTGGTATTCGTCCGCGCGGATGGTTATGTGGCCTTTTCGCCTGACCGCCGGGATGGTACGTTCTATATGCGTTCTGGGTGTGTTCGGGCCATCGAAGATAGCGATAAACTTATCGCATCGATTTTAATTAAATTCAAATTTTGGAAACAATAGGTTCTGAGCTTCTTCGAGTAATAAGCCGTTACCCTGGGAAAATTCGTTTTTTCCATGCAGCCATGGTTAAAAATGACGAAAAAAATGACCCCTTTTTTAAAAATGTACTTTGATGTGCCTTATTTACCCCTAAATAAATTGGGCGCAGAAAATATCAATCAAGTGTATTGTTAAGCGGCACGGCACCCCTTTCCACCAAAAGAGTGAAAAATTCTGAACCGCGTTTACTACAGAAATGACAGCCCGTCGGGCTGAGGGTGTCAAATTGCTCGAAATACGGAGGGAAACTCCGGTCCGAGACCTTAACTCACTCATTGAATGTCTGCAGTGCACAGGCCAGGAACTTGGAGTCAAACTTGCAGGAGAAGTTGAGCTCGTAGGCAATCTGTCTCCTCAGCAGCTGGATCTGTCCGACCTTCAGGATGACCTCTAAGAACAGCTGCCACATCTTACTGGCTTTGGTACAGGCCTGAGGGTATACCTTGGTGGCATTGGCTAAGAGATATGGAACATTTGTCAGTGGGCAACTTGTAATGGACAGGGTAAATGGAGCAGTGGCAAATAAAAACAAGTCTAAAGTATGTAAAGGTACATTGAATCAAACTCATCACTTTGAAAAAAAAAAATCTTCCTGAACCTAAAGTCAGATTTTTAGAGTTTCTTTGAGCTTGCGGTCAAGTGCCATTTGTTCCATGTTTATGTTTCAGAAAAAGTTGATGATCAGTTCAGCAGTGTGAGTGCCCTAAGACAGACAGACAATGCCTTACCCACAATGCCCCTGACAGGGTTGAGACTCTTCATGAGACTGGCGAACATCTCCAGCCACGTCTTGTCCCGCAGCACGCCCCGCTGCAGCACGGCCAGGAAGTTCTGCAGCTCACGCACGATCATGAAGCACAGCAGACGGTCCAGACCCGTCAGCCCAAATGTACCCAGGCTCTTCTGTAAGATGGACAACATCAGCTTTGTTATTACCAGGTTCCAGTCCAGAATCGAATACAACCAATGGGCAAGATTTACAGGTAAAGAGAAATCACACCATTTGTATCATTTGGGATGTGATCTGTTCAGTTCAAATATAAAATACGGTACATATATGTATGCAATCAAAACAGATTATCACATGGAATATCATCTTGCACAAGACGATTAAAGAAGTCACTTTCTTTTCTACTGGTTACATAGATCTGTCAAAAGCTGTGCTATTCCATAGACAACAGTCAGGAGAGGGAAAGAGGCACAGTACTAAATATTTCCATGTTGATTTGATTATATGGATGACATCCGCGCGCGCATGAATTTTCGGCCGTTTCCAAAAAAAAAAGTTTTCAACCATACTGTAAATTGTACAAAACAGTTGCAAAATGAGCAAAAATATACCATAAGTTACAAAAAAAATTAATAAAAACTATACCAATGTCGTAGAATGCCAAAATCAAACGAAAAAAGACGAAATTGTAAAGAAATGAACTTGAAGACTAGATTATTCGCCAAACTATATTCTGTGCCATTTGCTCAACCTTCATGACCACGTAGATTTCATAATGAAAAGAACTTTTTTTTTGCAAAACTTTTTTTTTATTCGCACGGGCGCATCAGTTTTGGGGCTCCCGGAGGATGTCATCCATATAATCAAATTAACATGGCCTATGGTGTAAATGGTCTTACCTGTACTTTTGTAAAGAGTCTATTTGTCATGATCTCCTGCTTGCTCTTGTTGTCGTACCAGGCTGTCATCTGGTCGATGTACGTGGTCAGTTTTGGGTCAGTGATGCGGAGGATCTCACGGGCTAGACGACCAATAAAGTTGACCGATGCATCCACAGGTGCAAATTTGGGGATTGGAATGTCTTTTGACTGGTACAGACTTTGGAAATCTGACACCTAAAAAATGGAAACATCTGACATGTTTAATTTGAAGGAATGACACAGAGAAACAGATAATATCCTACTGTATTACTGTAGCAGGGTATTTTTCTAATTGAAATGAAAACTTTTATGTTAGAAAATGATTCTTTGTAAGAAACCAAAAAAAGACTTCTCAAAACAGAGTATTGATTGACCTTGATCCTGAGGAAACTGTTGCACTCCTGTTCCACATTGTAGTTGATGATCCTGGAGACTTCCTCCTGCCAGATCTTCAGCCCTGAGATGCTGACGTAGTCCTGGATGTACTCAAACGACCGCCGGAATCCGTCCATCACTGCTCCCATGGCGTTTAACCTCGGAATGAGCTCACTCACCTAGAAATACATTCATTTGTGAAAACTGATTTTTGCATGACACTGAATCTCAGATTTCAACTGGCTGATATAACATCGGATCTTGCTCACAATCTATTTCAATAAGTTTACTCTACCTTTGACTTTGGGTTAAAGATGAGCCCCTGGTGCAGTGCGTAGGCCACTCGCTTCACCAGCTCTTTCCTGATGCCATCCTCCAGCAGCTGCTTGGGGTCAACCTGTAACAGGATTAGAATCATTATAGAGAGACATATATCATGTCCTGGACTACATTTGTATAATTAACAGCAGTGTATAACAAAAATACAACCGTGACGACATCTTACTATCTAACTAAAGGTAACCATGTTCACCTTGATGATCCCAACCAGAGTAGTTTTCATCATGAGGATGCCCTCGGTGAAGACGGAGATGTCATGTGTGAGTTTGGCCACCTTGGCTCTCTCCTCCAGCTGGGCAAACTCCTTCAGCTTGTCCTTCTCGAGACGGGTGGGCACCTCCTTAATCTGACTGGTCTGCATCTGGTGGGCAGGTAAGGAAAGAACATGTCTTTACATATACCACAAAGCAACACCAGCTACAACTATGGAAGATAACATTTCTTACCAATATGCAACAACATGGATGGAGAACAACAGTTGTCATACTTCTTTTGTTGAATGCCAAGTATTGAAGCATGTTAAATTTGTTAACTAGTGACATTTGAAGAAATTGTTCTTAATATTGTTTCATCCCAGAAAGAAAGAAGATGACAAAACTTCATTAAGAGAGGCAACATGTTCAATGTACAGTGTAAATTGATTGGGTGTTACAGGTCATTTGGTGTAATAAAGCTAGCTGCCACCACAGCATGTGCCTGCAAAGCTGGCAGCTGGTGTGTTACGCTGAAGGGCGGTTATACCGGCTATATTGATACAGATACATCATCGATACAGATACAGAAATGAATGAATAGTACCAATACACAACTCTACTGTATATTTACATACCTTAATGATGACCCCCAGAAGTCCAAACATGGTTTCTGGGATGATTTGCAGCACCTTCCTGACGTAGGTGACCAGCTCGCCTGAGTAGTACTGGGACACACTGATCAGGTCGGGACTGTTGGCCTGGTTAATACGCAGCAGGGGCAGGTCCATGGCTGAGGCAAGCTGGGAACATGGACATACAAGAAGTACAGGAACACCATCAGGAAAAAACAGCTTTTGGCTAGGGACATTGCGACTGGAACAACCTACTGCCTAATACATGCTGTATCAAATGGGATGGGAGAAACATGGGAGTCTACCTATAACTACTTGTATAGATGTTACACGCAGTACTGTACTTACACTAAAATCCATTTATCCACTGTTAAATTTGTTACCTTGAGGAAGGTGGCCCTGAGTTTGGTGACCAGAGATGGGTCCCTCTTGATACCTTGCTGCATATATCCTGTATAACTTGGAAAAAAATAGAAAAGATTGTTTTTTCAAAAATCATCTCAAAATGGATGGTGTACGAGGCTACAGAAATCTTATGAGGACAAATTTTAAAGTGAATTATCAAGTTCCTGTTGTTCTTTTGGGTGGGGATTGAATTTACTGTGGGTACAGAAACTGCTAATTCTGGTTCTTACTTGTCAATGATGTTCCATGCGTAGGAGAGGTCTCCCACTATAGACATGGTGATGAGCACCTCCTCCTTGATGTTAATAGTGCGGATCATCTGGTGCAGAAACTTCCGGGTATCCGCAAGGAACTGTCGCACCTGCAGGTTAGCCTCCAGCTGGTGGAACTCTTGCACCTGGAAGGGACACACACGTCTTAAATAACAAACGCCTTGGCAATGTGATGTAGAGTTTGCACATTTGCACAAGCAACAGTTTACTAAATCCAACTACATGTATGTTAGCATAATTTACTAGTGTAACTGTTATAGAGAAGGATGCAAAAGTTCTGTAATGAACAGAGGAATGTAGCATGAGGATTACAGGTACCTCTTCCAGAGCTTGAATGAGTTGCACAATCTTCCTCCCAGCAGAAGTGGAGTCCTCATAGCTCAAAGAGGTGATCTGCTTGGCCGTCTCATTGAAGTAGGCCTGTAGGTTCTCTGTAATAAACAAAGGACAAGCAATGCTGGCATCAGATGTACATGTTAAACTTCATACGACTTCGTTGTCATAATTATGTGTGAATTCTTTGTTGATTGAACTCAATAGATTTTACAATTATCTACAGAATGTATAACCATAAGCACTTTAGACAGGTTGACTTGCCATTTTTCTCCACCCTTGTGAGAGGCTTGGTCCCTGAGAACACCTCCCCCAGCTCGGCTACCCTCTCTGAACCCTCCTTCTTGCACTGTTCCCACTTGTTCTGTTTATCCTGAAGCATCTGTTTGAACATCTAAAAGGAAAACATGGCAAAACCTACAGTTGATACTAGTACATGTACTACAAAGTAATTAAGAGAAAACTCACATAATATCACAAGCATGCAGACATACTATACAAGCAGTTATAAAGAGTGTACAAAATAAAATTGTCATGTCAACTTCTTGTAGATGCTAGATAAACTAGATCAGCTCCTTCTGTAGATCATCTCTTCCTCTGTACCTCCTTGAGTTTGAGTTCCAGCTGTGCTGTGTTGAGTAGTAACTCAAACAGGACTCCAGGGTTGTACTTGCTGTCAGCTATCACCTGCTCTCTCAGCTGCCGGCAACGCTTGTTCAGGTCAGCACCTGCAGGGAAAAAATGTATGACATTAAATTTGAGGTTTGAATTTTTATCATGAAATATTTCTTATGTCCAGATACTGTATGTTGGCACCATGTATATATCAAAAACTGATCGTCTACTGTAGTTAATTATGGACAGCTGCTTGTTACAACAAACTCAAAAATTGTTTTACAAAGTTTAATTTCCAATCTTAACACACCTAGTGATTTTCATGAAGCACCAAATATGAAGCCAGATGTTATGTATACTGGCCAAAATAGCAAGCTAAAGACTGGATGGATACTCTTCACGATCATACTGAGTACAGCATTGCAAGGCAATGTCCCTACCTGACTCCACAGTGTGCAGTAACATCCAGTGGATGGTAACATTACACTCCCGGATGATGTTCATAAGTTTGGGGATGGAGTCCAGTACAAACTCTTCTGTCAGCACACCTTCCTTCAGCTGTTGCTTCACTAGAGGGTTCAGCTTATCAAAGACGCACGCACGCACGCACGCACGCACGCACGAAACGTATATCAAAGACATACACACATTCATACATACATACATATATATATATGTATATGTTAGATATATGTTAGATATGGCAGAGTCTAGTTAAGGCAATCTCTACACAAAGTATAAGACAGCCTTTCACCACAAAGATACAGGAAGCTACCATGTCACATGAACAAATATCCATTACAGGACAAAGCAACATGTGTACAAATGCAATACTGCAGAAATGCCCTTGCCTGTTCCCTGATGTTAGCCTGCTCTATGGTGTTGTTCAGAGCAGTCTTGGCTGCCTTGTAGCCATCCCAGGCCTCTACTAGGTTCACAATGATGCCCATGTACACACTCACCACCTGGGGGAAACAACATGAACATAAAACCCTACATGTATACAAGAAATCTACATCATGATCCAGACGCATACAATGCAACTTCTCATACAAGTTATACATAATGAAAGTCTTTTTTTTTTCAAAAAGTATGTCAAACATGGGAATGTTGTGTGGAGGGCCTTTACTCTGATTGTCTGCTTTCTCACCCAATTATCAGGGAAGTGTTTGTCCACAATTTCCCTCATCTTGGCCTGCTGGTTGTGGAGGATCTCCGGTGCGAAGTACAGGATGACGTACAGCATGGACGCCTGCGTGGCCAGCGCCGTGCTGCGGTGCTCGGGGAGCGGGTAAGCCGAAATCTGGTTGTAGATGTCGTCTGACCTCAGCCGACCAATCACCATACTGATGAAGACTGGTCTGATGGGCACTCGTCTGGAAACAGATGCACAAACCAGCTACAGGTACTTTTCCCAACAGATTTATAGTAAAGATGCTTTTGAGTTAGATAACAGGGAATAGACACCTACACTTTGAATCTCTAATATTGTAGTTTGGAAAATTTATGTAAAAAAAGACTTACTTGAAGAATGATTCTGGATAGTTGGCTGGTTTCTTGGCCCCAGGGACAGGGGAGAAGCCTGTGCTCCTGAGCAGTTTACAGACATCATCAATGTTGGAGTCAGTCACAGCACGGGCAGAACTGTACCTGCAGGAGACATATAATGGTAATGCTGTTACGGGCTAGCTTTCACAAGTTATAGAGTATGAGGATAGAATCTGCAGTGTCTCTCAGCCTGTCTTTGCTAATCTTTAATGTTTCAACTTTCAAGATATACAAAAATGTAACACACACTACCAGGACTACAAGGATACAATTAAATCTTAGATATTTTTGTGGAAGACGACAAGCCTACCTGTGGTAGGAGACGAGCATCCTCTCCCTGATGACTCCTTCAAACTTCATGTCCACCACCAGCAGCATGGTGCCGTACAGGAACAGGGACTCACACATCAGCTGTTTCCCATCCTCGTTCAACAGAACAGACTCCATAGTCTGCTGGATGTACACTCCCTCCTGGAGATCCTCCAGGTATCTATGCAAGGAAGAACACATGAAGGATGCATATGCAGCTCTAGTCTAGACTGGGAGAAGGTAAGATGGCCACTGTGTTCTTGAAAACAGTATAAAATTCAGTAAGACAGGAAATGCATCAATCTCACCTGTTTAGATCTGTGACATACTTGTGGATGCTCTCAAATGCCAAATAGAACCTGGTCAGTATGTCAATATTGTGCTCCCTGAACTGTTCATCAAGGTCCTGTAAGTCCTGTCACAGTAGGAATTAAAATATTACATTCAAAAGAGATTATCAATTTTGAGTTGCAATAAATTCTTGATTTGGTGGCAACAAGAGCATGGTAATCATTTGAGTATTTGGTGTTTAAACTTAAAGTTTAAAGCATTCAAATCTACCAATCCATTTAGTCTACCAATATTGAGCACAAGTAATTTTCAGATTAGACAAACTTGAGTACATTTATGTCTAATTCACACTGGACTGCAATATAGTTTACAACCACTTTATGAGATGAATTATAAGACCTAGGCTAGATGTGCTCAGCTTACTGGTCGTTTCTCAATGTTGTGGTCGAAGTAGTCTTGCTGACGGAAGTAGGAGAAGTCTGTGATGATGTCACCATAGACCTCCTGGTCCCGTTTGTTGTCCAGGCGGAACACCGGAGGGATGAACTCCGACAGACGCAGCAGCTCTGCGATGATGGCGTTACCTCGGGACACCAGCCGGAGCAGGGTCCTCCCACACAGGTTATCTTCTGCCAGGAAGTCCATGGCACTGCAATGTGATGCAGATGTCTTATGAAGGTCCTCATCTTCCCATCATCGATTTCTATTGCCTTTGCCAAGAATATTTTAATCTAAGAAACCGCCTGTCCATTCCAAGAATTCCTTAATTTGTTCTTGATCGCCACAATGCCACTGGTTTCTTTATAACGTTATCTAAATCTCTCACAATTTTCATTCGATTTACATCCTACGATAGTTTTATTGGTAGAGATATTTGATACATTTTACATCTTGTGGTAGCATCTAAAGCCTCATTTCTAGATTCTAATCAAGTTACTTTTTGGATAGACCGGTACCTAGCCCATGCATGCTCTATAATTTTGTACATGGAGAAACACTCGGTCATGTACAACCACAGGTCTCTAGACCATCCACTAAAACCCGTCATGACGGTCACATGAACAGAGAAGCAATGAGAAGCGGTCTAAACTGGACAGATGCAGTCCTACCTGACCGTAAAGACTACTCTACTCTACTCTACTCTACTCCATGAAGGAGCGTAAAATCTTATCTTGCTAGCCCCACCCCCCATCCACAGGAAGCAATAATTCCTGCAAAAAAAATAAGTTACTCAGCGATAACTCAGCATTCAACGTTAGCCATGTAATTTAACACAATGCAAACTCACCTTTTTTTTGCTACACAAGCCTGGGAAACTCAGCTGTGTGTGTTATACGATGAAAAAAGTTCCGATTTCGATGTTTTCATAACCGGGCGCCGCCATGTTGTTTTCTGCTAAGTCACGTGCACTCAGAGATGCAAATGAGGTATTGCGTAATGCAGATCATGCTCTCGGTGCGAAGATTTCTTTCTAAACTCACGTGACTTCTTTCTTTCCGAGCACATGGGCTACATCCAACCCTAGCATGTCCAAAACGCTAGATCAAAACCGGATGTTCTGCCGCAGTACCAAGGGAAACCACTTGGGGGCGAAAATCTCATTATTTACAGTTTTTAACGCACCCTACCAACGCACGAAGTATAAAACCAATCCATCCAGCCATTCTTGAGTTATCTTGTCGACCAACGACAGAATGATCAACACTCAGACAGAATGACAGATGCAGCTGAAAATATAACTTGTCAATATAATTGTATAATATGTCAATATATGCGAATTTTGAGCCGAATGAAAGAAAACATTTCACAACACCCCCACTGTAGTAAATTTCTTTCATACAAAACATACATCTGTGTCCATAATATCACCAGGGTCCATAATATCGCCACCTTGAGAAATAGTGTGCTTAAAGATATTTTTACTGCAACATACCCTAGGTATGTACATTTGAGGTGTGAAGGAGTGCATACCAAAAGTATGTTGCAGTAAAAATATCTTAAAGCACACTATTTCTCAAGGTGGCGATATTATGGACCCTGGTGATATTATGGACACGGATGTTACAGATGACCCCCTTCAGGAAGATTCGCTCTATATATATGGCCTGCTTTACACATAACTTTTTCAAGTCAACTAGGACTCAAGACGACTTGAGCTAGTGGACTTGAGCGAAAATTTCCCTGTGTAAAGAGAAATAATACAACTCAAGTCGCATTCTATAAATCAAGACGACTTGAGTCGTATCCAAACCAGACTTAAGTCGGCTAGCGGGGTGCTGAGTCAGCTAGCTTCGCGTGTGTAAATGGGCGAAGTCGACTTGAGCGTCTTTGCGTAGTAGTCAGGCAAGACTGAGCCACCGAGTTGACTTGGGGGGAGGGTGGCACAGCGGGAGTGCCAAGTCGCTTTGCGGCCCCGTGTGTGAACAGAAATTTTTCAAGTCGACTTCGCGGAGTCGACTTAGACTCCAAATTGAATGCGAGCGGGCGAAAAAAACAAGGCGGGCCGAAGAAAACAAGGTTTTAAAACATTTTTTAATTTTGACTCAATCATTGTACAAATGGTTTTTATTCAGTGGGAACATCACATATACACAGCCAGATCACATATCACTGCATCAAAGTAAGAAACAAAACATTAAATCAGAGCCTTTTCTTGTCTCCTCTCTTCATAGTTATCTGCCATCCACCTTCCGGTATGGCAATAGACATCTTTGCCCATCTTCAACATGTTGACCATTGTCAGAAGGCAACAAAATTTCTTGTTTTTTTTTTGTGACAAAATCAGATGAAAATTAATTTGCACGCTGATGTCATCCATAAAAATTAATTGCTGTGGCCTTACTTAAGCATTGTAAACCCTTTTAGACACATTTGATAACACGTTCTACGGTGACTTTTTAAAATTATTTACCGGTACTGCATGTTTACCACAAAACAAGGCTCATGGGAGCCACTCAAATGTTTTGGGTTACTGTACAGAGAGTAACGACAGGTGTTTGTTGAACTTAGACTTGAAAAATTTAAGGTTATACCCCTGTGGGAAATAATCACACAGTAGTGTTCCATAGTGATTTTGATCTCAGAAATAAAGAAGCTTTCAGCGTGGAACGTCCTCCTAAGAGGACCTGCAGTTCGACAGTTCGACTGTTCAGCAAGTATTCTATATGGGGTCACAGGTGATCGTTGGAACACAATGCATATTCCATTTGGGGTCACCTGCAGCCATCATAGGCCCGCTTTACACACACCATTTCTGCGGAGGATGTCATCCATAAAATTTACTTGTTGTGGCCTAACGTTATTAACACTCATTATTCAAATATACAATATGTATCTACATTTGTATGCAATGGACTAAAACACGAGCTTAATACTCAAATTATGTATAAGAATTCACAGATTAATAAATTTTACACATCCAGTAACATGTCTGTCTGTGTTATTTTCTACCATCATTGTAATCAGTACTGAACAATTTCATTACAAAGAAGTTGAGTTAAATTTGATATACTGTTTGGATGCCAATGACATGTATTGACAATCAACAGGAAGACCAATAGCAAATAAACACACTGACAGTATCACCTATGATGTTTTTACCCAAGCATACACAGTATAATAGTTTTCCCCAACAAGTTTAGTACTCCAGGTCTTGATACATGTAGTTGTTATTTGCTACATAATCCTAACTATATCTCCTATTTATTCTATTTCAGCATTTGGGGCTATTGTATGATGCCTAGGCTTGTTTGTTTTACTTCCTGTCTCGTCCTATTTTTCCTTAAAAAAATAAGAGAATAAATTGAATTGGCATGGCCTAATGTTAGATGTAGCCATGGAGTGGTCAACAAACTAGCTGAGCAATGAAATACACTTGGTTGCTGGGGGAGTGGTAGCTATTCTCTCAGAATGGCACAGAACTCATAAGAGACAGGGCTGTGGGTGATCATTCCCATAATCCCCACAGTGGTCGGTTTAGCTGCTCCCTCTGGCAGTTTGAAAGTGAAGTGCCGCAGCAGGTGGGTGAAGAGCAGGAACAGCTCCATCTTGGCCAAATTCTCCCCAAGGCAAATACGACGACCTGTAGGCCAAAAAAGAAAATAGACATTACCAAAGGTATTGGTAACTCACTATAAACAAGAGATATCAAAACCGGAAGTTCAGCTGCAGTACCTAGCAAAGCCGCCAGGGGGCCCAAAATCTAATCATTTCTAGGTCTAATGAAGTCCTACCTACCTACCAAGTTTCATTCCAATCCATCCACTGCTTCTCGAGTTATCTTGCTAAACCACACACACACACACAAACACACCCACCCACACACACACACACAGACAAACGCTACTGAAAACATAACCTTCTTGGCGAAGGTAATAAGGAAGATATAACTGTTCTAACTTCTGATTTTAAAAGTGTTATATATGTTGCTTCCGAAAGTTAGAATTGTACTATTAAATGTGATGTATCTGTATAGCTGTTATAAGTTCTGAAAGTCAGTGCCTTGCTGATACAAACTAGTATTCACAGCTCATCAGATGATGTCAACAGTTTTAAAAGATAAGTGCTGTTTATCAACCCTTAAGTAACGTCAGAGGTAAAGAGGGACACAAGGTCTATTTTTGAAATATTCGTACAGGTATGTACTATGGAGAAGTCAGTCTTACCTGTGGAGAAGGGAATGAATGTTTGGTTCTTGACAAACTGCCCATTTTCATCCAGAAACCTCTGTGGCTTAAAGACCTCAGGCTCAGGGTAGTGTACAGGGTCGTAGAACACTGACCACAGCACAGGCCAAACCATGGTGCCTTCTGGGATGTCATAACCAAAGAGGTTGGCATTATTAGAAGTGGCACGAGGGAGTCCCATTGGTGTAACTGACTTTATGCGCATGATCTCTGTGATGACAGCCTCTGTGTAGGGCAGCTGACCACGATGTGTGACTGACAGAACTGTGTCTTGTCCAACCACGCTGTCAATCTCCTCCTGCACTTTCTGCTGTACCTCTGGGTACAGCACCATGTACAGCAGTGCCCAGGTCAGAGTGGTGGATGTGGTCTCGGATCCAGCAACAAACAGGTCTGAAATCACATAGTTTAGCTGGTCTTCAGTGAAGCTCTCCCTGTCCCCGTCTCCATCCTCTCGAGTCATCTCCAGCAGATAGCTGTCGATGAAGTCACGGATGTTACAGGGATCAAATGTGTTCTTGTGCTCTATCATGCCTTCTCTGAAATTACCTATTACATCCTCTGCGTTCTTTAATACCTTGTCTAGAGCCTTCCTAATTGGTGGGATATGTCTTAACCAGGGGAAGAAGTTGGTTGCTCCAGCCAGCTCCTGTTCACCAAAGTTCTGATTGATTCTTTCCATCAAGTACTTAAATTTTGGATCCCCGTAATCAAACCGTGCACCAAAGACGATGGAGCAGATGACATTGCTGACAGCATTTTGAAGGAGGGGTCTGACATTGAAGGGTGAGTTTGCTGTTTGTAGGATTTCTTCCTTCAGACCTTCAGCCTCCTCTAAGATCTTGCCTTCCAAGCTGCGTTTCCCAAACCCAAAATCACGTAGGCTCTTGAGGGTGAACTTTCGTTGCTGCTTCCAAAATGAGCCATAGGGAAGAAATCCAAGTCCTATAGTTTGTGGGAAAATGGACAATTGAAAGTTTAACTTACAGCTTACATTTTGTTTTTCATTGACACTGAATGCTGTGACATAACAGATCATTATGTTTGTGCACTCAGATAAGAACTTTTTATCTACACTTACACCCTTGGACTTTTTTCCATATTGATAGAATGTACACATGTCTTGATTAAATGTTTACCAATTTGTGCTATAGGTCATGAATAATCTGTACTGCTTGAATGTACATTGTATGCTTCCAAATTATCATCATCAAAGGCAGTCCAGTAACTTAAGGTTGTTTCGGTGCTTGGCCAAATCAAAAGATTGATGTGTAATAAAAACTTACCGTTTTTAGTTCCACCCATCTGGTCAAACACATACAGGCATGGTCGGCTTGAGAAGTCTTCCCCTTTCTTCACCAATGCTTCATAAATGGCTTTGTAGCCACAGAGTACAATGACGTCCTTTAGTCCCATTCTGATGTGAAACACATCTCCATACTTTTTCCACATGGCAGTCAGCACTAGGTGTGGGTCCTGATAAGAAACAGAAATAATTTTGGATATGTGTGGTGAAGAGTTGAATAAATTTCGATATGTGTGGTGAAGAGATTAAAACCTGCATAAAGGCTACAGTCAGTCCTTGAGGGTTGGACAATATTTTGATTTTACTTGTTTTTCTATTATGTTAACAAAGCCTAGACCAACAAGGTCAGCCAGCCTCATGATGAGTTTTGTTCAGGAGCCCTTGACCAATTTCAGCCCTTCCCATGGCCCAGTACTCTTTCACCAACCCCAAGAATACTGATAGGTCGACCCCGCTGTTTGTACAGTCTGTTGTACAACGTATCCTGGAATATTCATTACTCAAAGCAAAAAGGTTGACAGGGTCACCCAAAGGCTAACTATTCCCAGGCACTGACCTTGCGAAGTGTTGGAATATGTCCCAAGACTGGCCAGCCCCAGGGCCCTGGGGGGAGGTTCTTCACAGGCCTGAGGAACCAGAAGGTCAGCAGAAGGACACAGACAAGGACAAGGGCTGTCTGCACATCACAATAGGCAAACAGCCTGGCAGCAAGGTTGTTGAGCACGGACATCTTCTTTTCAAGCAAATTTGCCAAGCTGAAAAAGTTATCAATTTGTGCATCGTCAGTTAGATTTGGTATTTTATATGCTGTTCTCTACAATCACCACAATGATGTAAGAAAGTCTTTAAGTGATTTTACTTATCATTTTACAGTTTTTACTGTGCTACATGTAAAATGGCAGAATTCTGTTGCTCAACAATTTGTTTCTTGATTATGTATACATTATTGACACTGAGACGATGAAGTATGGCACAAGTTTTGGCATCATCTTAAAATGTACAATGTAACTATGAAGCATTTCTAGGTATCTTTTCTGCCATAAGAAGGAAGAAGATGAGACATTTATAAGAAAGAAAGAAAGGCATTTACCACAAGTCTAGGAGCCTCTGTTCCTGGCGGGCCTCCCTGTGTAACTGTGTGGAGATTCTGGGTCACTGCTCTTACCCCAAGGAAGGTACCATCTCACATGTATAAAGGGGGAAGTGCACACTTATCTCCTACAAACTGACCAAAACAATTATACTGGGTAAAATTTTCTGCAAGTTTATTATATACAAAATTTCAATACATCATGTACATGTACATATCTTTAAATGCAGACATTGATTGCCCTGCTTGCACAATTAGAGAAAACACTTCTAACTGCAGGTTATTTGAGGTCATGGTCATGTAGTACCCGGTAGTAACAAATTCACCATCTGGTCTACATCACTTCTAGACAGTAGACATAATATGGCTAAATGATGTGACCTGAGGTGTCAAATTTGTTAAGAAGTGACCTAAACTTAAAGGACAAACATGCCGCAATGGGAGTTCCGAGGATATTTTACTAAAAAAAGTGTATACGGGCAACTATAAAGCACTAGAGGACTACATGGTGGTATGGAAATGCTTGATAATATTATTGAGGAGCACTACATGTATATCTGAGTACATGGAATCATAAGGTTGATATGGAACAGTCTGTTTTGGAATGAAAGTATGGATTGAAATGTGCTGTATTTGTAATATCTGCCTTTCTAGTTTCAAGAATGCTTTACCTGATTAAGTTTATATTTTTATGTATATTTTTATCCCTAGGGAGTAGTCCAATTATACATCATATAATATCATGTACAATTATACATAATAGATTTTCCAAAATTATATAATTGGTTGTACCCAGAAGTACTATTATAGTTTTGACATGTCACACAAAATGCACTACATGTTGCACAGTATGTACATATAACATGTGGTTCACAACATCTGTACAGGCATACCAGCTGGTAATGTTAAAATTATAGACTGATTATTCTGAAGTATTTCAAGCTTCCACTGTCCTATGTCACTCTTTTAATATTTCTCTTTCTGCCTGCCTTAGCTCATTCCAGAAACTTTGTACTCTGTGTATGTCGTGTGTACCCATGGCTCCCCATGTCACCATTTGATACCACATACGGCTGTCGGCATTTCGTATCTGGTCCCTTGCATACACCACCTTGTTCCCCCCCACAGCTGTCATATGTTGGATACTTCCATAGTCACATCCCTGCTCTGGTGGCTCAGTCTTCAAAGTTGCTAGGAGCTGTCCAATGTCATAGTGGGGGGAGTCAGGGTTGATGTTGAACACCTGGACATCACCAGTGCTTGTTCCCACCCACAGTGTGTCCTTCACCACGAGTATGGAGCCTACTGTGACTTGGTCTCCTTCGCATGAGAACTCCCTGACCTGTTGGTGGCTGCTGGGGTCTAGCTCAAGGACTTTGGCAGATCCACGTTCAAAGCACCAAACCCTGTTCTCATGGCACCTTAGCTGGATCAGGGAATTGTAAAACAACTCAACACTGAAAAAGAAAAGCAATAAAACTATTACATGCCATTATGTTTTTAATACTCAACAACACAAGACATGTTAAAGGATTTAAGCTACATTGTAGGAATATGGAAGGATACTCTATTACATGTATTATACCAGTATGCCAAGCTGACCTGTGCTCCTTGAGCTTGGTTGCTGTGCCAATGATGACAATAGTTCCACCACATCCCACCCACAACTCCTTATTATTGTTGACCAGTGCCATACATGTCACTCTCTCCTCTGGGTTGTCACCAAGAACAATTTCCTTGACCTCTTCCCACTCTGATTCCTCCTGAATTTGGTAAAACAAGAGGGTTGTTTCAATGTAGTTATGCCACATGATGTGGCTAAACTGTCTCTCTGCATTCCACACATAAGGATACACAAAAGAATACATTCATGTACAACTATAAATTTACACTGTACATTGACTATAATGTTTTAAGATTCTAAATGAAACTGTGGCAAAAGTACAATGTTATGTATAAACTTGTTTTTTCCGCACTTCATGATGCCTTAATTTGCTGTCCTAGAATACTCATAGGCTAATTTGCAGTAATTATAATTCACCTTGATCATACATTTGTACTATCCTGACAGCAAAAAACAGCATCTCCATATTGAATATCTATAAAAGTTGCCTCACTTTGTACTTCGTAGCCTGTGTTTCACGAGGAACTGTGTAGAAAGTATCATCACCTGAGCAACAACCATTGACTCTGTTCTGCTGATGTTGTCATCATCATGGTCCATGTTGTCAGGGACGGCTCTCCTGTACAGCCTCAAGGTACCATTATTGAGCCCAACATACACCTCCTGGTACTTCCTCTTCTTTCTCTGTCAGCAGAGTAGAAACTATCATTGATGATGATGATATACTTATCATTGAACGATACCTTAATGGAGCCAACTGAACTGTACAAGGTGAAAATCAGTGACAAAATGTGTCTGTGGGGCCTCCTCTAAAACAATCCCACACTACCTGATACAGTACCCTCATACTCTGATCTGCACAACAACCTCACCTCTGCCTTTGAATGCCTCTATTAAGGTATTTCATTACAGAATGCCTTTCTTAAATCCTTCTTATTTTGCCCACCTGTTCCATTCTATTCATGTGAAGCTCCAAGAACCAAGAAATTGCATTACTGTGCAACTGTAGACTCCACAGGATACACACCTGCTTTACTGATGACAGGTTCTCTACTTCCTCCACCTGGTGACCCAGGAGTGAGAGCACCTGGTTACCTGGTGAACATCTGATGGTCCACAGGTGGTCTTGTAGTCCCACTGTCCTCCTGTGTCCATACACCTCGATCTCACCTGCCTGGAGTTTGGCAAGGAAGAAAACAGCACTGACATTGACCCCTAGTATTAAAGAGTTAGTATTAACAATGCACACAATAAGATAGTGCTGCATCAAATTTTCAAATGTCCCACTGCAAGTTATGAATGGCCAATCACCTTACATGTGACACCTGATACCAGTCATAATGGCTGTTGTGCTCTGATGTCAAATTGTGTGTCCTTCCAACTTACCAATGAAAGGTACAAAATGGTGGCAAATATTGATTGCTATAATCTGCTGTACATTGCTTACCCCAGTGCCTGCCCAGATGTTGGCACCAACTCCAGCCATGCAGTAGACGTTTGCTCCGGGAAGTTTCTTCTGGTCAATCCTGAAAACCTCCTGCTCCACATCTACAACACTGTAGGTTCTTCTGCCCCCCTCCCCTCCCCATACACTCACAGTGTCTCTGCCGTCCTGTACAGAAGTGGCAAGGGAGGGCAGGAATAAGAAAAAGTAAATCATTGACAAGTTAACTTAAGTAAAATTTGGATACATCTACATTTTGCATGACACCTGTTAATGAAGAACTTTTTCCAATAAAGGCTTACAACTACCGGTAGTTCCTTTGATGTTTATTACTATACCCTACTCTCATTCATCTTTATACTAGACTGATGTGTATGTCCTACCAAAGAACACCGTTGTTTGTAAAAAACTTAAAGCCTACGATTTTGTTCATCGAAAGTGAAATTCAGTCATTGTCATTATCCATGCCGTTTGTAACAATATACTATATACATCACATTCAATACACGTACCTGGTCCTTGAAACAATAAGAATGTTTTCATTCCCAAACTGCTGTCCTACCAATGTCTCATTTATAAGCAGCTGTCCTAGCTGATGGCTCCTTTATATACTGGCATATACACATGTACATTGTAGCTGGTGAGTTATGCCAAGAGGTGGTTATACCAGCTATGCAGATACAGGAATACTGCTGTCCTGCCACTGACTTCTTTACAAACATGTATTGCTGTCCTACCTGTGCCTGTAAGGGCAGCATGCTACTAACAAGCTGCCTGTTCAGTTCTATCACTCTCTGCTGACTGATGAACGTCATGTCCTTCAGCTGCTCAATTACGTCCCTTATGGCGGGCCTGAGGGGAGAGCGAGAAACTCATCACTTACAAGATGGGCTGTTCGCATTAATATCACAGCTAGTTGCTCTAATGGGTATAACTGTAATCTATGACTATGACAGTACACAGTGACTATGCTATGTACATTTGTATTTCTTATACAATTGATTTTGATGCCTTTCACAAAAGTTACTAGCATATTTGAGGGAATTTCAATTTTGAAGTTGAAAATATGTACATGGACATCTGCCAGATGAAGTCTCAATTTGATGAATTGGTCCACAACTTAAGATTTGATAAGACTCTAAAATTCATACTTCTACTACTCTACTCACCACATGTATACTGGTGTGGGGAATAATTAACTGCCAAAAAAAGTACTTGCTGACCTGCGTTGAGGGTCAGCCACCCAGCACTTTCTCATGAGCATCTCCAGACAGGGGAAATTGATGCTGATGTTGCGGTCTGAAAGAGAGGGACGGACACCTTCCCGGAGGGCTTGGGCAATCTCCAGGCCACTGGTGTACTGACCCAGGGGACGCAGGCCCGTAGACAACTCGTATAGGAGCATTGCATAGGAGAAAATATCAACCTACAAAATATAGCATAGATAAGTGTCGAGCAAGTTGATAAAAGCTTTATGGTTCCAAAAAGTTTCATACAATATAACACAGGATTTACATCTTTGAAGAGGCGATAGTCATCTGTTATGTCAATCCTTCCACAGATGTGGTAAATCTTCATAAATGAAATAAAACATATTCTGTGATGTACATGTAAGTATAACAAGTCTGTGTGTGTGTACATGTAAGTATAACAAGTTTACAAAAATTCACTATGATAACAGCTACAATTGGCAGACAGTTGGGGATGGAAAATTTCATTGATTCTGGGGAAAAACACACATGGCACTGACCTTAAAGTCATACACCATGCCAGGACGGACTTCAGGAGCCTGAAACCCCGGGGTCCCATCACTACTGAGCACGCCCTGTGGAGAGCTGAACTGGGATATTCCGTAGTCAGAGATCTTGACATTGATGGGCACCTGTGGGTCCAGGCTCCACACCAGCACATTGTCCGACTTCAGGTCACAGTAGACGATCTCCCTGTCATGGATGTACTTCAGGGCTGACGCCACCTGGAATATAGGGTAGATTCTCATTGTACATATATTTACAAATCATGATCATGAATCAGACAAAGCCACTAGGATGTCACTATCTATAAATCAATTTGTCATTCTATACAATTTTTCAATTTGAATACTTACAATGTTACAATATCCAATCTTCTTTATGATAAAATTTAGCCACAATGGAAATACATCCTGTGATAAACACTGTGGTATCATTAAAAGTTCAAAATTCATTGTTTGAATTTTGAACTAGCTTGGAGTGTTGACTTCATGGCTCCTATCATGCCATTTTGGGCCATAATACTAACAGGATGCCTAGGCCTGTTTTCATTTTTTTTTTTCATTTTTCTAGAAAAATCCGTTAACCAAGAAATAAAATTGGTGTGGCCTTAGGTACACTTTATTTGTTATAATGTACATTGTATATCAACTCCTAAACTCTATTATACATTGTATCTTAGTAAGTCCAAGCATTGCTTAAAATTATTAAATTATACATTTGGTCTAATCGTAATTCACATTCAAACACTCTAATATGATGATGCCTATAGCATTTATAACTGCATATATGTATCTTACATTTAAGAGGTTGTAGTACAAACATATCTGACTGGTACCACAGAGGAAAGGGAACTGACCTGCAGGGCAATCTTGTATGTGATGTCTCTCTCCAGGAGCAGGCCAAACGGAGCTCCGGCGTTCTTCTCCACAGTCCAGTTTCCTCGTTCCTCCTGCCAAAAAATCACAGTTCAGTTTTAGTTTTAGTTAAACTAAAGTAATTTGTAAATTAATCAATTTTCTTGGGGACTTTCATGTAATTTTGTGGCAAAAAGGGAAAGGAGGTTTTGCAGTACACATATATTCTAAGTTTGTGCAGTTGACACAATTCTGCAATTAAGTATAATTCCATTGAAAATGCATATATTTGGGTCTCATAAATTTATGGTGGTGAAGTTATTATATAATTATATAATAATAAAGAAAAAACAAAAAATAATCAAAAAATTTTTACAGTTAGGAATAGATATACAACATATATTGAGTTTGTTTTAAGACTTCTTATGTTAACAATTCCATTTACATCTGCAATTGTAACAGCTTAGTATTTTGTTATCAATATTGATGTTTGCAGCATGGTACAGTATTTTTCACAGGACAGTATGATGTTTTGGTTTGAAATTCAGTCTTGTTACTTTAATATTGCATTGCTACTATATACATCATACTAATTGGTAGTACTTTGCTACTGCCAGTTGTGTTGAATTGTTGTATTACTGGTGTAAAGACTTACAACATGTAGCTCTAGATGAGTCAAAATTTACTTTGTTGATTTTTTCTTGTCAGTACAACTTAAATGTTGCACACAACACAGATATCCAGTAGCAAGCCCCATCTTTTTGACTGCAGTAGATCAAGGATTCCTGCTTTAGACTCTTAAGAACACAATACTTAAAACTAATATGCAATTGGTGAGGGCTTATTACCTGCTTGGCATCCAAGACCGACCTCAGACTCCCCATGGGGGCCAGCTCAATGGCAAGACAGAGAGGTCGCCTGGACACCCCCAGGAGCGACACCACGCAGGGATGGTGCAGCTTCCGCAGAACAATCACCTCCCGCCGCAGCTCAGAGAAGGCCTTGACTGCCTGGGTGCCTTGAAGGGTCCGCAGAAGTTGTCCATCAAAACTGGGTGCGCTGCTGGCAGAACTAATAGGACTCTCTGTGTCCTCACTCCCCTATTTGCATGAGAAAGGTATACAAATACAATATTAAAAAGTATACAAACTTTAAAAATTTATACTACATGACATTGTGTATGTATTAGGCTTCAGAATTTACCAACAAAAAATATATTTCTTGTGCACTCCAGCATATAACTTCTCAGCTTTACTGGATATTTCATGTAGGTTTTGAGAGGGCAAATACAACCCTAGAGATATTATGAGATTACAATGTATGTACCGTTAACATTTACACTAGAAACATACAATATCTGCATCCACCCTGGTTTGTTCTATCCTTTGAAATGAAATACCCTACAGTCTACAAGACTTACCCTACTCTCTCGACTGCTTGCTGAGGCTGCAGCTCTTCTGATTTTCTCCTCTGAGTGGAAACACTTAACTGCCACCTCCTGCCCCTTGTACAGTGCTCTGTAAACCCCTCCCATGCCTCCTACACCCAGCAGGTGTTCCCCTGTAAACTCCACCTGAGACAACAATGGAAATATCTCTATCAGGTTACCTTATCATCCTCTCTACTGAATTACATGTCTTCTATGGAATAAAATGTTTGTGTAGTCCTGTAGACTGCCTGTATAATTGGTACAAATAGTTGGTACGAATAACAAGCAGAAGATGGCAGAGACAAGTTGTTGAGTTTGCATAGACGGGAGGTTCTTGCCCTTGGCTTAGGATGGAAACAGTTGAGCTTTGCAGTGCAGGTCAAGAAAAGTATATACATGTATGACCAAACTGCAGGATTCTCATCGTCAGATGACCCAGGTGGTAAGATGCACAGAAAGGATGCCTTTGAATGATGGTCCCATAGCTGCAGAGGTAGGGCCTCTGGAGGACATGCGACAGACAGATGGCTGCAAGAGGAAAGAGCCATTTGATGATGACTGAACCAACCTGTAAGTCTTCCTGCTGCATGACCAGTTTCTCTGGCAAGTCTACCAGGAGGAGGTCTGGCACGAGTTCTGCCAACTGGACAGGGGTGTCAGGGTGTTTGGGACACTCCACTGTGTCTTCTGTTACATGACAATGGACAGCCACACGTGGTAGTAATAACACAAACTAAACCAGTATCTAATAGTACTTGTTCTTTGACAGAAAGGTTATAAATTCATATCATAATTGCATGGAATCGACTTGTGACCAATAGAAAATGCAAGAAAAAGCCCTCAGATTGTTAGTTATAATATCAAAATTGAAAATCAATTTTGTCGTATTCACCTTGCAAGGCCACCAACCCACATCCTTCTAACATGAACTCATGGGGTCTGTTGGGGTCCTTTGGGTCTCCCACTGCAGAGCACCTGTGAGGATGTCTGCGGAGACACTCGGGACAGGGGATGACACACTGTACCAGTGGCCGGCCCTCATCATCCACCTCCTGCTTTAAACCTGCACGGGTGATCAGAAAAAGACATGACAAGGTCTACATGACATGGCACTAATGAGGATGTTGTTCAACACTGGTTTGACTTAAATTTAAGAACTGGCACCACCTTCAACATATATGTGTGTGTGCATGAATACGTGTATCTACTTGCAAAGAAGATTAAAACTGCTCAAACTTCAAAGAAAACTGAAAGGTAAATGACACCAAAAATCATAACAGAGAGATGAACCCTGCTGCCCAACTTCATAACCAAGAGAAATGAAGTGCCAAGAGCCTACCTACAATGTATATTAAGCAGATAGAACTTAAAGACTAAGTCATAATTTTAGCAAATGTGGGTTTACCTGGGAACCACTCCATGATCAGGATGTCGATCTGGTCAGCAATAAAACCCATGACTGAGAAGTCATTTGTCTCAGACTTGACAATGATCTCCACCCCATCCATCCCTAATGGGTCCATGCCAGCACTACTGGACAGGGACTGTACTCTGAAGGACAAGAAAGGTAGAGAATTTTCAGTCCTGGAACATCATGTAGAAAGTACGGGTGTAGGATTGTTACAGTAGCATTTTAGTGCTACCTAAAACTCGTTAGTAACTGATGTTGGATAGTTGTTTAGGTACCAGGGAAGTCTATCATACATGTACATACATGTAGAGGATGGGCAATTGGCAAAACAAGCAACTTCAAGCTCGGAAACTCTGGCTGAACCTTGTTGCTTTCCCTCATATTCAAACTTGCTATGACCCTGTCCTTGGTGCTGAAGGAGTACTACAGCCATTAGTCACTGCTAGTAGTCTTTAGTTAGTAGAAGTCTATTTCATTGGTAAAAAAATCTTCTGCTCATTTGTTTTCATAAATAAGCAAATAGATTGTAAATCTAATTCTCACCTGACCTCCCCTCCCTGGTACACCACCTCCATAGCCTCCCTCCAGTAGTAGCTCCTCTGGAGCTGCAGTTTGAAGCTCTTACTGGGGTGGCGCTTGATCACCCTAGAAGAAAACAGACAAAAAAATTCAACGAAAATGCACAAGAAGAAACACACATACACACACAAAAAAACACACACAAAAAAATATACAGTTCTTTGTGGCAAATGCGCAAATCATGGCACATTGGCGACACTAAGCCTGTGTGTCGTCGTCAGTGTTTGGACACAAGTATCAACACACGCTCGGTGGTCATGACTCCGCCATATAGTGAGGGAAGTCGTGTAATTGGGCATGTGAGGGAAATGAACCCGGGACCTTTTGACCATTACGTCATCACGATGCCACTCACACACAAATACCTATACATTATGTACATGTAGCTCTTTCACAACCCAGATATTCCACAGCTACAACCTGCACAGTCCCTACATAACCACCTGGACTCCTTCCAAGAGGCAAGCTTTTGCTGCAGTTGGCTTTTTCTTTCCTGCCTGTTGATTCGCTCCAGCCCGATGATTAACCTGGAGATTAGCCTGCTCCAGAAGCCACTGGGGACGTACACCATGCGGTAGTACCTCCGCAGCAGCTTACGGGACACATACTCAGTAGCAGCTGGGGCTCCCTGGGGCAGCTGGGAGGGGACGAGTAGCCTGGATACACCAAAACATTATATGATTATATGATACTGAAATGAAATAATCTTTATTGCCAAGGCCTTCATAATTTATGCTACTTTTCACTTCTCTCACATAATCATAGAAAGTATTCTACAGTATAATCATGCACAATTTTTTCTATCCTAGCTACAAGTTACTGACAGAAACTGAGATTGGTTTGTGGTAAAAAATACACACAATGTCCAAACAGTATCTTCAATTAAGAGAAACTACAGTACAACTGTAACAGCAAGTTGACACTCACTCCTGGTCGTCCACAGCCATGGCGATCTCAAACCTCTCCAGCAGCTGGAGGTACTTGGGGATGAACTGCTCAGGGAAGCGCGAGTCCTTGAACAGGAAGGGCACATTGTTTTTGTGGAGGCGACCGTTCTGTACATAGCGGTTGATCTCCTCCACAGTCAGGACCTTGGCTAACATGTCACAGAGCCATGATGGGTCCAGGAAGTAGAGAGAGTCCAGCCCACGCAGGTGGTCACTGAAGTGGACCACGGAGCCAATCTCATGCAGGAACCTTACAGCTATAACAAGAAACAGAAAATCTTTATGCAAACGTAGAAATACAATAATATGTACCAAATAGCTCTTTTCTTACATGAAACGCATGAATGGTCTTTCAAGAATCGTTGCTGAAACGCAAAACTACCTGCCTATCTCTGATCTCTGTACCATAGATAGATCTGAGAAATGCCTTACCAAGCTCCCTGTCCTCTTTGGTGGTGATGTCATTATCAGGCAGGTTCTGCACTAGGGCAGAGAACTCTGTTTCCTCCTCATTCAGCACAGGGAGTCTCTCAGTCTCTAGTCTGAACTGGGCCTCCTCCTCTACTGCCTTCATCAGCTCAAGGTAGCTCCTTGGAACCTGATATACACAATCATACAGTACATGCTCCAAATGAGTCATGCAAGGCATTACACAACAAAATAGCAATGTAATCATTAAGAAAGAAAGGTTGAAAATTATTCAAATTATGATATTATCTTAAAAATTCCAACTTAAAAGTGTGGTGAGAAATACTGGGATTTCAGATTCCTAATTTTAAAAATTTTATCCACCGTATAACAATGATGCCAAAATATTACCTTTCTGCCCACTAGCTTCTCCCCGGTGTCTTTGTCCTTCATGTTGCATGCGACTTCATACACCGCCTGCCTCAACTCCTCCACACCCTCCCCAGTACTGCACGATACCTGGTCAACAACATACAAACTGTCAGCAGAACAAAACTGACAGGAGGATTGGGGCAGAATAATATTACTTGTCAATGGTGGCTATTTTTTATAAAGTCTTTTTCTGCAGTACATGTACATGTAGTGACGTTGACTTCAACTTTCTTCAACTGTTTACATGGCATTGCTACATGCACACTTAGTCCACAGTTAACTTAACAATCATATTTTTTTCAATATGTCTTAAATTGTTTCATGACCCTTGAGTATAAGAAATATGAAGTTTTTGAAATTGTGAGTCATTCCTACCTCCTGTATAGCTCTGATATCAGGGAAACCCTTGACAGGCTCGAGGTACTTCTGACGAATCATCTCTCTCATGGCAGCCACCTGTCCAGCCCTCTCGTTCTTTGGAACACAATCCAAAAATGTGCCAACAATGATGACATAAGAGTTTGGTGCTCGAGCCTGTAACATCAACAATAGTAGGACAGCCATGAGAGAAAACACAATCATTACCATTCTTGGCTTATTGTACTGTCCAGAAAACAACGCAAAAAGTTGTTTTATTGCACAGCCCCTAACATGCACAACAAATTGAATGAAATAATAATATGTCAACAGCAATAGCAATTTTGTCAGGTTCATTTCTGTCTGGTTCAATTCTTGTACCTCCATGACATGTGGCGTAACTTTCAAAAGATTTTACAGATGTACAAGTTACAAAGGTAAACTTAAGGTGAAGGTGAAATTCCAGTTTAGCAACAGGACAGGTTAGGATCTTGCAGGACTGAATTCTGCAGGGAACCTTGTTAGCTTGTCTTGCTGACCTGTATGTTGAGCAGCCAGGGCTTGAGGTTGCTGATGCCTTTCTCCCTCAGGGTAAGGTTGTAGGTGACCAGGAACAGTGTATTCTGGGACAGGAAACACTGGTGGGTGGGGTAGTACACCTCTTGGCCTCCCATATCCCAGGTGTTAAAGATGACTTCTGGAGCTTGCAGCTGATCAAAAATCATCATACATAACATTAAAGCCTGATCATCCACTGCATGATCTCGTGCCCCCCCAAAGACGCACAGCCACTGGCAGGAATCTGAGGAACAACAGTGCGTTCACTCTTCCCAAGGCCAGGACTGAACGACTGAGACAGTCTTTCTTGCACACTGCAGTCAGACTTTACAATAACTCTATTTCCTAGACCAACCACCAGCCTGTGAGCTTGGATCTTGGTTAAGCGTTTGTCACTATATGTATTTTTGTTAGGACAGTCAGCACATATAGTATGTACAATTGTTTTGTAACAAGCTTACGCAATTCAGGGCATATGGACATGTATATGTGTGTATTTCCCTGTCAATGTATGTTTGAAGTAGAAATAAATAAATAACCTGACATATTAATCATAACTACCAATTTGTTTTCCTTTTGCCACATGATAAAGAAACAGCACATCTGTAATCGATGCCTACAGTTACTTTCAATTCACTTAATGCAAGTCACAATTATAAGAACGAAATATTCTGACCCATGTTTTCAAGGTGCAATTAACCAATAAAATATTGTAAATTAAATACAGTATTCTTCCAAAGGCAAAAATACACTTTCATTAGAATATACATTAGGTGTACTTCTTCTCCCTTTTATCCATTACCAAAGCAGTGCCAGAGAGCTGCACACCTTAGCATCTCGAGGCAAGCTGTTGAATAGTCCAGCAGATCTTCTCCTTGGGGGAAGGCAGCACCACTGACCAACCTGTACTCCGTTGGTGGGCATGTTCTGCTGGGCAGGCCTTCCCATCAACACATCAAGCACAGTGGTTTTTCCTGTACCCTACAATTAACCATTCAATATGACAAGAATATTAGAAAATCAAGGGGAACCAAATGTAATGAGATGTACCGGTAAAGACATCACAATTTCTTAATTTGTGTACAGATAGGGAGTACCTAAGTCAGGCAAGAACTTCAAGCTGATCCTGTAAATATACTAAAAGCATGAAAGTACTTATTAAGCTAACAATTACCGTATGCAATCACCTTTCTTGTAAACCATCCTATTTGTTCAATCACTATACATGACTTCTTTAAAAAAAATACCTTCCATATAACTACCTCTTTTCCAACCAACATGAGCTTGACCTTGTTGCAGGGTTCTGACATTCTAAGCTGTGCTCTCAGGAATGCCAGCAGGTCTCGCACTTTTTGGGGTAGACTTACTGCTTCCAACTGAAATGAAGGAACAGATGGTGTAAAGCCAGAGACAGATAAAATAAACATTAATGTATAAAATAAGTCATTTCCACAATTATATAAGTGCTCTTTCCTGTATCTCTAGGTTGTTAATAGAGAGTATCCGATTTCCAATTTTGACAGATAACAATGTCATTCCTCATTGTTCCTTAAGACAGGAAATCCCACACAAATCAAGTACAGGTATGTGGCAATCTGACTAAAATTGGATTCAAACTGTACGTGCATCCTGCCATGTTGGTGAGAAGCATGGGTATCAAAAAGAAGAAGTCTTGTGCCCACAAAACAGGTGTTAGTGCTCTCACCAGGTCTGACATGGCTGGGGACATGGTGCAGGGACAGGCCATCCAACCCCAGCTGCCAGCACTGACGCAGGTTCCCCAGGGCAAGGGGCAGCTCATGCAGGTCCGGGTTACTGTCAGTCAAGTAAAAAAGTGAATTCAAAGTGAACCAGTTTTCAGTTTAGCTCATTGAAGGACTAATTTTCTACTCGTCATATACACTCAGGTATTGAACATTGAACCATCCCGCCCTATGGACTGAAGCCCCCTCCAGGAGTGTGCATGTCAGGTATTGACAACAGCTGAGGTTTAAACTCACCACTGGACTACATGTATGCATGCTACCAATAAAGCCATGAGTGATGAGTCACATAACTAAACACACATTGTCAAGTTTAAACATACACAGGGAAGGACAGGTGAGAAAGACACTGAATGGGCATCAAGCACTCAGAATTAGAATGAAATGGATTGTATTTAATATTAGCTTATAGAAACTGGAACATAACAAAAGTATCAGATTTGCTTTAGTCAAGGAGAACAAAGCATCACATCAATGTCTCTGTACTTGGCATGTTCTCTCCTTACTTGCTGAGGTCCAACACTTCAAGCCGTGTTAACTTGCAGATACTGCTGGGCACTGACTGCAGGTTGTTATCATTCATCAGGAGGGTCTGTAACCTTGGGGTCAAAGGGGAAATTAATATTTCTTCACTCACTTTGTCAAACTTAAATATGGACAGAAAGAGAAAATAGTGAACACTAAAATAATACAAACACCAAATACACTTCACCCGAAATAAAACCAGGTTTCCAAGTGATGATAAATACAGTACGTCAAGCATCTCAAACATCGCTGTTTTACCTGGGAATGAAAATATCTGGAAATTCAATCTCCTTAGAATAGTGGTCATCCTCGTTATAGAACATGGCAGACTTGGGCCTCTCCACCTCCCCTGTTGATTTCTTCTTTCCAAAGAGCTTCCACTTCTTCTTCTTTTCCTCAGGGCTGTAAATGACAAACACAATGCAAGAAACAAAATCTACCTTATAGTCTTTAGGACATTTTGGTTGTTACATACAGATACAAGAAAGGACAACCTTTACATAGACTGAAACTTTAAGATAATTGTTACTAGAAATCATGGTACATGTGATCTATATTTGAGAGCATTGTACAGTAGTCGCATTACAAAAACCAACAACCCTCTCCTAAAGACTTTTGTCTGCTTGGTTACACGCCTATGTTCTGACCCCCATATATCATCTGACAACTCAACCTTATAACTAGTGTACCAACAACCCTATGTCAGAACATAGAGCTGTTCCAAACTGATCCTTACCCAGGTGTGCTGGGGGACTCAGGTAATGATCCGTTGGTCAGTTTGTTGTGACTGATGTCCAGAGAGGTCAAGTAGGGACATTTCCAGTGTTCTGGCTTCGGAAACTTTTCCAGTCTGTTGTGGCTAACGTTCAACTCTGTCAGGGCCTGCTCAAAATATCCAAAGTTTATAGCTCAAATGCAATTTGCATTTTACAGGAATGATATGTTACTGTTACAGTTTTCACTGTTCCAAGCTAATATCACTTAAAACTAGATACTGGAAGCACCTAAAGAGCAAATTTGGAGAATGGAGATGGACACTGCCCTATACACTACATGGTGTAGGAAGAACTTTTTAAAAGCAAAATTGCTGTTACAGTAGTAGAACTAGAAGCTCTACCTTCAGCCTGCAGACCTCCCAACGTATCTCATCCAACTTGTTGTTCTTCAGGATGAGGTACCTTAATGTGTCGGACCAGAAAAACTCCAGGCTGGCAGGTAAGGTCCGCAAGAGGTTAGAGGAGGCATCAAGGACATCCTGTATTAAAGGACAGAACTGAGTTAACACTACTTCAATGTTAATATCACAAATAAGCCCAGAGGTGAAAGAGGTTCAGTTGATTACAAATGTCATGATTGTACCCATTATAACAGGCAAGGATATAACACTAATGGTTAGAATACATCTGGGTGAGTTACACCTGTATATCCCATGGTCCCTTACCAGAGGACATCCCCATGGATTGGGCAGCACCTTGACCTTGTTGTGGTTGAGGATCAGCCTGCTCAAGTCTTTGCTGTTTTTGATGGCCTCTGGCAGTTCTGTCACCTGATTGTGGGACACATCCAGGATCTTCAGCTTCTCACACCTCCACCTGGTACCACTGCCTACAGCACATGGAACAGAACAGCCTGATGATTTAGACCAGCATGTGCTGTAAGTTAGGAAAGTCTGGCTCCATAACTACAAAATGGACAACTGAGTCATCAAAATGACTATACATTTCCTATGTTGGTATGGGATCTTTTTACTTTACTCTATCTTACAACTCGGAAGTTCATGTACATGTATGTTGAATTCGAACATGCATACATACATGTTCATGAAATCAGAGTCAAGGATATACAAATCGTATAGGTCACTACTAGTACTGGCTTCAGTCAATAATCATGACTACTGGTGTAACAGACCAAGTTATACCCCAGCCTAGAATGTATCCAAGTATACTGTTCTCAGGGGTGTAGTATGCCTTTTATATCGGTACTTACCAGGAGTTGGCCTGTTGGACAGATCAGCAATCTCATCCTCCAGTGCATACTCCAGAGACTTGAGTTGGTTGTTGGAGAGGTTGAGTTTCTCCAGGCTGGGGATGAGGAACAGTTGGGGAGGGATCCACTGAAGTCTGTTGTGTGAGACATCCATGTCCACCATTCTGTAACAAAACAAAACAACACATACCAAATGCTGTGTCAACATATGTAGATCCAGTGTACATGCTTTATCACACCTAACTCCCGGAAGATGGGGAACAACAGATGCTAAACCGGATAGAGTGTGACAGCTGCTTGATATTAAGTCCAAATTGACATTTAGTCTCCTATCTTCAATGTACTAATATTACCCAGTTCAATTCAGATTTGGGACGACAAAGAATATCCATCATCCTATCGGCACTGTGCATTAATTCACACATGAAAAGTTTCTGTATACCTTAAGCAGAGAATGTCATTAGACTCTTCTCTACCCTCTGGAAGAGACAGAGCACCAAGTGCATTGTGGGATAGGTTTAGCCTTTCCAGTTTGTTCATTCCCCATGGTAGGATGGCTGGGATGCTGCACAGTGCATTGTGGGACAGGTCAATCTCCACCAAAGTGTCAGTATGATGTTGGAGCCACGTCTCATGCATGGCGTACAGATGACGCTGTCTCCACTTTGCAACAAGCTACATAAACAAAATAATACTTATCATGTGTAATGTTGATTTAGATGTCTAATCAACATTATACAAAATATGACATACCCCTGGATAAAATTATATATTTATCGCAGCAACAGTAAAGTAAATCAGACTATGCTTCACAGTAAGTACAACATCCTGTACCTCAACAATAGATTTAAACATTTCTCTGCTTGAGGTTATCCATGGACCAAACTTCTTCCAGTGACAGCACATGTGAGCAGGGAGGAGGTTGATCAATGACATATGCTCAATACAGGTGTCTACACTTGTGATGACAATGGATTGTACATGTAATTGGATTGTAAGTTGATTACTACTAACACAGGTGAACTTCCATGTTAATGTGTCAATGCTTGTTTAGTACCTGCTGAGGTGGGTTCTCCCCAGGTGGAGATGTCCTGTTGTCCTTGGCTGAGATGTACTTCTCCATGGTCAGAGCCAACACTTCAGGGAAGGAGTCTACTTCATTCTGAGTCACACAAACACCACAGTCCACAAGGAACCTGGCAACTTCAACATGGCCACCTGCATATTTTTGATTATAATAGAAGTTATTTTCTTGCAGATGACACGGAATAGCAATACAACCATATAATGACTGATCATCCTGAGCTGAAATGTCTTTGCTGCAAAATTTGTTTGCAGTAATAGCCTGGAGAACAGAATGTACAACCATAGCTTAATCTGTGTCAAAGTGACAATACACTCACTTTGAATTCAATATTGCAACCAAAATGTCTGCAAACATGGTGAGTTGAGATGAAAACTTGACTTTGTGTAAGCAGTAAGCAAGCCAAGGTGTTACAACACATATGGTAACAACCCAATCTGGTGACAGTGTTTTCTGTAAGTTTAATGTGATGACCACCCACCTGAACATGCCCCATACAGAGGTGTTGGTTCATCAGAGGATGTGAGCCTGGCTCCATTAGCAAGCCAGAACTGCACAACAGGCAAGTGTCCTCCACAGCAGGCAGCATACAGCTGGACAGTCAGTGTGGATGGGGAGCTCACCAGATCTGAATAAGACAAACCAAAAAACATCATGTAGGTCTGTTCTGGTCCAAAGAGATCACTGTCATTATAGTAGTGCTCATTGTCTGTTACTAGGTGACTAAGATTCTTTGTAGTGTTTTTTTATCTTAATGTTGTTGCAGCTGCCAAAGGACTATCATCATGTCTGCCCTCTATCTGTAACATAGAGTACAGTTGCTCGCTTAAGCTTGCTCAGCATAGCAAGGACATGTGTCTTTTTCTTAATGGTCATAAATTTCCTCCGTTCAAGTGTACTGAAAACATTGTGCTATATTGGTGAGTAAGAAGTAAAGAAGTAAAGAGTAAGAAAAAAATGCCCAAACATCAATAAACAAATCTACAACATTCCCTTATAATAGAGTCATTTACCTGGATAGTTTTCCAGCATGATATTGATAACTGACATGTGTCCATGGCGAGAGGCAATCTCCAGTGCAGTACCCTGCCTGTGTATACGTGTCCACGGGTCTGCCTCATGTTCCAGCAGCAGTTCAGTCACATCAGTATGGCCAGACTGGCAGGCCAGAGACAAAGGTGTGCCCTGTTTAACACAACAGTGCATTTAACAAAAGCAACCTTTTATCATGCCTACACAAAAGTTCCAAGGACATTGCTTCTAAATGCAGTGCAGATTATCATGTACTTCACCTCCTGTTCCAGGGCATTAACATCGGCTCCAATCTCTAGAAGTTCATTCACACACTTCACATGTCCTTCTCTGCTGGCAATGTGTAACAGGGAACCCATGGTTCCCTCCTCTAGATCTGCAAATGAGAACATCAAACTTGAATCAAATGATGGTTTTTACTGCCAGGTTTTGTATTACATATACAGTTACATACAGATATTCATAGCTACATTTGTGAAAAAGGGGAGAAAGTATCTATGTCACAGCTGCATGGTATATGTACTGAACAAACCTTTGCCCAAAACAAGTCTGATTGCACTATAGCCATGTTTCTGTATGGCAGCCTTCAGCTTCTCTGGGCTCCCATCCAGTATAGCAATCTTCAACTCATTGTAGATCAATTGTACTTCTGTGAAAAAAAAAAATTAACATTTTTGTTTTACATACATGTACTTTATATAATATTGTACTAGCTACTGTCAGTACCACTGAGCATGCACGACAGTCTACTGCACAACAATACTACATGTACTGTTGATTTTTCTTAAAAGCAGTAATAACAGAGCCCGAGGTTTAGGAGAAATTTCAACGAATGAACCTAGGACTGTAAAATGACATGAAGTTCAACAAATGTGGAATATAGCATACCTCCCTTTACACTGCTTATATCCACACCTATCTGTTCAATGCTGATGTACGACACTTGCAACTGTATGAATTTTGTGAGAGGCTTTTTCACCAGATACTTCAACTGATCTGCATCGGAGGGTAGTTGGACAGCAGACCTGGGAGGAAGCAATGAAAGTAAGTGGGAATTTGATCAAATACATACATGACACAGACATACATACTAGTAAAGGTGTATAAAACTGTCAACTGCAGATAATTTTATGTAACATGATGAAATTACAGTATTAAAGGCCTAGCAAAAAAATATTGTGTTTCTTGTTTCAGTCCTGAAAAAAATTAGGGTCGGTTGATAGGGATACAGGAAACACAACATTTTTTTCTAGGTCTAAGGGATTTCATAATGCATTTTTACAGGCTCTGTATTTTTAATCAAATGCTGAAAGCAACAAGAGTAAAGAATTCTGAGCCTTAAAGTACTTGCATATTTTCACCTCTCAATGAGATAGTCCAGCTCCATGGGTTCTCCTGGGCGAACTGTGTACAAGAAGGCCTGAGCCAGGATCTGTCCATTAGAAAACACATGCCCCAGGAAGGAGGTGATCGTGGCTTGTTTCTCTGGGAAAATGGCAAGTGGAACTTCCTTGATCTTCAGAGTACCCTTGAAAAAGCCACTGTCTGCAAGAAAGAAGGAATGTCTTCAGCAAATTTTAGCATTTCTAATGGATTACAAGTGTTTGAAATCATGTACATGTATATGACAAAATTAAAGGATCCCTTTTGACATATTTTTGTCAACAGCCAAAGAACATTCTTCAGCATCTACCAAATGGGACTGAATACAATCCAAAACATAGGCCATTTCACTATAAAGATAATTCAACTGTAACAAACAATGCACCACTCGCTTGGGTTACGGCAGCCTATGGCCAACTATGATTAGTATTTCATACATATGGCTGTAACTTTTGATAGCTTGGTCGCACCACAACTTAACTTCACACAGTTCTAGTAGTACTTGAAACACATTGAATAAAGGTTATTTTGTTTTTACTACTTCTGAATTTTTGGGTTAAAAATCAACATTTTGGTTAAAAAAAAGCTGTTTACTTCATGGCTTTACGCGCAAGCGGTAACAACACCTTTCATCATGATATTTTACAAGTAGAAAGCCAACCCCCTATTTATTATTTTTTTCCGAGGCTATTTTGTTTTAAATGACAGTTACATTGTTTTGTTGGGCCAAAAACGACAGAAACAGCTATTTTTCTGTCATTTTTCGTTAAAAAGTTGCCACAGTTAAAAAATTTCGACTTATATGCAAAATAGCCTCGGACAATTTTGATTAAAAAGTGATAATACGTAAACATGGATTACTCTAAAGATGAATTATTTGTTTTCAGCTGCGCGTAAAGCCGTTTAAGTCATACTCCGTGAATAAAATGCGTAACAACGCGGGTTTACAGGGGAAACATACAAATGACCGCCAGTAACCCCGAATTCGAACACGCGTTCTATTCGAATGACGTCATATCGAACATGGTGGAACATGATTCGGGTTCGAAACATGTATGTGGCAATCGTGCAGACACACGTCCGAACTCGAACATGAATATCAGCCTAGGCCGCCTTAACCCAACCGAGCAGTACCTACCTGCTGGACAAAAGGATTGCATCATGGGAAGCCTGGTCAGCAAGTCTTCTCGGCAGATCTGCTGTAGAAAGTCTCCGATAGCCTCAATGTTTTGACAGTAGTATTTTGTGAAGATCGCTGCGATGTCCCCGCGGCCTGCCCCTGCAAACTCTTCCTCTGGAATCCTGTACTCTGGGCTGTTCTGTGAACAGCTAAGGAGGTCAATGATTGTCCCTGCTTCATCCTTACTGAGCTCCTTGAAGAGACTGTTCAAGGAATCCTGCACTTCATTCAAGTGGGTGACCAGCTGCACGATGGCTGACTCATAACCACCGGGGCCTGAGGCCTCAGAGAAGAAATCATCAACGACAACAAAATTATCCACACTGTGGCTGCTGTGCTCTCTGCTGGCCATTTATGGTTGTAGTAAAGGTCACCTGTAAGTGAAGAAAATGTAGAAAAAAATCATTACTTTGTAAAACAATTCCTTTTTACAGATAAACTCACAAGTCACACTATAGCAAGAAAGTGAAAGGGGAGGGGCCAGAGCCTTGTAGCAGACATCCATGCAAACCACTTGTAGGGCCTAAATCTAAAATGTCGACAACAAGCAATTGTGTTCATCTGATTATTTAGCCAACTCAGAGTACTACCGTAGTGTTACTTTTAAAGTTAAATAAGCTAATTTTTGACTCATTAAAAGCAGTCTTAAGAGAAGACTTACATATCACATCATCATGCAGCCCTCAAGGCTGCTGGTATCTCATAACAAAGAACATTCTTCAGTTACTAATCTGCTTGATAACCCCTTAAATTCTAACCAATCAGGTTACAGTATTAGTCTCCGCTCCTTTATCATTGGTTTCATTCTATTTGCTTGTTAAATGGCACCGAGGAAATTGCTCTTGAGAACTTTGTACAAGCAACATGCTATTTACACTGCAAAGAAAAACCCATAGTGCTAAAAGCCTACTCTTCGTGGCCAGTATTATTTATGGATAACATTACCCCCTCATCAAATGCACTTTGATCATGAACTAATGTTGTCATAAGACTACAAACAAAGTGGTTTGCAGCAAACAAAAGTGCCACATATTCATACTGCCATTGGATAAACAGTCTGGCCTATGTTTGACATACAGAAGATGCATATCTCACATGGGGCTTCTGAGAAGCCCCTGCCTTTTGGGATCATGATTTGTCTGTAATCAACAGGTACACTCACATGTACATGTAATATAGTATTTGATAGAACACGAAGAGCATGCCAAAATTGCAAGATTTTGAATTACCTGCGGTACCTAAGTCGACAGTTGCAAATGCCATAGATTCAACAGTAGCTGTTTCTATCCTATAATTTTACACTACCATTTTCCTTTTTTTCATCTTAAGAATGTAACAGCATATCTTGTTATCTAATGTACTAAATTTGAACCCTTTACACATAAGTCTGATGGAATCAATGGGGAAGCGGTCAAGAGCCTGTACTCATGGCAGTGCATTTTGCAGTGGAGAGCAGTCTTAGTCGAGTACTGTTTATTGTGCTGCCTTTATCTCAGGGACCTGTTCACCTTGTGTTAAGTTCACATTTACCAAGTTCAAAGTTCAAAATATTGTGTTGGCACTTGCCCAGTTATGCTGCGCATTGTTACATTGTACATGATTGCAGGTAGTGTATGACAATTTACATTTCTACTATGAGTATGGCCAAGGATCAGAGGTTTGGCTGTTGACTTTAATAATATGCGCTTATTTCTACACTAACATGTAAATTGCAAGTGACATGGGACTGGGAAATTTCTTGCAGTTGTTGAGCCTTTACCTTTAGAGAAAACTGGATTAATCTCCCATTCTTGCTTGGCAATTACACACAAAACTCATTTATCATGACCATGTTATATACTCCCACCACAACTGTAGAATCAGGAAAACCCATAAGTCCTGTACAAGGGCTAACGTATATCCGTTTCTCAGCTGAGATTATTGTTCAGGTCAATATTGGAAAAAAAACAAAGCACAGGAATTCTTTTATTGAATACAACCATTCAGTCAGTGAATCTGTGCATGGCCTACAGTGTAGAATGTTCACCTTGAATTTGAAAGAATGTGGCCGTGTCAGTCTTTTCACGTTTAAATCTTGGTTAGAAAATTAATGTGAAGTCTTATTTTTGCCCCATTTTATTGAATTATCAGATTCTGTAGGGTCTGGTAAGGGTTACAGATGACAGTATAAAAAAAGGGTGTTATCTACATGAAAGTCCTGTTAATGCACAATAGACAACAACAATAGTGCTGGAAAAACCCTTAGGGAAGACCCTGTCATTAGTGCCAACCAAAGATTCTTGAGATCCATTAAAAAATCGTATGAAATTATTAATTCACTTGCTCTGGCCTTACCTTTTCACCATATTAACTACTAGTACCATGCCTGCCCAGTGGAAGGATAGTTTCTACAACCAAAGCAAAACAACTGGGCTAAAACATCTCATGAAGATTTCTCGGACATTCGGACCATCTCCTCTTCTGGGAAGTTCATTCAGTTAGTTTCGATCACGTGACCAATGACTACGCCAAGCGAACTATTGCGTTTGCTGTGGATTCCAATCCAATACCTTGATCTCAATGAAAAGTTACAACTGTTACAGGAACACAGAGCTACAGAGGCCAATCTTCAGTGAACAGTCCAAATCATAATTTTGACCAAGGCGGGTTGAACATTATCTTATATAACTTAATCATACTGTAGCTGTATAATACTGAAGAAATGTCTTACTTCCTGCTACCGTCACAAATCCTCTGGATTCAGTTGAACAGGAACATCCTCTTGAACCTCCAGAACAAGCTCACACCCAACACTTCCGCATTGGAGTTTTTGCGTCTTCATATTTCCCGGTAGAGTGGCACTGGCTCCCTGTCCGGGACCGGGGTCAACACAAGGCGGGAGAAAACGATGCACCAAGAAACGTGCCTGTAAATGATTAACGATCACTGGGCCGACGAGGAGTTCTGTTGCCTGATTTCTTTTCCCACTAAGCTGCAGTGTTTACCTACTCCCACATAAACCGGTCTTGAATGTATGATGACGCTCACGCCTGGCCAGGTGGACGTAATGCCGCGGACTCAGCTCAGGTACACACGCGCTTCGTTCAAACTGTTGTGGTTGATACCATATCATCCCTGAAGGGGGCATCATTAGATCATTACAGGTTCGCGATAGCGGAACCTGTTTTACTTTACCTCGATTTTATGGGCGCCGCCATTTTGTTTCCCGTCATGCAATGGGGCAGGCCAAAGTTGAGTGAAGTGCATTGTGGGACCTGTCACCGGGCCACAGTGTAAGGACGACGCCTAGCGGTATGTTTGGAAAGAGCAGTAACTGAAAGCCTACCTGGTTGTGTGTTCATTTTGGCAGGAGTGTATAGAGGCGATGGCTTTGGCGTAATATACGCTGATTGTGTTTAGCACTTGCAATTGAAGTTCAATGTAATTTTCTTAGCATGACGGGAAGGAAACATGGCGGACCTAAGGTTTTTTTTGATGATGAGATGATGAGGCTTTGGTATTAGTAGGGTGGTCTTGTGGATCTTGTCGGAGGCCGAAGCTAGGGACGACAGATTGTCCTCAAGTACAGGGTCAGTAGGTGGGATAAATGGCATGGAGATTTGGTATTAGTGGGGTGGTCTTGTGGATCTTGTCGGAGGCCGAAGCTAGGGACGACAGATTGTCCTCAAGTACAGGGTCAGTAGTTCAATTGATGAGATGAAGTTGGGGGATGTGATTTTGTCCATCTGAATATTAAGCATCCTGAAACCTGTCCTGTCTAACATTCATAACAGAATAGCGTTTTTGTCTGACCTAGGACCTAACTCTAAGAAGTGACAAACTGAGGAATGACACAGAGACTTGCTTTGGTCAAGACTTTTAGACTTGACCTCTGACCTTGCAGTGGGAGACACCTGTACTAGGTCATCTATTACAGCTGTAGAGCCAGGGAACTCCTGTTGCACATGATCATTGGATATTGTACAAAAACTATGCAGATGTCCTGCTATAAATACCATACATGCCTCCCTTGTATTTAAGATATTATTATATAGCAGTGAATCATTGAACAAATCTTATATGGCCGTTGTACTCGTTAGTTTGATAACTGGAT